ATATGTTTGAGATTGTGCATTGCGGTACATGGAATAGATAGAGGCTGGGTTCTCTAGAGAAAGATAGTTCAAGAGCAAGAATTTTGTCTGAGCGATTGTTTGTGTTACTTCTGTCTGCGATGGAGAAGACGATCGAAAAGCGCTGAAAAGCGAAGCTTCATGATTCTCATCCACATCTCACCGTTTTGTCTCAACAAAGACCACTGCAATACGACTTTGTGTGATTTGCCCTGCCACATGTCGGACATGGATACTGTGAAGTTCGACGAGCTGATACCCGCAGCCAGGGAGAGTTAACCTACAATCGATCTTTGCAACGAGGCGGTATTTAGGGCAATCACATCAACGCAAACGCGAACAGGCGGAAGGGAAAAAAAACCATGCCATCGAGTCCGCCTCAGCAACCAAAACAGACCATCACGTAGATAGTTCCACAAGACGTGATCCTATAATTATTATTATTAACCTCATCTAGTTTAAAACTTTATAGTCGAGCTGAAATGCAGCATGCCGAATTGAATTGAACACCCTCCGAGAGACAAGAGATGCAAAATCAAAAGAGAGAGAGACTCCACTTCGGGCGGCCGCTCCTCATGCAAGCCCGAAAGCACCGAGCCCAACAGCCACCAACACGACAGCAGCAGCAGGCAGCGCAGCACTCAGCCCCCGAGCACCTCCGGTGAACGGCTCTATCGGCGCAGTGGAGCTCGGCGTAGGAGAAGCAAAGCCTCCGCTGCTTGTGCCGTTCGAGGGAGAAGTGGAGCCGCAACCGGTGTAGTTCTGCCCGCCGAGAAGCTTGCCAATCGATGCGAGCTGTTCGCTATGGGCAGTATGTAAGATAGTACCGGCTGTGGTGACGTTGTTGGCGCAGAAGACCGTCGTCCTGTGTCATCATGAATGTTAGCGGCGAGAGGGAGGATTTGGTTGAATCTGTGGTGGTGCTTACATGTTGAGAAGCGTGGCCTTGCCATTGCAGACGCTGCTGAAGACGGAGCTGTCGGTCGGAATGTAGACGCTAAGGTTGTAGGATGGGTATTCCGAAAGCGAGGTCGTGTGGACTTCCACGTAGGGCCCTGCCGGTGGTTTCGAATACTCGTCAATGGCTGCGTGACTGTTAGCTAGCCCGTGATCCCGTGATGTCGCAAGTTCACGTACTCTCAGTCACGACTGCGCCACCAAAATTGTACGTGCGTGCGGTTCCGACCACGTTGTCTGTTCCGTTCAGAGAAGTGGCGTTGGTGCCAGTCCATGTGATGTTGCCATAGTTTCCGACAACGCTAATCACTTCCGAATAGCTGTACGGGATGGTAAGGAGGACCTGATCAAAACCGTAGTCGAAGCCAGCCTCGCAGACGCTCGGAACGGTAATGGTGTTGTCGTTGAACGTGTAGATGTTCTGGGCCTGGACGGCGACCAGGAGAGCTGCAGAGAGCGCGCTGAATACGGCGAAGGACATGGTTGTAAGCGGTTTGCAAATGTTCTGATAGCCCCTGGTCGGAGGAAGGAAGGAGGTATTGTCAGGCGTTCAATGGCGACAGGAGCTTGTCTGTGTAGCACGTATTTACATTCCGAAGGATGCAAACAGTGGACAAAGGGGCGGAAGAATGCGCTCCGTCCTTTCACCAATTTCGCCGGCTCGGAACCGAGACGCCAAGGCTTTCTTTGCAATTGGTGAGTTTCTTGAATGTTCCGTGTCTGCAGAGTCCCTTTCAGCCTCAGACCCACTTCCCAAAGCCCAGGACCGTCGAACATTCCGAAGCCACAGGTCCGGTTTAGGCAACCCGTACCCGAAATAACAATTGTGTAAGACACCAGATACGTGGATCTTCAATCTCGTGGGCGCAAAGGTAAACGCCTAGCCAGCTTGCATCCAAGGTCGGGCTTCAGTGCGGAGAGAATCCGACCAATCGTTACTCTCCTCCTCCTGTGATACTCACGATTGTGAGCACTTAGCGCACGATAGATTGCGCATGAGCAGTGCCAAGAAGAAGGCGGTCCGTTGAGAGGGCTACTAGTCCTCAAGCACAACGCAGGCACACCAGGAAAGTCGTCGCCAAGTCGAGAAGTAGACTGAGATGCATCGGTCGGCGCTGATCAATGCTGCAATTTGCATGCAGCCTCCGGCCTAGACCTCAGATGAAGGGCTTAGTGGAGGCAGGCTCCCGCTATGAATGCCTGTTGAGGCTCTTGTCTGACTGAGATCTACGGCTCATCCCGTGCAATCCTTTGCAAATCTGCAATGCTACCTTACACGAGCGAGTGCTGCATGATACATTGAGCCATGAGAATCCGAGCTGCTGCTTACGCAGCGGTAGGCTTTCGCGGGAGGCCGATGTTTCATGCTGGCTGAACGAGGGATTCAGGGCTTCTCATATCACGACCTCAAAGGAAGGTGTGTTGAGCGCAGGGAAATCGAACACATGCTCCATATGACCGGCAGTACGCTGCTGACAGCTCATGAGCAACCTCCGCGACTCAAGACGTCTGAAATCACCATGTCCCAGCAAACACGACTCCGCACGAGCTGCGACAGCTGTCATGCATCCAAGATCCGGTGCCACGGCGGAAATCCATGCAACTCTTGTCAGAGGAGTGGGAAAGATTGTGTGTACAGCACTCCCAATCGTCAGGGGAGGCCACGAGGTGCACGGAACCGAAAATCGTTGGTCGGGCAGATCCCGCATGGAGCAAATGATGTCCCCAATGATCGAAAGTGTTGTACAGGAGAGGTTTCAAAATGCTTTTTGCCGACACCCGACGAGTCAATGCTCGACTTCGAGTACGGCGCAAATGAGGATGTGTTTTCGGAAGCATTCGATGCTTTCGTCACCAATGGAATCGGCAACTTCGATTGGAACATGGTGGATCCAAACTTGAATGGGATCAACGAGGTACGCCGCTGCGCTTGATATGTCAGCAGGTTGAGACTTACTGACGACAAATGACAGGAGCGAGCCACATTAGAAGATCAAGCTCTTGATCCGAGCGACTCATCCTTATCCGCGTCCCACCAACCTTGGTCGGGCTTGCGAGACTCTCTCAATCTGGCAGTCTCGGCGAATTCTCCGTGCTACTCGGCTGCCCCAATTGCACAGATGAGCACCAAAACTTCCACAAGAGACCCGGCGCCCGAGGCTTCCGCACCACTACCGCGATTACAGACGCAGCGTGAGCTGCAAGGTGGCAGCCCTGGGTGCCGCTGTCTACTTCGGTACGCAGGGTTGATTACCCGCCTGAAGGAGAACACGGATGAAAGTAAAGTCCAAAAGGTGGACAAGGTCCTCTTGACATTGCGCCATGCACAAGAATCGTGGAACAGCGAATGCGGCGAAGGCTGTTCGCGAGATTCGGATGTTGATGTTCTCACGGCGCTTGTACTTAGCGTCCGGTATGCCCTCCGAACACTTGGTAAGCTGAGAAGCGGAAAACCTGATCTGGAGACATCCGCCAGCCGGTCACCCATGAGCTTCATCCAAGGGGATGCCGGAGCTGAAAGGTCTCTGCTTGGAGTGTACGAGATTTCCCAGGATGAGTACGACAAGGTTGGGAATGTTCTTGTCAGAGGTTCCCTCAATCGCATCATGGATTTGCTGGAGGCTGTTGCGGTACGGGCTTCAAGGCTGAGAGAAACACCCGATGGACAAACAACGCCAAAATCAAGGTCTCCATCTAGGGGGGCAGAAAGCCAGGCCGCTTCGCTGGAGCATCTGCATCTCGGCCAACTGCTAGAGGACACACGGCGCTCGCTTACCAGTCTAAACCGAGAGTTCGAGTAGCACACGACCATGGGTGTATAGCTTGGCGTCTGGGTATTGGGAGGTACATGTACGCTTGGATTAGGCTCATCAGAGTTCGAAGCTAGCGGGGCGGGCCGCATGTGATATCTGTGTCTATGCTCCATTTCCTCTGGCGTCGTATTCATAAAAACTCAAAGTGAAGCTGACATCGGTCACTTTTTCCCGAATGGTCCAGTTTAGCCGTAAGCCGTAGCCAGCGAACAGGACGGCATCGCCGATATTGTGCGCCGAGCGACGCCCAGGCCTATTCGCCGAAGCACGCCGAGGAATACTTTCCGAGGAGTCGTGTGGAAATTTCCAACTCGTCTGTCTTGTGGAGAGACGTTGTCGATTCCGCCGTGAAAGTGCTGCACCGAAGATGCCGAAGCCCTCATGAGCGACTGCCAGCTTGTTGATGTGTTTTCACGTCGGTGCAGTACATCAGTCATGTATTGCTCCTCTCATGGAACTGGAGAAGAGCTTCTATTATCCACACGCTTCACAATGCCACTCAAAGTCATCATCGTAGGCGGTGGCATTTCCGGCCTCTGCGCAGGAGTGTCCCTTTCTCAGGCCGGGCATTCTGTCAAGGTTGGTACATCCACACTCCAACAACTCCCGCTAATCAATATGACCAGGTGCTCGAACGATCCAAGTTCTCGAATGAGGTCGGCGCCGGCATCACTCTTGCTCCCAATGGAGTCCTCGTCTTGAGGAAGATGGGCTTTGATTTCCAAAGGGCTAAAGGCTGCGAGTTGGCCAATTGGAGCACCTTTGAGGGTGGCAGTCTGGAAACGATGAGTGTTCAGGACCTGCACAAGGCGAAAGAGCGCTTTGGCGCGGAGTTTTACGGGTGAGCCAAGATCCGCAGTCTTTTGAGCCAGACTAAGATGCTGCCGCAAGGATGCACCGAGTAGACCTACAACAGGAGCTGTTACGACTGGTGCGAAGCGAAGTCAAGTCTCAGGGCGACGAATGCTCAGAGATGGGAAGTAAGCCCGGTATCAGCCTCCAGCTAAATTCCAAAGTCGTCCGGATCGACCCAGATCTCGGCAGAGTGGAGCTCGAAAATGGCACGGTGGAAGAAGCGGATCTCGTCGTTGCCGCTGACGGCGTGCACTCTGCCATACGTCAAAGGGTTTTTGGTGCTGTGGACTTCTCCGCACGGTCCACAAATATGAGTGCATTTCGCTTCTTCATCCCTCGCGAACAGATGATGCAGCTTGAGGCTGGCCGGAGGCTGGTCGAGTGGAATGCGAGTCACACTGGCGCCACAATGTTCGTCGATACCACTGTCGGCATGTATGAGCGATACATCGCCTGGTACGATGTCTCGGGGTAAGTGGTCGACACCGCCTCTTCTGCTTTTCGTGCAGCGATGCTGATCTAGGGTAGTGGAGAACTGCAGAACTTTGTATGCATCCATCCGACCAGGACCGGAGACCGAGCAGTAGGAGGTATCTCGAGGCCGGTCGCAGATGGAATCGTAAGCATCGGCTGACGAGTTTACAGACACCAGATCCCAATTGCTGGATGAGTACAAGCACTTCAACCAGGACCTCGTAGAGTTGATCAGCCTCTCGGAGAAAGTGACGAGCTGGCCGCTGCTTGGGTGTCTACCTCTGCCAACGTGGACCAAGGGCAAGTTGGTGCTAATTGGCGATGCGGCTCATCCGGTAAGTACAAGCATTCAAGACCAGCGGCAATATGTTTTGACGTGCCACTTCAGATGCTCACATTCGGAGGGCAAGGGGCAAACCAAGCAGTGGAGGACGGCGGTGCACTAGGCGTGTTATTCCGAAACATGTCTAGCGCGGCAGAAGTCCCAGAGCGGTTGGCGCTGTTTGAACAGGTCCGGCACAAGCGCGCCTCCAGAGTGCAGCTGTTGTCATCCGTTCGTGCCGGCAATGAACATCTGGTCAAGGAGGACATGAAGCGTTTCATGGAACCAGGAGTTGATATTCCCGAGACATTTGCCGGGAGAGTTGCTCACGACTCCGGGTGAGTGGCGAGAGGAACATTTGGAGGTTGAGAGATGCTAATCGGCGTGCCCAGATGCGATGTGCTTGCTGCGTCCTACGAGGCGCTGAATAAGGCCAGCGCTCATGAACAGGACGCGGCATGCTGGTGTGGGTCGCAGGCCGTTGATATTCGCGCTGCGGATGTCGCGGTGGCTGCATCGTAGATGATGTTGATGTTGATGTTGATGTTGATGTTGATGTTGATGTTGATGTTGATGTTGATGTTGATATTGATGTTGATGTTGGTGTTGATGTTGGTGTTGATGTTGATGTTGATGATTATGTTGTTGTCGTCAAGACGCGACAGGCAGAGCTCAGACTTGGAAACCGAATCCGAGGAACAGTCACGTGACTAGCTTTTCGCCACTTGTGCCAGGCCCTAAGATAAGTAACAGCTTCAACTTTTAAAACATCATACAACTTCAAGATATCTATCAATTTTCGGATACTACTCGGTTTCGAGTCTTTACTAGGTTTCGATATTCTAAATTAAGCTTCTTTTTAGAATTATAGTTCTAGATTATCTAGAATCTTAATATAAATATACGCTAGCTAGGTAAACTCTACTAGCTAACCTGTGTAGACTCGTCGCTCTCTTAAGAATAGTAGATACTACTTCTAGCTAGACTATTATAAAGACTTTAAATCTTCTAGTTACTACTATTATTAAGAATAAAAGCTATAAGTATTCTTAGTCCATATAGTCGTATATTATTACATCGTAGATATATCAGCGATAAGTCACAGGATTAGTAGCTGGAAACTAAGTAGACGGAGCTCCGTAAGTTAGTAGGCCGAGCTCCCGCCCGGTGAATCTCCGATCGATCTTTCCAAATATCGGGACGCCGTTGAAGGTACTTCTTCTCTCTAACTCATCCTCTACTCGCTCGAATCTGATGCAAGACAAGACACCGCTACCTTACACGGCGTTCAATACCGAAGAGAGCAGATGCATGCTTACTACCTTATCGTCAAACTAGCAACTGACACAATCTGCGCTAAAAAACCCTCCGGAAGAAGACGATTCCCCTACGAGTAAAGACACCTTTTCGTTAATGCAATTGTTAGAATCCGCATTGAACCTCGCAATGCGCTGACAAGGACAAAGACTCCATCTGCCGAATCACCATTCATCACCTTCGGACAAGCCAATAGACGCTACAACCTGATAGAGCAGCGAAAGCCACAGCCAAGATCATAGCATTCCGCTTCGCATTTCGCATTCGCTTCTGCCCGGCGATCATCGCTTTGGGCATGAACTCGACAGCCGTATTGCCTCGGGGGAATTCCGAATCCGGAATCGGTCGGTCGAGAAGCTGGCAAAGAGGGGCCCTAAATAGCAAGCCACCGCATAAGCTTATCAGGTAAGGAAAAAAGTAAGGAAAAAACCCAACAAATGGGGGGCGGACGTACCATCCATCCTCCACCGACCAATCGAGATACAGCCTTCCTTGCTCCCTCAGTACCGCCTCCAAGCGTTCGAAATGCCCGACATAGGTAGCCTCCGCATGCTGCTCGAAATCCCCCGGGCCCAGGGAGATGCGTCCATGTTGCGAGCGTGACAGCCACAGACTCCAGAACAAGTCTCGGTCGAAGAAACTCCAGACGTACCAGTCCCAACCTCGCAGCATGGGCAGTACGGAGCCTCGAAAACTCGCCTTCCAAGCCTTGACGTCTTGACGGCGATTGAGAATGACTTTTGCCTGCGGATACGCCGCCATCAGCTCGTGGGCGAACCACACGCTTGGAATATCGGTCGTGGCCTCGCAGTCGTAGAGTAGACGGTCGAAGTATTCCCGCCGCAGTGTCGGGGGATCCAATAATCTGCCCTCTTGAAGCGCCAGCCGCAACCTCATCCATAGCTTGCCGAAATGCGGATACTTGGCCCACCAGCGGAATCCGTGATCCACATCGTCGTATCCCAGGATTCTGAGCGCGTTGTTCAGAGATTCGGTCCCGCTGCGAGGCAGTCCCAGGCAGATGATTTTGAGTTCTTTCTGCCTGCGTGCGGGCGGATCTGGGACTGGGTACAGAAGGCAAGCCAAATAGTACGAGATCCAAGTGGAAGCCATGATGCGCTGTGTCGTCCATCTCCTTCTTTCAAGCGAGCGGACGGGTGTATTGTTCTTTAAAGACTTTCCAACAATGCGTGAGGCTGATGTGAGACTGGAATAGAGCTGCACGCTTGAAGTGTTTTACTACGTAGCTACGCTGTTCCTGCAACACTAGTCAGCATAGCATTCTTCGTATGCATCCTGCTGTAGTTGCTGGAGCAGTAAGCGACACGCCTCTGATCCTCCGGCTGTCAGCTTGTCAGCTAATTATGCGCAGAGCTGTATCAGCAGGTGGAGCGCAGCTTGCGGGGAGATCCTTTACCGAAGGTGTACGTTGATCAACCCTCAGCACGATTCCGGAGAGTACTCATAATTTGCTCCGAACGTTCCCTCGACCCTCGCACCAGCAGCAAGATCTCAACAACACAACCCGACGCAATATTTCCCCTCAGCGATGACGCGCGAACTTGCATCCGTAAGAAAATCTCTCTACTAGAAGAAGACCAAAATCATCGATGCCATAGAAAAAAGCCCCCAAATTTGAACCTGAAATCCGAGAACGACGAACGAGCCCTGGAAGCCTTATGCAATTCCTGATGTTTGTGCCCGGAAAATTACTGTTAGAACTGTCATGTCCAGCCAAGTGGTGACTGACGTGCAGAAGACCGAGCCGGGTGAGCCCTGCCTGATCAAGCAAATCGGCGGAATCCTTTCAGGATTCGCATGCGCTGCAACAGCGCGCTGCGACTCTCTTATCAAAGTCGTACCTTGGTTCGACATGATGATTTGCGTGTCATCAAGAGAGCTGAGCTTTCATCCTCCATCCTCCGTAGCTCCATACTTAGTAGTAGAGCGTTTGCTAGATCCAGCAAGAGATCGGCGGGAGCTCAGTAAGGTACATATCCTCCCGCCTTCGTTTCTAATTCCTCAAGTCCTGTCGTTCTTGCAAAACTCGTTCCTCACACCATCAGACAATCCGGTCATGGCCGACGAGGAGGAATTCGACTACATAATCTGCGGCGGCGGGACGGCAGGCTGCGTGCTCGCCTCCCGCCTGCGACAAGCCAACCCATCGCTCTCCATAGCCCTGATCGAGCGCGGCACGAACGACGCGAGCAATGCCAAAATCCTCAATCCGCTCTCGGTGGCAGAACTAAAAAGTGAAGGTCTGCAGAGCGTCTACTGGAGCACCCCTCAGCCGCATCTGAGCAATCGCCGGATCGAACTGCACGGCGGGAATGTGCTATCCGGATCCAGCGCGACCAACTACGGGGTTTGGATGCGAGGACATCGCAAAGACTATGATGAATGGGCGCGGATAACGGGCGACGAACGCTGGAGTTACGGAGGGCTGCTGCCCTATTTCAAGCGAAACGAAACGCATTTCGATTCCTCGGGCGATGAAGCGCAGCACGGGTTCAGAGGGCCGATCAAGACTGCGCTGCCCACGGAATTCCCACTGCGGAAGCCGTTCATGGAAGCGTTCGAGAAGCTTGGGTATCAGAGCAATCCGGATCAGAACGGCGGCAACCCGTTCGGCTATGGGACATTGGCAGTGAATTGGTCCCCGCGTCGTCAGCCTGCCAGCCTGGCTTACGACTTGAGCGGAGTGCATGTTCTGTGTGACTCTTATGCAAAGAAGATTCTGCTGGAACGAGCAAAGCCGGACGAAGAGCCCAGAGCGATAGGAGTGCAAGTGGGAACGGGAGAGGATCAGGTGCGCCAGTTGAGGGCTAGGAAGGAGGTGATAGTTAGCTGCGGAGCCTACCGAACGCCGCAACTTCTTATGCTGAGCGGCATAGGTCCTCGACAGCAGCTCCTGAAATTCGCAGTGTCGGTAGTCGTGGACAACGCAGAGGTCGGATGCAACATGTTCGATCACCTAGGTTGTTCAATCTGCTTCAAGTTGGAACCCAAAGCCGCCGAAAAGGGCCTGGCCATGGGACATCCAAACTTCATGGCCAATCCGAAGTTCATGGAGATCGTGCCGTGTGAGACATCGACGATAGATATGCTGGATCCTAGGAAGCTGGCTGAAGCGCTCCAAGCCGATTCTGGCACGGCCACGATAAGCACACAGCAACTTGATGCACTCCAAGAGCAACGAGCACACCTCTGGATTCTGCCCGCTTACATGCCGATCTCGCTTGGCGAGAACTACGACGTAGTGCCCGATGGAGAACACATCAGCATCCTCATGATGAACTTCCAGCCAACATCTCGAGGGGCAATATCGCTGACGTCGGGCACGGCCGCTGATACGCCAGCGGTAAATCCAAACTATGTGACTACACAACATGACCGGCTGGTTATGCGCGAGGGCGTCCGCAGAATACTCCAACTTGTTGAGCAGTCGTCTCTGAGACCGTATGTCGCGGCCGAGGAGCCTCCTATTGGACAAGCGCCACTAACCTCAACCTCTACGGACGAGGAGATTGACTCCAGAATACAGGATAACTCCACGTCGATTCAGCATCCAGCGGGTACCGCGGCCATGGGCAAAGTGGTCGACTCGCAGTTGAGAGTCAAGGGCGTGAAGGGTCTGAGAGTGTGCGATGCGAGCGTGTTCCCAGCCCCAGTCGCTGCGACAACCCAGGCTTCTGTATATGCGTTGGCGGAAAGCTTCGCGGACTTGTTGTTGTTGCAGGAGGAGTCACAATAAAGCGTATTTGCGACATGCTGCATAGGCGTAGACCACAGATTCAAGTCTTCCACAGTGGCCTCTGCTTTTCGAAAATTGCGCCAATACCCTCCTCCCTGGCGTCGGCTGATTTTGCGTGCAAAGCCATGATCCTGGCAGCCAGCGGCACTGCATCTTCGTAGCCGTCGCCCCCATTCTTCGAGCCGTTCATTCCCATTTGTGTCCAGAACGCCCACTTCCCCAGCGCCTGAGGCTGTGTGGCGTACTCGTCTGACAGCTTGGCGGTAATCTGCTTGACTCTCCGTTCCAGCTCGCCAGGGCCGGATACAACTCCAACAGCGCCACCAGGAAGCTGATCAGCTGGCATTGGCTCTGCCAAAGCCATCATGCGGTAAGCGAAGGCCGGTCCGAGTCTTCTTGACACCGCTGTGGAAGGCGAGGTGCAAGGCAGTCCGATCGATGCACCCGGTAATTGGAATGGAGTGTCTGCGGCTGCTATCGGCAGGTCTGTACTCAAAGCCAATTGTGCTCCAGCGGCCGTGGCGAGTCCTTGAATTACTCCAACGACGGGAGCTGGAGATCTTCGGATCAGGCACATCAAGTCGGCACAGTGCATAAACGTCTCCTTCACCTCGTCGCGGGACATCTTTTGCAACTCGGCCAAGTCATGTCCAGAAGAAAACACTGGCCCTTCGCTGCGTAGAACGATGACGCTCGGTAAGCCTGCACGCTCTCTCCTCCAGGTCTCAGCATCCAGTAGCCAGCGAAGATCAGCGTCCAATTCTGTCCCTTCCGCTCTGCCGTCAGCCACAGCTTCCAAGTCGTCCAGCACATTGGGCCGAAATGGTGGGAGTATTCTCAGCGCTCCGTCTACCGGTGAAGTGTTATATTGAACCAACTGCTGCTTCAGATCCTTGAGGACAGAGAGTGAGAGGGCATTGCGATGTTGCGGGTTCTTCAACGCCAGGTAAGCCGCCCGAGCGGGCAGTTTGGGCCAGCTCATAATGTCTGTTGACCCAACTCTTGATTGATCTCATTGATGGACATTTGACGACGAATTTGATGGGAAGATGTTGAGGTAGAGAAGGAGAGAAGGAGAGAAGAAAGGTCGGGAATCGTAAGTTAAGGTAGGGTACATGTAGCTACCTCTAGGGGGGCGGAATATTGTGGTGCCGTATCTGGTAGTACTAGCGTTGTTAGATATCATGGGTCCATGTCACGCATCTCATCTCCGTCTCCAACTTAACTTCTCCTCGCTACCCACTAACCTGCTACTGCTACTTTCCCACCGACGAGAATTGTGGATTTCATAATAAAGGCATCTCGGTCGTCTCAAACAATGGTAAACTTGGTGCCTTGCAGATGGAGAGTGGCTAGGCATGTCTTGGCGAAGGAGCAACATGACGACACCACGACTCGGGCCTTCGCAGGGAGAAAAGCCCGAGTCGCTCGCATGTCTCTATGCCCGGAAGACACGATGGCAGGACCCTCACACACGGGATGCCCTGGTGCACCATGCTGGCAGCAGATACTCCGATCTGGTCTATGATCACGTCTTGCAGCATGCCGTGACGTGGAGGTTGATGAGCCCGACGGCATATTTAAAGAGCCCAGAGCTCTGCCAGGTAAGGGAAACCCTGGAGAGAGCTATCCGTACTCATCAGACACACATCTCATATCCCGTATCCCATACATTCAACCAGAGGCCAACTAAACATTGAAAGGAGAAGAAATTGTACCTCGTAAGGTTTGACATCTCAACCGCACAACAAGATGCCTGGACCTGTCGTTGCAAATGGCGCCACTCACACTCCCGACATTGCAATCGTAGGCGGCGGACCCGCAGGTCTGTCGCTTGCGGCAATCTGCGAGAAGAACGGCATCTCCTACATCGTCTACGAGCGCGGCGCGAAAGATGCCCCTCCTCGCGGTGGGTGCCTGGATCTGCACCCCAACGGCGGCCAAATCGCACTGAAGGACGCGGGCGACGAGATCTACAAGAAGTGGAGGTCACTTGCTCGAGGAGGGGAGGCATCCAAGCACAAAGTCTTCGACATGCAGCTGAACCACGTCTTTGATTTCTCCGATGAGGGAGACTCGCCCGAGGCGGAGAGATACGATCTGCAACAGACGCTGATGATGGGCATTCCGGACGGGAAAATCCATTTCCATAAAAAGCTCGAGACTGCAGAGAGGGATGGCGAGGGCAAGATTGTGCTTAAATTCTCCGATGGAGAGATCGCCACCGGATTCAAGCTCGTCGTCGGAGCAGATGGTCCATTCTCCAAGATACGGCCACTCCTCACGCCAATGCCCGTGGAATACTGGGGCCTCGTCTTCATGACCGGCCACATCCGGCAGTCCAATCCATTCTTTCCGACGCTCCACGCCAAAGCAAGCGAAGGACCCATGATAACAATGGCACCGAAAACCATGATCTGGTGCCAGCGGCAAGGAACCGGCGACTATCGCATCGAGTGGGGAATCCTGGCAGACCCGGAGATCGGCAAGACCCTCCCACTGGACGACAACGACGCAATGATCGAATTCCTCCTGCAAGACAAGTACTTCGGAAAACACCACCCTTTCATTCACGACATGTTGCGGAACAACGATGGAGGTTTCCGAGACTGGCCTCTGTTGCAAGCACCGCCGGAGGCTCTGAACTGGGAGCCGCATGACGACGTTACGTTGATCGGAGATGCCTGTCACGCCACGACACCCTTCATTGGCGAGGGGGCCAATCGCGCCATGAAGGATGCGGCCATGCTGGCGCGCGCCGTGCGGAAGCATGGAATCAACAAGACCGCCATCGCAGAGTACGAGGCCGAGATGTTCCCCGCTGCAGCCGACATGATCAGATGGAGCGACAAATCCGGCCGACAGATCTTCCAAGACGACAGTCCCAAGTCATGGGTGCAGTTCAACGTAGAAGCTAGAGGAGGAGGAGGAGGAGGAGGGGAAGACAGTCGTCCGCATGGATGATCGATAGAACAGACGGTATGAAGTCTCGAGACTTGAATAATGATGAGATTCCCGGATCCCTTAAAAGTTGTCATACGCGTGACATTTCCATCTCCCTTGGTTGATTCTCGTATGCCGACTGAAGTTTCATCAATGATTATGGAGGAATAGGATTCTGTCGTCGTCGCCATGATTTGACTCGGCTCAACGTGTAGTTTGTTGATGTACCTGAACGTGGTAAATGTTGTGGAGACTGCAGCTCGTGATAGACCCACCCGACATCCCCGCTAGCAGGGCACGGACCTCCTCTAGAATCCACCACCTCAGTTCCTGTTTCTGAACTCGAACTCATTGACAATTGACAACTTCAATCAAGAAGTCTGTAGACGCCGTGCTCATCCGTAAGTGCGACATATCTCTCTGCTCTCCAGAACTCTGCTTCACTTGCGCCTCACAACAGCAGCACGAAACGACATGGCAGATCCGGAGCAGGACGACGTCGAGATCGAGCAGGACGACGAGCTGCAGAAGTTCTTGGGCACGTCGCATTTCGGCAAGCAATCACGAGAGGCGAACGTGAAGAAGCAGATTGATCTGAGCAAGAGGCCGACTGCGAAGAGTCTGCCACGAGCGGAGAACGGCGAGGCCGAATCGGGGAAGAGAGAGCATGCTGTACATTCAGAACAGGATGACGAAGAGGATAACGATGACGATGACTCGGACGACGACGACGACGACGATGATGACGACGAAGACGAATACCCCGTATCACACGAGATGGTCTTCAAGACCCACGAGCGCGCCATCACATCCACCACATTAGACCCGTCCGGCGCGCGGCTCATCACGGGCAGCATGGACTGCACGCTCAAATTCCACGACTTCGCATCCATGACGCCAACGACCATACGCGCATTCAAATCGGTCGATCCCACAGCCTCGAAACGCTCCGCGAACGTCGAGACCCATCCCGTCCACCAAGTCCTCTTCAACCCGCTCAACGCCAGCAATGTGCTCGTCGCGACAGCCTTACCACAGGCGAAGATCATGGACAGGGATGGAGAGATGCTGTGCGAGTTTGTGAAAGGAGATATGTATCTGCGGGACATGCACAACACAAAAGGACACATCAGCGAAGTGACGACGGGGACGTGGCACCCCACCGATCGTAACGTCTGCGTGACGGCTGGGACGGACAGCACGCTACGCATATGGGACATCAACAACCCGCGTTGCCAGAGAGAAGTCATCGTACACAAATCAAGAGCGGCAGGCTCGGCCGGAAGATCACGCATGACAGCGGTCGCATGGGGAAGCCCCGTACAAGGCGGTTCAAATGTCCTCCTCAGCACCGCACTCGACGGGACCCTCGTTATGTGGAGCGGCGAGGGACCCTACAGCAGACCCGCAGCCGAAATCAGAGGAGCCCACGAGCCCGGCACCTGGACCAGCGGCCTCGACATCAGCGCTGACGGCCGCCTTGTCATAACCCGCGGCGGCGACGACAACATCAAGCTCTGGGACACGCGCAAATTCAAAAACCCCATCACTACCGTCTCGCACACCTCCACCTCCTCTCAATACCCCACCTCCAACATTCGCTTCTCGGCAAGCGGGAACCAGATCCTCACGGGCTCCATCGAAGGCAATCTGCACATCCTCAACCCAGCAACGCTCAAACCCGACCTCATCACCCCCATCACCCCCGGCTCGCCCGTGATCACGGTAGACTGGCACGCAAGACTCAACCAGATCATCACCGGCTCCGCAAACGCAGAGACCCACGTCCTCTACAACCCCAACACCTCCACGGGCGGCGCCAAGAGCGTCATGTCCCGCGCCCCCAAACGTCGCCACATCGACGACGATCCCAACCTCACGACGGACACCTCGCAAGGGATTTCAGGCGACGCGATCATCACGCCAGGCGGGGGTTCGGTCCCCTCCACGGCGTCCTACGCTTCCCGTCATCCAACCGTGGGACTCACGGCGTCGGGGAGATCACGAGATCCCCGACGCCCACACGTCCCCGCCACAACACCTTTCGCAAAGGGGAATCCGGACGAGGCGTATGTGAAGCGGGAGATTCCGCTGTCGAGTCTCCGCGATGAAGATCCCCGGGAAGCGCTGTTGAAGTATGCGGATAAAGCGGACAAGGATCCCATGTTTACGAATGCGTGGAAGACGACGCAGCCCAAGACGATATATGCGGAGGTTAGTGATGACGAAGAAGAAGGAGAAGAAGAGGACGGGCCGGCGAGTAAGAGGCAGAAGCAGTAGGGAGATCTCAGAGTAGAGCCGAGAGGCTACCTTCGTATTGAAAGCTCTCGAGAATTTCCCTTCGTATTGAAAGCTCTCGAGAGTTGATCGGATCATTTCATCTTTTCATGTCATTGCTCGGCTCAGCTGCGAGCCGAGCGAGGCGTAAGCTCTGATTTCCTCAAAGAACCTAACCCATCTTCCAACGCCGCGCTATGCCGCTGTAGTTCAAAATATTCGGACCCGATATACCACCACCCATCACTTCTGATCTTTCTTCTTGCGCAGAGTCTGGCCTTCGCCCGTGAAGTAGTGCTTCTCCTCCTGCTCCGCCTGCGCCTCGGCATCCTTATTTCGCAACGGCTTGACTTCGTATCCGAAGAAGAGCTTTCCGGGAGGCAGTCGCAGTGGTTGTGGGCCATTGCGCGGTCGCGACTTTGACTTGCCTCCCATGCCGGGTATGCTCACTGACCCTGGAGTGGCGCCTTGAACGGGAGTCGCTGTGCCAGGTGTGGAGACCGGAGTTGCGGCAGCACCTCCTTTGCCCTTTTTCGGCACCAGTCGATTGCCTGAGCCAGCAAAGTGCGATGCGCGGTGGTCGTGGCCTTTGGCCGCAGCGTCTGAAGATGGAGCGATAGAGGAGTAATTGATCGCCTGTGCCATGGTACCCTCGGTGTGCATCATCCCGCCTTTGCCTGCCATGGCGCTGCTGACGCTACGCGGAGTGCTAGTCCCGCTGACACCCTTTTGCGGCTCTTGATATCCCACCGGCGGCGCAAAATCCACCTCCAAATCCGTCTCCTGCACTGAGATAGCCTTCTGACTTCCCTCTGGCTTGACTTCCAGCACCGCAATCTCATAGACCGTGTCATTGTATGAGAAGGTGAAGACATCTCCCACAGTCAAGCAAGAGAAGTTCCTAAAGGCAGTCTCGAGCACCGCCTTCGGATCCGAGATGTCCAAAAAGTTGACGTTCTGAGGCTGTAATTTGATGAACTGGCCCAGCGGTAGATCCGTGCTCTTCGTCTGGACCAAATCACCAGGCTCCAAGCCCAGAACCGTCATGAGCCAGTACGGCAAGTAACATCTTCCCTCCTCAGCCGTGAATTCCAGAACACCAGCATGTGTCATGGAGCCCCTACTGCCGTTGATGACCTCGAAGAGCATGGGGTATGTAATGTGTAGCTGCGTCAGCTTATCGAGGGCGGACGCGGGGAGGAAGATCTTGCCGCCGTGGTTGGCGGCTTCTCGTTCGGGACCGGGCATCATGGCGATGGGATAGCAGCGATAGTATTCGTCGAAGCGGCGCGGACGACCGCCGACGCCGCGGCGCATGCCGCTTTGGAACATGGCCATCGGATCGGAGTCGTCGTAGTAGAAGGCCTGGAGGAGCAAGAGGAGTGGGCGTTAGCAAGACTACGCGAGGAGTGTTTGCAGAGCATCACATGTGAAGGCGGGTTCTGGCATGCGACTTACCATCTCGACGGTTTGCTCCTCGCGCAGGGAAGCTGCAGGTTGTGTCTCGAACAGGAAGGGTGATTTTGGATACGCGCGTTATTTCGTGTAGCTGTGATGAGGTTCGAGGTGTTGATGATCCGATTAGGTGTGTCGTGTGTCGTGTGTCGATGAAGCTTCACTTGACTGCTGCTGGCTACGTAAAGCGGCAATAACCGGACTTAATTCATGCACGTGAGAAAGGGCCGGGACGATCCGCATTCACCCTTCCATCTCTCACACTCCTGTCCGACTTTCTCCTCCAACTTTCTCTTTTCACATGCTAACCAACTCCATTCATTCCTCATCGCGCATCTACTCCTACACAAGCTAAGCTACGAAAATGACGCAAGCAGAGCCGCCGGAACAGGCCATTCCTCCGAAATCCAGATAGGCATGATCGGATACTCCAGTGGCACACAGTACATCCGACACGATGCGATCTTGCGACCTTCTTAAAGGGTACCTGTCCCGATCTGCGCCAAGGCATATCCATTAAGGTGCTCTACCGGACGCACGTGCAAGGAGCGCTTGGCACTATCTGCAAAGCTATATTACCATGCTTCCCGGTCGAGTTAGTATTGCCTCTCACAAGGCGAGTTCTGGCGCATTAATCTCGTCTTAGATGCGAGTTATGCAGAAGGCGAAGTAGGTGTGAAGACCATCTGATTGGCCATTTGTGTGGCTGTAACGTCGATCCTATCTTCCGCAGGCGCCGATCTCAGCCGCATCCGGCAGCTGACCGAATGACTTGTCCGAGCAAGCTTGCGATGAAACAAGCATTCACTGGAGAAATGCCTTGCGGAGCTTGGCTGAGTGTGAATCAACACAGGTCGGTGATCAGATGAGTTAGGCAGTGCCGGAAGTCATGATGCGAGTATATATCTTTCTTTGTTCTCCTTGCTGCCCCCAAAGCCCATCTCCCAGATATCCACTCACAACATCCCCAAGATACCTGGACAATTTTTCATCGTCAAGATGCTCTCTTTTCTCCTCTTCTCGTTGACTGCCCTTCGAGTCGTGCACGCTTGGGGAAACCTGGGCCATGAAACCGTCGCCTACGTCGCAACGCACTACGTAGAATCTCACACAAAGCAATGGGCCCAAGCAATTCTGGGGGACACCTCAACATCCTACCTCGCCAACGTTGCCACCTGGGCCGACTCTTACCGCTACACCACAGCTGGAAAATTCAGCGCCCCATTCCACTTCATCGACGCCCAAGATGATCCCCCAAGCAGCTGCAATGTAGACTACGACCGCGACTGCGTCGGAACCGGCTGCGTAGTCTCCGCAATCGCAAACTACACCCGTCGAGTCCAAGAACCAGACTCCCTGGACTCCGGCGAAATCGAAGATGCCTTGAAATTCATCATTCATTTCGTCGGAGACATCACCCAACCTCTCCACGACGAAGCCTACGAAGTCGGAGCAAACGACGTCGACGTGACTTTCAACGGCGACAGCACCAACCTGCACCACGTTTGGGATACCAACGCCCCCGAACAGTTACGTGGAGGCTACACCCTCAGCGATGCCCAAGCCTGGGCCGACGACCTCGTCACACAGATCGAAGCAGGCAATTTCAGCAGCAAACCTTCCACCTGGATCCAAGGCCTCAACGTCGACGACGCGAAGACCACAGCCCTGTCCTGGGCCACCGACGCCAACGCCTACGTCTGCAGCGTCGTGATGCCCGACGGGGCCCAAGAACTCGAAGACGAAGCTGATCTGTACCCCAGTTACTACGACGGCATCACGGATACGATTGAATTGCAGATTGCCAAGGGAGGGTATCGATTGGCGAAATGGCTGGATGCCGTCGCTGCGAATCAGGACGTTCCGAATTCGAAGAAGAAGAGGCGAGATTTTGGCGTGGAATCGATGGATTTTTTGATGGGGCGGGATTTGCTTGGGAATAGGAGGGAGGAAGCATTGACGCCTGCGCAGAGGAGGAGAGCCGCGGTCGGTTGGGGGTGTGGGCATGCGCATTAGGCTGTTGTAAGCGGGTTTGGTGGCGACTCGTAGTAGAGGTGACAGGGTCGGTACAAAGGGAATAGACCCCCACGCTACCATTCTATTGTTACCAGATAATTTCCAAAACCTGCTCTTCTCCGTAAACAAGTGCTAAGAGCGAAAGCGACACAGCATCTCCCTAATCATATACGCTTGCCGACCAATAAGCCGCCACCAGGCGTTCATCCAACTTTTCGTGTTAGAGGTTAGCGAGGTTGGCAGCTGCGCCACAGAGTCGAAGCAGCAAGAATGAAGACAGCCCATGGAAGACTGTCAGTGCAGACAGACGCCAGTACCCTTCCAGAGCGGACGGACACATGGCAATGGTCGAATTCATCATGAGCTGTAGAGCGAGAGCGGTTTTGAATTGAAGGCGGTTGCGGCGTGTTCACTCTCCGATACCTGGTTTCTGATTGCACTTCAGGTCAGCGCGACTGTCCTCGGCTAGACTTCGGCTTTTCACATGACTCCCGGTCTGGCGTAGGCAAATCTAAAGTGATTTCCCAGCACGATCTCCGATGCGTTCACTGCATGGTATGGTCTGCTTGAAAGGCACGCCTATATATCGCTTGTACGTATTACATCTTAATATAGATACATTAACGGGCGAGATGTCCTAGTAGTACCTTATTAGAGAATCGTACCTTCCGCGGAACTATACTGTTCGCCCTATTAGATACTTGCCCTAAGTATAACCTTATACTAAGTATCGTGTCGTAACTCTTCCCGCTCTGTAGTGCATTGTACCTGGTGCAAAGGTGCGGTTTCACGAACGCCGCGTCATCCGCGTTCAACCACAATCGAGGCTCCAGAGCATGCCACACATTTCCATAAAAACTCGGAAACGATCCTGTTGGAATGTGAGAGGCTTCATTGACAATTGCTGGGTGTTTACGCGCACAGGACTGCCGGTATATACCTGTGCACTGCTGAGGGTGGACTGCGGGACGCGCCGCCCGGCGCGTCCCGCTGTGCAGCCACTTCTACCTTTCTACTTGAACACGCTCACCACGCACAATACATGTACACATTGCGATTCATCGGCTCCACAGAAACGGAGCATGCGTTCTCCGGGCACTCGCTCAGCGTCGCTGCTTGGCTCTTGTGTCCGGAAGCGTATGGCGAGCACAAACATAAAGCTTCCAAATACTGACGAACCATTGGAAGAGGAAGCGGTTCCCGGCTATGATCCCGCTCACTTTTACCAAATCGACCCCGGAGATGTGATAGGGAATGGGCGGTACTCGGTTGTCTCCAAGCTAGGCTGGGGTCGTCATTCTACCGTATGGCTAGCCCGGGATGTGCAACGGTATGGCCATCAGTCCACAAGGGGCTCTTCGCGGACTGATCCAAGCAAAGGTGGCGCTGGCAATCACCGCGATATGTTTCGATAAAGATCAACAGCTGCGACGAGGATCCAGAGTCGATTCAACAGCAGTATGCATTGCTGCAGCGACTGACCAAGGCGGATCCTAACCACCGTGGATTCTCCACTGTGCGAAAGGCTCTCGAGAGCTTTGAGCTCAAGACAGGAAGTGGAACACACGTTTGTATCGTATACGAGCCTCTTAGGGAGACGATGGATGTCTACCGACGGAGATTCGCGGAAGGGCGCCTGCCTCTACCTCTTCTCAAAGCCTATACCAAAGTACTACTGGCTGGATTAGACCTTCTCCACCAAGACTGCGGCATCATACATACAGGTAGAATTCACTGCGGCATACGATTGAAGAGCGATAGGTTGATGGATCCGTTGACTGCAGATCTCAAGCTGGACAACATTCTCGTTGGCTTCGAAGATGAATCCGTCCTAAAACTCAAGGCCGCCCAGTTTCAAACGTCGGAGAATCTGTTCAAGCAGGGCACTGGACGGCGAATATATCAGTCACGATCTGATTTCGGCCCACTGCAATCATACATCACACCGCCGGTCATTGGAGATCTTGATTCGGCCGAGGACGTAGACATGGGCGCTCATCCAACTCAGCCGGACGTATATCGTGCTCCAGAAGTAGTTCTGGGATGGGGCTGGTCGAGTAGTGCAGATATCTGGAATCTGGGGCACCTGGTACTTATCAAGCTAGTTGCTTTATTCATCGGCTGACATTTGGACAGGTCTGGACCTTGGCCAGTGGTAAAGATCTGTTCACTTCGCTTTACACTGAGAAGGGGACCTATGATGCTGCTAAACACTTGGCGCAAATGATTGCAGTCCTCGGGCCTCCATCGCCAACACTCATCCAAGAGCGATCTCATAGCGGATGGAAATGGTCGCCCGCCATCGTGAACCAGGACGGCGATCTTTGCGAGGATGCTCGTTCGTTCTACCGCGGTCCGTTCTTTGAGTCGACTTCAGGTATGTGTCCGAGTGCCATCGCTGAACCCACCTCTGACCAGTGAGATCGCAGGTGAATTTCTCTACCCGAAAGCAGTGCCTTTGCCTCAGAGTCTAGACGACTTGGCAGGCTTTATAAACACTGCAGAAGAAAGGGCAAAGTTTGTGGATTTCTTGGGCAAGATGCTCTCGTGGGATCCAACTCAGAGGCTAAGCGAGCGCATGTTGTTTGATCACGAATGGTTGGACCTGGAGCCTTCATGATGCGGGCTTCGTCAAACGCCCTGTAGCCGCTCATCTCGATGAAATGTTTCGAAATGTCGACTGGGCCAAAAAGTTATCTCCAGAAAGGGGTGGACTATCTTCCCGAGCTGAACCAGCGCGTGGATAGTGCTACCATGAAGTTAGTCGACCGAATGCACGACTTGACGGAGCTTGCTAACCATGTCGAAGCGGCAGTCCCCATCCGACAGGCACAACGATCCGTTGCACGCATCCGGCGTTCTCGGCCAAGGAAGCATGAAAGGCAAGAGCAGAGTGACGGGACCTCGTACCAGGTGTATCCAGACGGGACAGTGATCTTCTCCGATCAAAAAGCTTCCTCGATTGAGGGTTACCGCCACCGGAGTTGAGGTGATTCAATAACGCGGGGAGTCCAGTAGTTCTGCGTCCTCATCTGCTGCCCAAACACAGACTGCTGCCAGGCAAAATCCCCCTCCGGGGTCACAGTCCTTGCCTCCGGGATGGGTTTACGTTACTACATCGCGCAGATACGAATACTGGGACGGAGAAATATGGGCGTTGTGGCAGTACTCCACTGCAGCAGGAAATTGGATCCGATGGGATGGCGTGGGTTGGGTTCATAATCAATAAGCCCCGTTGCCGTATTGCTATCCTCCGCTATGTTCAATGTGAAGTCGGACTAGTGTCTTGAGTCGAAGCTGCTTTCTTCGAAAATACCTGATCGATGCAATGACATAACTCCGAATAAATGCCTTTGTCACATGCTGTAAATGCGCTCCAGAAGCACACCGCAAGGCTAGCACCGGACAGGCGCCTCCCATGTGTCGCCCAGCCAAGCCAGAAGAAGCATCAACCTCTATAGTGTATATTCGATATTGGCGTTGCGCCACTAACTAATAAGTACATATACTTGAATTTCCTAGTCACTTCGTCTAATAGCTAGGGGGCCAAACTAAGGTATGCTCCTTCTGTTTCTCTCGTCTAGATACTATACACCTAGAACAAAGTCCCTGGTCCTACTTCGTCAATGCTGGGTTAAAAGCCCTTATTGACCCAGTAACGCTTGACACCACAGATCAAGCGTCAAAACCCATCACCATCCCTCACCTCCATCTGCCCCATATACAGATTCAAAACCTCGTCGAAAGAAGGTCTCACCCCAACGCGATCATCCGCTAGGAAATCTTCCAAGGCCAAGAAATAGCCCTCCACCCGCCGTCTCTGCTCTCCCTTGACACGCTCCGTAGGCGCGGGCACACAGGGCGTGAATCGCGCTTGTACGCACTGAAACGAAGGCGGAAGCCGTCTCATCGGTTCGAGGAGGTACTCGTAGACCGTCGGAGAGTCCGGCTCAGAACCGACCGTGCGATATTCGGCAAGACGGTCCGTGATGGGCGGAAGGCCGAATGTTTCGTCGCGAGTAGCATACGTCCACCGCTTCAAGAATCCAAAATCCAGTATCGGAATTGTAGCACCTTCTTGACACACACCATCTCGAAGGAAATCGACCGTCCTGTCCATATTTCGGCGCAGAACTTCGATTTCCGAATCCGTGGGTTCCTTGCATCCGGACTGTCCGCGAGCGTCGTGATAATCGATCTTGATCGTGATACATCCAACATTGTCCAGCCCGGAAACCCCAATCGGGTAGGCGGGCGAGGGCGTGCAGCAAATCTTAAACGTGCAGAATTCGATTCCTTTGCCGTGGTAGGAAAGATAGTCGCCGGCAAGACGACTGTCGGCCTCGAGAAGCGCTCGGAATGGCGGATCGTGGGAGGCTGGATAGGGCCAGAAGCTAGAGCTGGGCCAGAGGAGGAAGCGCGGTGCTTCGATGAAGTCGTATACTTGATACCGCAACTCGGGGGGCAGGTCGACGAAGTATGTACGCTGTGACTTGGCCTCCATGGTCGAAGCTCTGCTATGTACGGTAATGTTTGAGATCCAGTAGAGGAGAGACGGGAGGCAGTCGCAGTTATGCTCGACCGAAGAGGGGGCCAGATACCGTCTGACTCAGCACCAACTAAAGCCTTCCGAGTAGACAGTCTATTAGCATCAGCACACCGTCATGGCGCTTCGCAGTGCATTTCCGGGAAAAGCCACATGTGATCTGACTAATACCTTCGATTTACCACGTCCAATAACTCGACTTAGCGATCAATATCCTCCTTTCGCTAAGAAATCACCTTTACTACTACTAAAATCCGCCTCCTCGTATATACCCCCCTCTACTTAAGCTCCTTAATAAATAATACTAATACCGGACGTTCTGGTGTCAGGAAATAGTCCACCAATGTTCGAATGGGCATACGCATCGGGCAACGAGGACGATATACAGCACCACTCTATAGGATTTGGTGAACGTGGTAGCGTTAAAAAAGATGCAGCGTTCAAGCGACGGTGGGTGCCGGCTTCGTCGCCAAGATCGCAACACTCGACCCAGGCGTATGTATGCTCGTTGGACGGCGAATTGAGAATGCTAAGGTACAGAGCCTACACCATCCAAAACATCGTCAAATGCGTTGATCACGCTTGGACATCCACACGCCAGGAGCTCTTCGTGGCCTTGGGATTCGCCGAGTTCGGAAGCCTCAGTGGTATGCTTGAAGACGTTCTGGTTCCGACCGAGCGCCGTTTCGCAACGGAAAGTCCTTGAACAGATCTTGAGGGCACTGCAATACATGCATTCTCCTGACACGATGAATACTGACATCGATCGGAGTAACATCCTCGTTTTCCGCCGCGAACGTCCTTGTGTGATCAAGTTGTGCGATTTCTCTCACGCGAGAAAATGTAACAGCACCGCTCCGAGCTGGGTCTCATCGACCATGTCCCCGTACGTTGCGCCGGAATGGAGGAAGGTCGCAAAACGTAGAAGAGGTGGAGTCCGCCCGGACAAAGCTGCTGACGTCTGGTCGGCGGGAATAATACTCTGCCAATTCGCTTCCGGATATCTGATCTCCTCCTCTCTTGGAGCGCTTGATGTCACCGATGAGCTTTGTTAAGGGAATGTATCCACAATGGCAGTGCTGAGCCATCTGGTGCTCAACTACCCATGCTCACTCTCTCCATCAGATGCTCTCGTTGTCCGGTGCAGTTGCCACAGCGGACAAGGAGTCGGATCGCCTGATATCGATATACAGTCGCTGTATATTCATTTGATACTCTGCATGTTCGTCAACCTTCTTGGCGATCAACTCTGACGTATCCTTGCTCCAGTACTTGGCCAGTGTCGCGTCGAAGTCATCATTAAAGTCTGACAAGCCTCCATGACGGGATTGGATGTGATCGACGAAGATAAGATAAAGCGCCTGGGGACAGTCCAATGCTTGCGTGAACCAAAACCGGCCAGAGGTCCAATTGCTCTCCAAGCTCTGACTGAGGCGCTCGCCCGGTACAGGAATGTATTCCTCGACCTCCTTACACGCGGAGACGAATTCGTCGAAGAGAACCCGATACGCCTGAAGCGCTTCGCCGTCAAGGCAGTCAATCCCTCGGCTTGTTAGCCAATATGGCACATTGTGCATCTGAGATGGTCGGGCGCATGCCCACTCAAGATCGATAATCCTCACAATGTTCCATTGATCGTCGACGAAAATGTTGCCTTGATGCAGGTCGGTCAGAGACAGAAAGCAAGGACCATCGTCATGCTGTCGAACAGTGAACTGGTTCCGCAGCGCCCGCATGCCTACTAGGGCCGCTAGCTGGCCTTGACCGTCCAATACATCCCGGATCGAATTTGGCTGGTAACGCATGCGGTTGTCGTGACAAGCAAGGAGATCGGAATAGTAGTCCTCGACAGAACTATAGACCTGGTGCCTTTCAATGCCTGTAGGAATTCCATGGTTTTCAAGTTCGTGGAGGAGTAGAGTAAGCGGTCGATTTGCGAGCTCCAGGATACCAGAGTCATTCACCGTCAAGGAGCCGATATAGGGAAGAGGGTGCTTTCGGAGCTCTAGCTGCACTCGAGACAGTCCACGGAAGAGGTTCGCACGTCGAATCCGTTCGTGACGATAGTTCTCCCAGCTCTCGGACAACATACGCCCATCGTCGACGTACTCGATGATAAGATAGCCTACCTCACGTAGGCTCCGACGCTGCCAAGTCACATATGGCGAAAGATGCTGTCGAAAGAACCAAGCGCGGACACATCGCATTCGCCATACCATAGCGCTCCAATATGACGCTGCTGCGAGCTGCGTGAACTGTGATTTGGTTAGGCCGGTCGACAATATTCCAGCCATAGCTTACACATTGCGTTCCTGGTAGTCCGAAGGCCAACAGCCGTGGGATCGGTACCGAGGGGCATTTGTTGTGAAGCCAGATATACGTAGCCGCTTCGCAGCGGAGTTTCTCCTCTACGTTTCCGGGGAAGTGCGACTCGCCCACTTTGTAAGGCAATGGGAAGCGAATCATGACACGTCTCGATCCCTGGGGTTGATTGATCCAAACGGGCAGGCACGCATTGTAACTGCCATGAATCCACTCCTTCACTTGGCTGAGTGAGCATGCGGCTCGGGGGATACCGAGATGCTCCGATACTACCTACTTAATACATTACAAGGTCAATCTGCGAATTGTCCAGTCCAAGAGGGGTCGTACGCACCTGTTCAATCTGTCGGCGCTGTGTTTCAAGGTAGACGTAGAAGTCGTACCTGCTTTGGGGATAAGACAGCGCGTGGATCATGTCTTTGTCGGCATCAAGAGCTTCTTGCTCCGTGACAGGACCACGCAGCGTTGGGAGAGTGGGGCCATGCATTTCGGTGATGATACCGTATTGCGGACTGCAGAGGAAGCGGAGGAGGTTGGAGCGATACCTTAAGGTACCCGACCTTACCTTGGCAAGTTTGATGTTTCCCGATCCGAGATAGGTCGTCTTGGAGACTCCAGTGCCGCTCCCGTCCCGCACTTCCGACAGCCGGCCCGAAGGCGGTGGCCTGAGCTTACAAATCCGCAAAATGGTTTTGCCGACTGCCGAAGCGGCACTCGCTGTGAGTCGCGACTCACTCTACTACCACAATAACAACTTACGACGGCGACAATGAGGCTCTACGAGTGTCGCGCACCGCTATTGTCGACGTGAACGGTCAATATGAAGTCAGGCGCAGCTTTTAGCTTCATATTGAACCCGTCAATGGCGGTGCGCGGCTTTATATTGATTAAAAGCTATTGTCGCGCTTATACTATTATAAGTGCGAGTCCATAATATCGAATAATAAGGCAGCTACTAACAATAGGCGATAAGTGTGTCTGTAGAGTTCTAATACCGCAGCGAATGCCCTTAGTATTATGTAGGCTCTATACGACTCGCTGGTAGGTATATCTAGCATGAATCCAAAGCTTAATCTAGAGCCGATAGGGCTGTAAATCGAGGGCCTGAGGCGGCATAACGACAAAGTAGACAATGAAGGACCTGATAGATGGATTGCGAGTCGATAGCGAGTACATCAGTGCCTAACCACTGCGATTACGGTGTGTGAGAGTGTGGTGGTGCGGTCGGTAAAACCATTTTGCGGATTTGTAAGCTCAGGCCACCGCCCGAACCTCTTGGGCACAGACCCCCCGCGCGTACCTTACTTCTTATTTCTCATCCTTACTGGCTTCCGCTTCCGCTTGTTGCTGTGCCCTTCTCTCCGCTGCCTTCTTCTTTCTCCCGGAACGTCAAAGTAATTGATACGGATCCCAATGTGGCAGGGTTCCATAAATCTCATAATTCTGGAGGATCCCAAAGAGCTGTGAACACGTCGAGACAACATGTCAGGACTCTTGCTCGGACAATTCTCGCGCAAGCTGTTTTTCGCCTGTTCCAGTGAGTTGAGGCGGTCATCATCGATACTCCGAGTGCGGCCGAGAGTGAGACGGTAGGCGATAGGCAGACGGTCATACACCTGCTGCTGCAACTCAAGTGGCAAGTCGAAGAAGCCAGTGCGCGGTTCTGCTTTCTTCACAGTAGCCGTCACGGTTGTGTGAGCTCGGATGTAGTCTTGATGATCCGGGAATCAGACTTCTCTCTCCGTACATGCAGATGTTATAGGACTCAGCAACGGTGCAGTCCTGAGGCCGCTGGAATAGCGTTCAAGAGATGCCAATAAACTGCTGTAAGTACCTGCGAGTCCTGACAACACCAATCGCGCAGGACTGCCACACCGATTGCTGTTCATGAAGCGGCTCGGATAGCGCCGTCATGACTTGCTTCTCGTATCGTCCTCATGCGCAGATTGCTGCTGTCTCCGCCCGGGCCAAGGTCTGTTCGGGTACGGCCGAGCTTCTTCTTGCGATCTCTCTCGTCTGCGTCACGCATCTCCTGGCCAGCAAGTTCAATCTCCGACATCTCCTCTTTCTTGCCAATTCCAGACACATCTCTCCTCGGTCTGAGATTGGGACTGGCATGTTGCGCAGCCCAGTCCCTTGTTCGTTGCTCGGCTGTAGTCTCGGGCCCTCTGTTGGGCCTGGCCTGCTCTTCAGGCGAGTCTTCTCTTACCGACTGCTCTGCCCGAGGATTGGGCGGGTTTGGTTTCGACTGCGTACTGCCATCCATCTGACTTGTTTCATTGTCGTCTGTCACGTCTCCTTCCTCTCCGCCGCGAGTATTCCTCTTCCTTGGCCACAGTGAAGGGAGAACGATTTGCTGGAAACGAGGCTCCACGCAACGATCGTCAAACCACTGATGTATCCTACCTTCGACCAGCTGAGCAATCTTCGGTACATCCTGCAACCGACTTCGGGACCCAATGAGTGAGTGCACGCTCAAGTCAAGTCTGTAGTCGTCTAGAAAAGTGAAAGTCAGGGTGGTTGGGCTGTGTCCAGTCGGGTTAAGTGGATGTCCTTCGTTTTTGTTCGGCTGCCCAGGTGGTCCACCATCGGCCGGGTTCCCATTTGCTGCAGGGTACGGATTGTGCTGGTTTGAAGGTGAAAAGCTCAAGCTCAACGTCCCAGAGAATCTCGTCACGCTTACTGCCAACGCCACAGGCAAGACCATAACGAACGGCTTCGGATAGTTCAATACCAGCTTCGTCTCGATTCCAAGTGTAACCACGTCGCTCAAATCCACATCCATGCGTGCTTGCAGTCTCTCGCCTCGCTGTCCGGTGAGCTCCTTGAGAGGAACACCGTTCTCATCGACCGGTATCACTCGGCAATTACTGAAGATGGGAAACTCTTCTCCTAGGCTGATCTCTGTCACGCGTATGTCATCAATGAAGTCCGGCTTGCTCGCTCCATTCAACAGCTGTGTCAGACTACCCAACACTGCCTCGTCTTCCTGTGCATCGGCTCTCAACTGCGCGATTGTCTGCGCGATCAAGACATTGAACCAGTCCAAGCTCTCCGGTTGGTGTCCTTGCACATTGTAGTACGTCTTCTCCAAGATCTTCTGGACCGTCAGACCTCCGTCATTTCTCGGCTTCAGCACTGCAGCACTCGGGCGTGGACGAAGCGCTGTGGAGAGAGTCCGCTGGCGGGTATGGGAGAGGGTCCGCTGGCGTCGTGCGGCTGCTCGGGCTGCGGCACGTTCGTCCGCCGAGGGAGCTTCACCGAATATGAAGAACTTGATGAAGATGAAGAGAATCAGAGCGAGTAGTAGCTGGCCGAAGATGAAGCCAGACGCGAAGGAGCCGGACGAAGGAGGAGGGTAGGAATATTGTTGTTGCGCGTCTAGAAGCCATTAGCTATTCCAAACTCGTTGAGATCTTGTGCAGTTGAGGACGGACTGTGGTAGGCCTGCTGCTTGGCCTTGGACATCGCAATCACATGCGGCGGTCGAAGCCTTCGGTGAGTGCAAATGATGCTTATTTTGGAGTGACGTCCAGAAGATCGAGGTGTTTCTCTGGGAGATTGACGAAATTGATTGAGATCTTATTGAAATGACGTCGAGATCTCCATCTATCATCCCTGCAACAGCGGAGCCAGTTCCGTCCCATGTCCTTGTTGCGTTCTCCTCGTTCTCTTCTCCTTTCACATGCCACAAAGGTTTTTTTTTTGTTTCGTGAGAATCTCCCATAATACTTGTAGGAGGGGAATATTTTTGTCATCCTGTCCCACCGCATATCCGCACGTTATGTGAGCAAGCCGCCCGCACAAGCCCAATGGACCATCACATACAAGGCATGCCGTTGTCCAAGCTGGGTGCCTCGAAGTCAACCCTTCGGTCCAAACGGAAGAAACACTGTCCGGCTTCTGTAGTACACGTGCGTGTGGCCAATATCTCGCACACTATACCTTTTCAAGCAGATGCAGAGGACGAGCACAGGCTCAGAGTATGGCTAATGATACCGATCATCCCAAACATTCACACTTCTTACACATGCCGGCCGCTTTGGCTGACGTATCCTACCAGTCGAGATGGTAGGCTGGAATCGCAGTGATACAGAAGCACAGGTCAAATAGCCTCGGCATGGGTTCCGATATTCGTGGCATCGCCTCACTCTGTCAGGTCACTACGACGAATCCAGAAACCAGAGCGAAGGCTACTGTTGGGGCGAAGGGGCTCACATGTCTGGGGCTGCTGGTGGGGACCATGGTTGGTTTTGGCGTGATGTTGTACCATTGCGCAATTGCTAATTCACTGGCCAAGAAAGTTGGCGAGAGCAAAAACGACTTCTAGTAGTAGCTCAGATCAGAGCAATGATGCTTCCTGTATCGTAGGTATTGCGCGCTCTGGGAGAGAAGTAGTAGCACTGACTCACGGCAGGATGGACAGCCAAACCGTCGATTAACTGGGTCTCTCCCGTCACTACGGAGTCCTTCTTGCGCTGTGGAAATATACTCGTATTCACAACAGCGACATTGTATCTGACCGACAGCTACGGCGTCTTGCATGGTCGTCGAATACCTTCCTGAGGTACCTATTCACATTCGCATTTCCTCTGTCTGCGGTGCAAATGTGCGAAGGACCCAGGAGTGGGACGGCAAAACTCGTTTTCCCCTTCTGCGGGCCCGCACTGGTACCCATTCCGTGTCTTTTCGGGGTTTACGGCCATCGTCTGCGTCAACGGAGTTCGAATAGTTCTGGCGAATGAGATGCAGCGGTGCACTTTCATATGCAAAGCCCTTTCAACACGCTGCCAATCTTTGTCTCCCAAGGGTCCAGAATGAGGCGATTCGACAGGTCAGGCTCGCTTCTATCCTGAGTATCTGTGCTTCGTAGGCAGGAAGTCGATTGTCTTGAGCGAGGTCGAGCGGTTAGGTGCTAGCACTCGTCGCATTTCTATGATACCTTTATAAGCTGCCGATGGCTTGTGGAGACAGGAAATAGCAGAGATGCTCACCAGACAGTAAATCTAGGCCTCGTCTCCGAAAACGAACCATCGGCTATCAGAGCACGTCCAAAGCGTTCTCCTCATCCGCATGTCCTGTTCCTCTTACACAAGTAGCGTTCTCTCGTGCTGGCTTAGCGCATCTTCAAACGCCACATGCCTTTTATCACGTCTGCCTTCTCGGAATGCATCTCCATTTGCTCTCCGGTCGAACGCGATCCAGTCTATCAAGACTTTCTCTTTCGGCGGCCCGTGCCGGAAGAAGTCTGGGAAATACTTCGGCTTCGGCCAGCGTCTACCTTGCTTCAAAATCTCCGTCAGCCAAAAGCAGGAAACAGAGAATGCAGTAGTACCTTACAGTTCTTGCACTCTTTCAGAGTCTTTTGCCCGTTCCCAGTCGAATCCGTTGCCGTCGACGTTCACGTCTGGATATCGTTTGAGGTTCTTGAGTTCGTTGAACTTAGGATTTAGTGGTCCGCCTCCGAAACCGTGCTCGAATAGTTTGTTCTCGGCGGCCTTGCCAATGGAGCGGAGTATGGTGGCTTTGGCGGTCTCCTTGGTCAACGTACGGTCCGCGATGGCAGTGGTCTTAGTATCGCTTGGGCGGCGTGAGGACGTGAGGCTGCTGGGAGGCGTGGAGGTAGCGGCGCGGCTATCTTTGGAGCGCGAGCGCGACGAGCTAGGGGATGAGCTGCTGTGTGCGCTTTTGTTGGTCGCCATGACGGGTGCTTGTGACGATCTGCTATTGTGAGCGCTTCTTGTCGAGTGGTGGTGGTTGCTGGTGTTTGCTGATGTCAGTTGAAGAAAGTGCTAAATATCGGTCTGCAGAAAAGGTCCGAGCTTGGTGAATTCCGGCCAGAGGGACATGAAGCACATGTTGTGATGCCGCGGGCTCAGCGCGGCTGCCTTGTTTCAATTCTATGCGATTACTGATTCACACGCCCTGCGAGGTTGTCGAAGGGTCAAAGAGCCACCAGCAAACGTCTTGTGGACAATGCAGCGAGGCTGCGGCGCAACAAAGAGGATAGAGGGACGGAGCAACCAACTCTCTATTGGCAGGTTGAGCACTCAGTCTCGAACTCTGATATCTCAATACTCCGGATGAACCAAGCAAGGCCCATCGTTGTCTTTCTACACCTTCTCCGCCGGATGCTGGTATATACAGAGGATTCACATCATGGCGGTATCTCTCTTCTTGTTCTTGTAACGTCGTTCTCTCCACGCCCTCATCGCTCCTCTTTCCTCTGCTCAATGCTCCCATGGGTGTCTCCAGCCGAGAAGTACGGGCATATCGTATCGCGCTCGGTAAAACAGCTGCTCAGATGTCAATGCATATCCCGTTCCACGATCGCCTTCTGGACGCACGAAAAACCACATGGAAGCTCCGAGACCGACTGCGGCGAATCTGTAGAATGGACGAACGGGCGGGACTCGTACGGGGTGTCCGCCGTGACCGCCGCTGGGACCGTGACCGCCTGCCATGGTTACTGTGTGGAGTGCTGCGCGATGGTGAGCTGGTGACTTGCGCGAATGTTTCCAGTGTATACTCACACTGGCGAGAGGATGTGCGTGATGAGGCGTGAGGTGTTGTTCAGCTGCCAATGCCTTTGTCACATGGCGGCGATGAGGTCCAGTGCCAAGAAGTTGGTCAGCAGGCGCTCGGGCCAAGTCCGCGCGCTTCGCGATCGATCTTCGCGATTGACATCTTCGCCCGAATACAATAGAACAATAGCCTCACATCTCTGACAATAGAAAGCAGATGCGCATACTTGATACCTCCTCCGCAGCAACACGAGCGACTTTCCAATGAACACCTCGGCGACTCACGGAGCAAGCGCGACAGCGACATCAACCTCCGTAACCTGATCACCCACCATTTGCGCTTGCGAAAACGAATACATCACTTCCGCCAACATGTCTAGAGCCCTCACACCGCCGGCGGTCGCCGAGGGGATGACAGACCCTACCCAGCGCCGATTCCGTGGCAGCGCAAAGATATCCGAGTACGAGATCATGAAGGAGAAGCTGGGAGAAGGCACCTTTGGCGTGGTCTCCAAGGCGAAGTCAAAACGCACCGGAGCCATTGTCGCGCTCAAGAAAATCCTCATGCACAATGAGAAGGAAGGCTTCCCAATCACCGCGCTGAGAGAGGTCAAGCTGTTGAAGATGCTGAGCCATCCGAACATCTTGCGCCTCGAGGAGATGGCAGTCGAGAGACAGCAAGGTGCGAATCGCAGTCTGCGCCGCCAGGCGACCATCAGCTGCTTCTATGCTGATACTGACTCCCATCCTGCAGTTGACGACAAGGGCAAGAGCGGCAAGAAGCGCGCCACGCTATACATGGTCACTCCGTACATGGACCACGATCTCAGCGGCATGCTCACAAATCCCGACATCCGATTCACAGACGCTCAAGTCAAGTGCTATATGCTGCAGTTGTTGGAAGGGCTACGCTATCTTCACGACGTAAGTACAATCTGTCCCTCGACGATTGCAACATTTGCTGATCGTGTAGTCACACATTCTTCACCGTGACATGAAAGCGGCAAATATTCTGATTTCCAACCGTGGCATCCTGCAAATCGCCGATTTTGGTCTGGCCCGAAACTACGACGGAATTGTCCCACAGCCCGGCAAAGGCAACGGTGAAGCAGTCAGAGACTACACCAGCCTTGTCGTCACCCGATGGTATCGGCCGCCGGAGTTGCTCCTCACCCTGAAGCGCTACACTCCAGCTATAGACATGTGGGGCGTAGGTTGCGTCTTCGGGGAGATGTTCGAGAACAAGCCAATTCTCGAAGGCCGCTCCGACGTCGAACAGTGCGTCAGGATCTTCAACCTTCTGGGCAACCCGACGGAGCAGAACATGCCGGGATGGTCATCGCTACCAGGATGCGAAGGTCACAAGGACTGGGAACGCTCAAGCGGCGACATCGACCAACGCTTTGGCAAGCGGATGGGTCCAGAAGGTCTGGACTTGCTGAAGAGATTGCTTTGCCTGGACTGGAGAAGGCGCATCAACGCTATAGATGCGCTACAGCATCCGTACTTCAAGACCTATCCATTGCCGGCGAAACCAGAAGCACTTCCGCAGTACAACGACAGTCACGAACTTGACGCTCGACGCCGCGGCAACCATGAGAAGCAGCGAGCTCTGCCCCCAGCTCCTGCAGGCGGCACTGTTGGGATGGGTCCAGATGAATGGGCGCCCGGCCCGGGACCCAATGGCTATCAGAATGGGTATGGCTACGGTGATAGGCGAGGGTACGGCCGAGACCGCGGTGTCCCGTCTCCAGGCCATGGGCCACCACGAGGTTATGACGACCGCCGAGGCCCGCCTGCTCCACCAGTGACTGGCAGGGAACCAGCATGGCGACAAGCGGATCGGCGACCTCCTCCGCCCTCAAATGGGCACGCTCTTCCACCCCGACCCACGGGCGATCTCCCACTATCACGAGCTGAAAGGGCTGATCGAGTTGATGCTCCAGCTCGTGGGCCTCCCCCTCCACCAGCCGCCAATCGATCAAATGTCGACACGTACATCCCGTCCTACCAGCGCGGACCTAGCTACGAAGATCGTGATGGTCGTCCGCCGCCACCTCCACGCGATTCGTACGAGCGCGGTAGACGCAGCAGCCATGATGACCCTTACTACGACTCGGCGCCTCGAAGGTTTCGCGAGCCGGATGCTCCGCCACCACGCCAGTATCATGATACAGATGCACCAGCTGGCCGACCATCCACTCGAGAATCGAATCGCGACCGGCCAGATTACAGACGAGATGATCAGCGCAGGACAAGGAGCAGAAGTCCAGAAAGGACACGCCGGGAGCGATTACAAGATCGAGAGCGAGATCTGTATCGACGCTAGGGGCTCCCATACTAGAGAGAAAGAGCACGTTATGGGACCGCGGCAAAGCGCACAGCGAAATGCATTTTTGGTTGTCTATTGATGATTTTATGGAGAAGATACCCAAGTGAATGGCGTTTTGGGTAACAAATACTTCTTAACAACATCTCATTCTTGAGAGTATCCCGAAAAGCCTCTCTCGCTAGTAAGGCGATTTAAGAGGGTGCCGTTTTATCCATTCAGCCGCCGGCTTCGAAGGGATCAGCAGCGCTGACGATCTGGGAATCATTTCGGATGCGACCGCGTGAGGTCTCAACGTCTCATGGGTACGCCGTGCGAAATGCGCACTTTGAAAAACTAGTATAAAGGAAAGTGACATGCCCGCAAGGCGTGGCGAACGATTATGCCGTCTCCTCTTACTGGGCATCTCTCCTCTCCACTTCAAAGATGACCGCAACGTGAAGCTCCCTCGCTTGAGGACCATCTCGGCAGCTACGTTCGCCGCCATCGAAATGCTTCAATGGCAGGACTGCACCGTCCATTTTCTCACTACTACAGTAACTATTGAATGCGTAAACGTTCCCGTGCCTCTGACACACACCATGGGAAAACAGTGTCACACTCGCGCTGGAATCGCAAGCAGGCTACAGATCCAAGCAAGAGACTGGGGAAAGCATTGGTGAAGAGAAGAATTCAAAGTCTGGTGGAGAGTTGTCTTCATATATATCCGGGGGGAATATTGTTGAAATCCGTGGATTCGGGCAATGCTGCGAGAGGATCTGGCTACTGTTCGAAAGGCCCTTTGAGAAGAGAGACTGGAGAGATTTGGACGCCGAGGCTCTTTTATTTTTCCTGAGAAGGTTAGGAGGATGGATGCGGATGTCACAAGAGAGAGTGTTGTCGCGAGAGAAAAAGGGTGCTCTGGAGAAAGATTTCTCGGACTGCTGCAGAGGGTTCGAAGGAGTGGTGTTTTGTAGCATGGACCACAGGGACAGTGGGAGCGATTTTCGAATGAACGAATATCTGCATCTCCATCGTTCGACGTGGTCGGATCTGGCCAAGTACATGTACTCCAACTCCAAACCTGACAAGAAACTATGACATAACATGCACAGCTGTCTCGATTCTCTCGCATACGAATCGAAATAAAGAAGACTGGATTCCGCGGCCTACCAGCAAAGACTCACGAACGCACAGCTATTGCATCGCACCACATCAGAGGCGCCCCAACGGCATAGCATTATATGATTTCCGGACGATCATATGTCGGAGGAATGTTGCCTTTGTCCACGCAGAATCTATGGACCATACGTGCTGAAATTTCGGAATCACAAGATTTCGAGGGTTCTCGTGTTCTGTGTTGGTCGATGAGATCTACGACTCTCAGAGTTCGCATGCATGGGGTGTGGATTTCCATCGACGGAATTTCGGTTTAGTGCTGTTGACGAGAGATGGAGATGGGGGATGGACATGGCTCGGAGATGTTACACGGAGAGACAGCAAAGGAGGCAATGGAGGCTTTTCTCGTGAATATGGAACGCTGCCAGCCACGGAAAGAAGACCGTCCACAAAAAAACATAACCCCGAAAAGCCTAGGTTCTAGATATCAGAACTCCGATTCAACCCCTTCAATCGATGCTCGAAATCTTCCGCGGGGATATCTTCCACCTTTGCCGTCCGCTTCAGTTGCACTCCACTCCTCTTCTCCCAGCCGACTAGAGCTTTGGTATGATCGCATCCCGGCTCCCCAGTAGCGGCCAGCGCATCACCCAGATACTTCTTGGTGAGCGCCGGCAGCTCCGTCTGGAAATCATTATGAGCCATGAACTCTTCGGTGATACCCAGATCCTTGACCAGCAGAGCCAAGCCAAACCCGGAATTATACCGTCCCGTGATGCCGTCGCGGCGGAAGGTATCCAGCGTGGGGAAACACACGCCGGTGCCGACGTTGAGAACATCCAGCATCTTCTGCGGCTCGAGGCCGAATTTCTGGCCCGTCACCAGGCTGTCGCCCAGCGCGCACATGGCGGAGGCCATGATGTAGTTGTTGAGGGTCTTCATCGCGTGGCCGTTGCCCAGCTTGCCCATGTGGAAGACGTAGCCTGCCATGGTTTGGATGATGGGTTCGACTTTGGAGAAGGTGGAAGGGGAGTCGCAGCCGACCATGAGTGTGGATTGCCCGAAATCGGTGGCGTGCATGTAGGTTTGGGTGATGGGAGAATCGACGAGCTCGAGTTGGTGGGCCGCGAGTTCTTTGCCGAGGGCGATGGTATCGAATGGGGAGGAGGAGGAAGTGTCGATGATGATTGTTCCTGGGGAATCGAATGCGGTGAGCAGAAGTGCTCGGTTCGAATGAAGGGAGTCGGTGAGAAACGTTACCTGGCCGCAAAGCCCTTCCAATGCCATCCTTTCCAAGCAATACTTCTTTGACAATCTTTCCTTGCGGTAACATCGTAACAATGACCTCGCAATCCGCAAAGGCTTCCGGCTTTCCATACGATGGGGTGGTATTCTTCCATTCGGAAGCTGCGCGTTCGACTTTGGCTTCATCTGCATCATGTACAACGAGGTGATATCCCGCTTTGGGGAGATTCGAGGCCATGGAGAATCCGGCATTCCCCAGGCCAACATAGCCGACACTTCTGACGGCTGGTGGTGCACCGTTGGTTGTGGGAGGCATTTCTGCGGCTGCGATTCTCTTTTCCGATGACAAGACACTGAGATTGAAAGGAATTGAGGGCGTTGTTCTGACCTACGGCTCCTACACTGATTTTTGAACGTCTGCGATGTCGGACGAGGGGAATGCGGTCATTGTTGAGGGAGAGCTTCAGCTTTGCGGAGGTGTTGTTGGACAAGTGAGGTTGGCCGAGCATTTGACTTTGCGTCTCGAGACGAGGCTGACGATCTCTGTGTCCATTGTATAAGAAGAAGAAGAAGAAGGCGAGAAATACATCCGCGTATCGTTGCACTGTTTTCCTCCCTCACGCCCAAGTGAAGGCTCATGGCGAGATGGAAGGTTAGTGCGAGAGCTGAACTCACTTGAGCAACAAGTACTCACGTGACACTCCAGCGGTATGTCACTTGGTGCGGCCTCTTGGACGATGGAGCATTATTCGGCGCCGGAATGCAGCATCATTCGGCACCGGAATGTTTGGAGCACCGAGAAGCCGCTCCAATCGCTTTTTGTAGCGAAGCCTGAGTCTTATAATAAGCAGAGCAGACCGAGTCCTCCAGGTGCACGATTCTGTACCGTGCCGTGAAACCTCATCCATCACCGGTCATGGTCGTTAAAAGACCAGAAGCGGCCTCCCAGAATCTCGTACCGACGACTCATCGCCTCTTATTACGCACATGTACGTGATGCCATTTCTCATGCCCTATGTTCGTGCAGGCATTGTCGAAGAAGGGCTTCTGTGCATTCATCAAACCAGAGGAGCCACGCAACACGGCAGTGCCTAGAGCGTATAGGCTTCTCCACTGAAACATCCATCCTTGTCACATGCCACCGGATCCCTCCCCGTGCAGCAGAATACACTTTTTCTTGGCTGCACAAGAAGGTTTTGACTCGTGGCTGCTGCTCAACCACAGTGCAACAGGAAAATTCCCCACACGTGCGTGCGGCGTGCGGCTCGAAGCGAGTCTCCCGCTGCATGTAGTCGTTTTGGAATTTCCTGTTTCCCATGTGCTAGCATGACGATGCAACTGCCAGCAATACTCAAGACGTGTTCCCCAGGCTCGGAGACTTGTCTGGATTTGGGTGATGATATAGCTAGGATCTGATTTTGCTGGAGAAATCCTTTTATACAGGAGTAGTGTGCTTCTGACGTGTTGCACGGCTGCTACGCCGATGCGCAGAGTCTCTGTTCAAGCGCATTAGTAGACACATCGGGACAGGACCTTCTCAGGATAGCAAATAGCTTCGTCGTAGGCATCGCTGGCTGAATAGTAGCGCTCACGCGGTCCGTGACAAAAACAGACAGGATCGAGGCTGTCGTCGTCGCTCTCTGCTATGCTCTCAGCTTCTACCGCCGGAGAGTCATTCGTTGCATTTCTCGGGCAGTCGGCATTTGCAGAGGGCGATAGTCGCATCGATAGCTGATTTGCGACTCTGCAAAGGATATACCAACCACGAGTAAGGATGACAATGCTCAAATGACGCATTCGGCAGACGGGCGGGTGAAATAATCAGATGAACCTTACCGCATACCGCCATGACGGAGATCGGCAGCCCCAAAAAGGGCATTGGGGACGCCTCCGACGTGGAGGTCTTGCGCTGAGCTTGCCACGAGTGTCCCGTTCATCATGTACGTCGGCGATGCCACAGATGCTGAATGCACGGTTTCACCGCTCCCCAGAGCAGTGTCAATCGCTGTTCATGACACTCCCGGGACCTTCGAGTCGTGCGTTGCTTCGAGTGGTTGCTTCGAGTGCATCGAAGCGCCAACTTCGGTCAATCAATGTGCCGCACTCCGTTCCCAACACCTACTGCGGTGTGGGCCAATATTCGCGAGCCTTTCGCATTCGGCCCACGCGTTTTGTTGAAGTCTCTAACCGATTCGCGGCTACACGCTACATGCCCCTCGCCCGCCATTCTTCCCGTTCACGTGTCGGCTGGGTCTGAGATCATCCTGGTCAAAAGACTAGAGGGCCAGGGAGCAGACCGGACTACAAGCCTCATTCTGCGGGCGACTTGCGTACATTTCCTCTTCCAACGTCCATGGAGAATCCGCACCGACTCAGTCGGCCAAAACGCGCCGGATCATGTATCACAGCCCTCTCACCCGCATGCTCAACATGGTTTGCCAGGGCGAATCTCTCCAAAGTCGCGGACTGTCCGTACTGACGTCGGCCAAACCCAAAGGCATGCACTTGTCATGGCTGCTCTCATGCAGAACAGTGAAGTCCAAATGCAAGGCAATAGCAATTGCTTGGTCGAGAACCTTGTAAGCATCCTGGTCATACAGCGGTTCAGTGTGCCGCTATCCGTTTCCATCTTTACTCGAAGGCTCTTAATTGTGACCATAGTAGATACGCGCAGCACTGCCCTGAAGTGAACACACTGTGGATCCTTGAGGAATACGGTTTACGGCCACGTTGAGTGCCACGCATGGTCGACGAGATCCTGTACACATCCGACTATGCAGGCGGATGCAATGCCTTCCAGGTTCGCTGCCGAAAGGAGAACTGTTCCACTTTATGTTAGCAGAACGATCCGGAACGAGCCCCAGAAATGTCTATAAAAGGGCCCTTCCCATTCACCATTCGACTCTTTCTCTTCTCATCATCAGCATCTTCACCACTCAACAAATCATCACAAGCCGCTTCTTCATCACATCCAAACAATCCATCAATCCTCATCAACATGCAATTCACACTCATCGCAACCCTCGGCCTCAGCGCTTTGGCTGTCGCTGCTCCGTCACAACAGGATGCCCAACTCGAGGCCCGTAACAACGGCAAGACTTATTGCTGCCCCAAGGGAAAGACTCACAGATGCTACGAGTTCCAGGGTGTGTCCTCAACCTTGCAGAGCGCATTGCGTGAGGATCCAGTGTCGACATGAACTGATCAAGCTCTCAGGACGCGGAAACAATTACCCAAAGAACGTGGATGTGTACCAGCAATGCTCCAAGGACCTAGCTCTCATCAACGTAAGTATTGCCTCCAGAATATGAAACCTGCAGTGACTGATCTCGATGCAAGGTTTTTGTCTGCGATGTTTTGGACAACAACAAGCTCAACGTCCCCATCGATATCAGCCTTCTGTCCTCTTAGACGCTCGAACCGGATTGTCGAACTCTCAGCTGGATGCCAGCCTGGCTTGCTTCCGTTGTGCTGTGTCCGTACAATAAGGAATGTGTTGTAACCCCACGGTCCTTTATGAGGGAGGAAGATTGATTTTCTGTTTTCGAACACAGCTTTAATAGCATACGCAACGGAAGCCGTAAAACACAGCTTTAATAGCAGACGCAATGAAAGCCGTAAAGTAACTGTCCATCATCTGCCCCTTCTTCACCGGTGAAGTGTTTACTCCTGCCATCCGTGAAGAATAGCACGCCAGCTGGTTGCTAGCATATCACAATAGCTGTCGCGGCTGTTCTTGAGCGTGCCAGCTGGCGGTGTGGATTGGTCCAGTATGTCCTAATACGTTCGAAGTGCCAATGGTGACAATGGGCTTTGCATACTCCTCGTCATACCGCATTATTCTCCGATGAAAAGGGTCCCGGTCTCGCAGTGCGCAGGTAGCGACATCCAGCGTGCAGACCTGATACTGAGAATAGCCACAACATTGCGGGGATGGACGGATGCGTTGTGCAGGTGTACCTGCAACCGGGAAAAGGAGATGAAGTTGGCAAAAGGTAAGTTTAAGGTTCTGATGCTAGCAGGGCCCGCGGAAGACTAAGCCGGGCTCGGTGCCGGGCGGCTGGTGCAGATAAACTTCGCGCTAGCCACTCAGCACGTGACCGTATCAGACCTTCCAAGCGCCCATGATGCTGATGATACAACCTTCCAACAACATTCACAAATCCACAAAGGTCATCGCACTGTTCTGAAACAGACTTTCCACGCTTGAGGCGTGAAGCGAGGATGTTTCATCAGATCCGATAGCTTGAGCCAAATCGCCAACCAAATCCGACATCTCGAAGACGTTTCGATGCTCCTTGGCCCATACTTTCCTCTCCGGCGACACAACCCCATACGACAGCGTGCCGTACTGCTGTGGCGAAAGCAGCGTCAAGATCACCGTGGAAGTCGTTGGCGTAGCAATCGATGTGCCGAAGAGTGCCGCGTCTGCACTCCAACGCTTCCGCCTGCCGCACAAACAGCGACTCTAGTGGATCGGTGTATGGTGTATCGACCAGCATGATATCGAAGAGCGCGGCCATCAAGGTGCGGATATGCATGGAATTTACCGCAGAGCAACGTTGAATCTGGTCTTGCTTGGTGAGGATGAGCACGGTCAGATCAAAGGTGCTTTGGAAAACACGAAAGCCATCCTGGACGAAGGCTGCCGTAGACACGAATGATTTCGCCGCGTTGTCAAGCATGGTCTCTGACTCTGGCGGTAGCATTCTGACAGCGACGTTTGGCTTCGCTGTCACGCTTAACACTCGTCCGGTCTTGGAGCTCCGTCACGGGTCGTACTTTAGCAGATCATGCATAGTGCAAGAGGCAGCATTGTCTCCAACAAGCATCTGCTTCTGTGGTCCTCACGAAGTGCGCCTGATTGGCATCCTCCGTGCAGCAAATTTCCTGTACTACAAGAAAAACTTCGTGGCCATTGAAATCCGCTTTAGCACAGGCATCTACAACGCCTCAACGGTATGGTCGTTGCTTCATCGCAAGCTCACCACAACCGACCCTCAGAAGCTACGCCTGTCGCCGCTGCTGCGAAAACTGTAATTATTCAAAGTGAGGGATTCGAGAGATCATGTTTTCGGAGTCCTTGGCCTTTACAAGCAGCACGCAGGAACGAGATTGCTTTCACCATCACTAGAGCCCATTTACACCAAATGGAGACCACACGTTCTAGGAGATACCGCGGCATTCTGTCTTGCTGAGCGCCATGACCTAGATAGAGCCTTTGAACAGAGTTACCCATTGGTCTGAAGACGATGATCATATCACATCCAGTTGGATCGCTGAGACCGACCGTGGAATACCAGAAGAGACACGTCGTGCCTTGTGACCAATTTCCATGCGTCCGACTCAACTAGATCCCAAATAATGAGTCCCAAAGCCGCGAATGAAGACAGTCCAATCGACGTGCCGGGCGACGCAAGCATCCTTCTTCGGCTGCCAACTAGTCTTTGTTGACTCTGCTAAGCGGCATGAGCCCTTAGATGTCGTCTCTCGTGATCATACACTCATTTCCATGCGTCGTCATCCTTTCAACCCTTGGAAAGACTTGGCCCAAACAGGTCGTCTGCATCCCTACTGCTCTTCTGTCGTTCTAGCTTCCGCTTCTTGTCCTTCTCATCTGACTGCCCGCCGCTCTTCGCGTCTCGATGGCTCTTAACCAAGTCTCTCGTGCTCGGATCTCGGCATCGCTCCAATTTCTCTTCCAGCCCTACACTCTCTTGCTTCGACATGCCTCCTTCTGGATCGAAAGACGACAGGAGAGATGCGCAGGAGGAAATCGTAGCAAGGATCTTGGGTCGTGCTGGGAGTTCGAGAGCGATTTTGGTATCCAGGTAGAATGCCGCCAGGGGAGGATCGGAGAGACGCAGTGCTGCGAGCAAGATTTGTGAGGGGGTGTAGAGGAAGTAGGCATCTGTGATCAGAGCATGGGCGTCGAGTAATTGTCTCGCGCCCTCGTATGCGGCCATCACTCGATCCCTTAATGCCGTCTCAGTGATTTTCTCGGATTTGCGCGGTTGCCATGGTGTTCTGCTTGCTCCGGGTTTCGGGAGATCCAACGCCATCATGGCTTCTTGCACTTCTTTTCCGCTCCTCCCATCCGTTGTCGAGCCGTCGATGCCCTCTATCATGTTCAACAATTCCATCAAGACGCCTTTCAAGCCTCGATATGGATGCCTCACGTCCAGCGTGAATCGCAATGCTTGCATGACTTTGTACTCGGGCGCCAAGACTGCTTCGGCATCACCACCAGCATAAGCCCTTGTAAACTTATGCACAGTCCAGTGCAGGGCTTCTGTCTTTGTCGCGAGGAAGAGGACGGTCTTGTATAGCTCTTTCGGAGGGTATGTCATGCAGGAGTTGGAGAGGTAGAAGCGCTTGAGGTATTGGATTCCGGTGGCCGTTATGAGCGGAGGGATGTTCATTCGTGCGGCCATCTTGGAGAGAACGATGCAGTAGCGGCGTACGAGGCCGAGTTCTTCCTCTGCGGTAAGGCAGTCCGCCGGCGTGACGGGCTCGGGTTCGCCGTTGGCGGAGCCATGTTGTTGGTATAGCTTTGCTCGGGCAAGCGCGAGTTCGTGCGTCTTTTTGCGCTGGGCGGCGAGCTGTTCGGGAGAGAAGGACCAGAGACGATATTGTGTCGAGGTGCGGTAGAGATCGTCTTCGCTGAGGGCGGTGGTCATGTTGGAAGGAGATGTGTAGGCGGAGGTGGAGGCAGAGGCGACGTTAAGCTAGGTTGGGACCTCGGAGCTTCGCTTGCTGTCGCTCTGAAGTTTCGCTCGGATTTCACTCTCACATGCAACAACACATCTATCCTCACTTTCACTCACACACATGACTTGGGCTTAGCGTCGCATGCACAAGTTCATGCTGTTAAAAATCACTCAATCGTGGATCTGATGAACATTACGACCTGGCATGGCGTTGATGAGGCATGCGTCCAGAAGGGCCATCGATATCTTACACTTACCTTCCGAGCTGATCGCTCACATATTCCAATATCTCGACGACTATGACCTTTTCAATGCACGTGTCAGCCATAGAGCTCTGGACAAGGCATCATTCGAGCATTTTGCCCGGCGTTTCTTCCGCAAAAAGGGCTTCATGATCACAACCCGAAGCCTGACAGTTCTCCAGCACATCGCCACTCACGATGAACTTGGAAAGTATTTGCAGCACGTCTGGTGCAATCCGGACTGCTACACCTTCGCAAGGCCAAAGTGTTGTCCTGACGATGAGGAAGACAGTGATCTCGACTCAGCCGATGGACTGGAGACGCCACTGGAGAAGGGGCCCGTCTTAATGGCGAGGGTACACAGCACGTTGTCAAGGCAGTACGCCGCCTATTGCGATGTCATACGTGATCACAGCGATCTTTTGTATTCCGACAAGCTGGAGGAGAGGCTCAACCATGCTTTCAGACTACTGCCGAACCTACGGACCGTGGGTATGCGAAGGAGCGAAGACTACAGTCCGTATGGCTGGACTGAGATCAAAGACGCTGTTGGAGAGGATCCGCGCATACTCGGGCCTATACCATCAACTCCTAGCTCAACTCTCTCTGGTCCGACACAGCTGTTCATAGCCCTGATCGGAGCCATTTCTGCCAGTGGTACGCGGCTGGAAAGGCTCTACACAGACGCCATCGAGGTTGACAACGTACCCGAGAACACCCTGACGCAGGAGAAGCTCAATGCAGCCTGTTCGTCGATCCTGTACATCGAGGCGAATGTGATCAAAGGCTTCTTAACCACACACCCTGTTCCTGACACACATGAGTATAATCCTAGGCCAGGTACAGCAGAATTGGGAAAAGGAATGGCACACCTCTTCAAAGCCATGCCGAACCTCAAAGAGCTCGGCTTGCAAATCTTTCGCGACAACCAGGCACAGCAGACGATTCTCGCACCTGGGATGAGCCCTCCAGAGGGCCTCCGAGAATGCTACCCTTACTACGCCTTCGATCGCCTGGTAAATGAGGTTTCCTTCGCCGGTCTCACGCGCATCAAACTGGAAAAGATCACGGCCATGGCATTCCAATTCAAACGATTTCTTGAGCCCTGCGCTCCCAATCTCACCAGCCTGAAGCTCCGCGACATCCGCCTCATTACTCCAGAAGGTGAATCCAGGCCTTGGGAAGCGATCTTCGCCTTCTTGCGGAGTTCTTGTCGAGCACTGGAGTACGTCCTTTTCTACCGCCTCATGTACGAGCGTGGTGCGATCTCGTACACTGAAGATCCTCCTGCCGCCATTACAAATCCAGCGTACACTTACAATCATCTCCCATCGCCTGTTAATCGAGCTCTGTTTACCAACTATGATCAAATTGCCGCAGAGGCCAGCGGGGAACAGGATGTGAGGAAGAAGCTGGCAGAAATCGAGGAGAGGCATTGGTACCAGAGGCCGCTTTTCACGTATGCGATGGACGAAGATTTGTGGCATACTGATACCAGTGATGAGGAGTGGTAGAGGATGCTAAAGTCAGGCGAAGATGTCGGAGATAGAGCACAGAAACCGATCGAGCGGGCTGAAACGTGGGGCGACCGAATGGGGTCTAGCGTCGACTGCCCGGAACAGGAAACATGTCAACAATGCGAAATTCAAAGCCCATCACTCATCACATACACAACGACCCACAACACTGTCGCCGCAGATTCTCCTCCGCCGTGCGCTGCTCATACTGCATTCGCGATCATATCGCACATCTATCTCTGACCCTATCGCCGCCGAAAGAGCATCTATCTCCACGACCAGGTTCAAGTTGCGCCGCGCGGGACCCAAGCTCATTGTGCATCATCACTTGCGCCCAACGTTCTCCCGCGCCGAACTTCCACCGTCACTCCGCCATGCAGCCAACCACTGCGTAACACTCGTTTACATTGTACGTTCGTTGGAGGCCCTGCATTATTGAAGGATGGGCGGCGCCGGCGAGCTTCCACGTTTCCCGTGTTGGTGTAAGGCCACATACTCATGGGGAGGAGAGACCAAGAAGGACTTGGGCTTCATCGAAGGCGACTTGATCGAAGCCCTCAATGCCGGCGATGGACAGTGGTGGATGGGACGTCTGCGGCGCGATCCAAGAGCTGTCGGCCTGTTTCCCTCCAACTTCGTGCAAGTCCTCGAGGAATCCTTCCAGCCAGCGCCCAACAACCGCAATGCTACGCCCCCCACACAAGCGCGATCAAAGCACCTCGATTCAGCCAAGAACAAGTCGATATTCAGGAAGCCATATCAAGCGTATGAAGAGTTTGGAAAGCGCGAAGGCTTGGACAGTCTCCGCGGAAAGGAGAACACGCCGGAGAATGAAGTTGAGAAGGCCAAGAAGGAGAAGAGCAAGTTCCGGCCGTATTCTAGCATGAAGACGGCACAGGCACCCACGAGCACGATAAAGAAGCAGGGAGGTGTAAGCATCATTCCAGAGGATGATGGGCCTCGGATACCAGCTCCACCGCCCAGAGGTGGTGCACGCCGCTCGCGAAGCCCACAGCCTCCGGCGCAGCCATATTCTGCGTCGCCAACTCCTACGCCAGGTTATCCCGTACACAGACAGCCTTCCCCTCAGCCGATGTATCGAGCGCGCACTCCGCAGCCCGATTATCAGAGTTACTCGCCTGCTCCTCCTCGATCACATTCACCTCTGCCCGCGACATATCACGATGGCTCAGCATATCCACAGATACTGGCAGTCTCTCGGCAACCATCGCCGAACCCTCACGATCAATCATACTATTCCAGAGGCCCGTCGCCGGCCCCGGTCGAGGATGATCTGGCATCCTCCCCACCTCCACCACCTCCGGCACATCGCGTTGCGTATCAACCCCGCAGAGCTCCCTCGCCGCAGCCAGACGACATGATGCATCCTGGATTTGACAGAGGTGGTACTGTAACGCCAATACCTCCTTCACCGAACGGTAGCCACATGACTCCATCTCCTTTACGTAACGCCATGAACGATGTTATGAACTCATTGCAAGACATGAGCAGCCTACACCAGTCATCACCTCCTGCACAAGCCGAATCTCCACCAAATGTATGGTCTCCGGATGCGTTTGAACTCGTCAGAAAGAAATCTATGCAGGAGAATCGAGCACAGTCCTCCATGGGGTTTGCACCTCAGCACCGGGCGCAGTCATCACTCGGTCTTGCGAATCACTACCAGGGTTATGAGGATGTCAGAAGCAAAACGCCGTCATTGCCGTCGTCACGGCAGGGCAGAGGCGGTCTCGATGATTACGTGCAGCGGATGGAGAGCCAGCTGCGACACGCACCCTCATTTTCTTCCGAACACCCGCCTCAACCGCCGCTCAAGGGTACACAATATAGAGCGCCACGTCCCACGACGTCCGAAAGCAATTCGAGTAACAGTTCCGCGGGCATTTATTTCCAGGAGCCTGCACTACCTCAACTACGACATCGCAAATCCGCATTCGAACTGGGGAGAGAGAGACTCAATCGAACGTATACCACCAAGACAAATGCGACCAATTCGACAGAGAACTCTTCGGGCACACAGAGCAGTAACAGCACGCAGCTGACCAGTCGAAGCATCATGTCTGGATACTCAGCGGGAGGATTCAGTGCGACGAGCGCAGGCAGTCTTGCAAGGCGAAAGTTTGGATTTGGCAGTCAACGAGGGCGTACGATAGATCCGAAATCGACAGGCGATACAAACTGGAGTGCGCGTAGTATGGCCGCTAGCGAGAGTTCGGGCTCAGGGCCTAGTTATCACGAAAGCCATGCCTCAGCAAACCAGCCTATCATCACCCCTGTGGCCGATTGGAACAAAGACCCGATGGAGTCCGCAGGTGTCTTGGGTGGCCTGACATCACCAACCAAGATTGGCCGTAGTGGGTTCTTCAAGCGGATGGTCGATGCCGCAAAGACGACCGCGAGAACAGGTGCTGCCAACGCACGGTCGACCATCGGGAATGCAAGTCAGAGCCGGCCTGGCAGTCGGTCAGAGAGTCGGCCTGCGAGTAGAGCTGCCAGCCCGGTCAAGGGGGTGCTCGGCGGCAACGGTCCAACTGCAATTGCTGGTGGAATGGCTGCAAGACCTGCGACTGCGCAGGGTAGTGCCGCCAGAGATATGGGCTTGGGCGGCGGCAATGACTGGATGCAAGTCAGACGAGATGTAAATCGCTCCAACTCGCTCAGTCAACGGGAGCGTAACGAACGAGCAGAACGATGTGAGTTGCACGACATTCCAGCTTCGCAGCCAATACATCAACTGCATGAAGCTGTCGACGGTGATGAAGGTCTCGACGGCTGTCCTATCGTGGAGCCTACCGACTTCAACTTACCGAACCTGGCCCTTGTGGACAAGAGCACCCGCTTCCTTCGGAGCGTCCCCGCAATGGTTAGCCCATCCTCGCTCGCGCAGAGCTATGTGTGCCGGCCACATAGGAGCGATGTGCAGCGACTCAGGGCCATCTTCACTTGGGTTGCCGAGCGTATCACGTGGGAAGAGGATTACGAAGGCAAGCTGGATCCTCGAAGAGCAATACAGACCAGACGGGCCTGCAGCGAGGAGATTGCTTTGCTTGTTCAAGACATGTGCACTGCGGTTGGCCTTCACGGGGAGGTCGTGCGTGGATATCTGAAGTCGCCTGGCGAAATACTTGACTTGGACACCGTTGCTCGGCCCAACCACTGGTGGAACGCGGTCATTGTGGATGGTGAATGGCGCGTCATGGACTGTGCGCTTGCCAGCCCAACGCATCCACGAAGAAGCGCCTACAGCGCAGCGAGTAGCCAAGTGGCCGAATCTTGGTACTTTCTGGCCAGGCCTATGGAGATATGCTACACACATATCCCACTCTTGCCAGAGCAGCAACACTTGGTACCACCTGTTGATCATGAGATCTTGATAGCATTGCCATGCGCTTGTCCAGCCTACTTCCGCAACGGCATCGATATGTCCAACCTCGACACAAGCATGCTGCATCTCGAGAAGTTGGAGATGGCACACATCCATGTGAATGTTCCGGAAGACGTCGAGTGCGTGGCCGAAACTGAAGCGAGAGTCTTCGCCCAAGATGCTGATGGCGACGTCTTCGAAAGCGGGGATATCGTGAAGAAGAAAGCCTTTACGCAGGCTGAATGGATCGGTGGGCGGAAACGCTTCACCATTAAAGCTCTTCTCCCGGGTGACGACGGACAAGGTGTGCTCAAGGTATACGCTGGCAAGCGTGGACTCATGCACTCCGTCAAAGACAATCCGCATTCGATGGCACTGGCCCTGCCTCTCACGCATACCGGGCAGAACCCGCCTTACGAGTTTGTCGCGAGACATCCGACTCCTCACGCCCAGCGACATGACCTTTACATCGCACAGCCACAGTGCTTCCGCCTGACGATGAACAATACGTTTGTGTTCTGCGTTCGCCAACATCCTTCCTCTCTGTCCCGCTTCTCTCCCGACACTTGGGGCAGCGGCGGTGGAAGTGGCAGCCAGACTCGACCCCAGAGCCCTAACCCTCTCTTCCGACCTTCGAGCGCCATGAGCATGGTCTCCATGTCCGCCTCCCAGGCTGATAGCCAATATTCTGAGGGCCCGGGATCAGGACATCCCATGACTGCAGCGCAACAGAAGCCCGCGAAACTGGCGATCCAGAGTCCGTCCCAGAAGATCATCCGGTTGACGAGGAAGCAGGAGCACATGAGCCGGAATGTGGAAGAGGACATGGGGCTCACCAGTACCTGGGAGACGGTGATTAAGATTGGGGAGAGGGGGCTCTGGAGGGGTCTCGTTCTCGCGGATCGCAGCGCGAGGTGGTGTGTCTTTGCCGAGTGGGAGTGTGTTTGAAATCGATTGATTCTGCCTTTTGGGTTTCATGGGAGATGGGTGTATGAGTATGAGTATGATTATGAATATGGATATGAGTACGGGTGAAGTTTGTTCTCTGGCTCTGTTCATGTGTGTATGCATTATGGCGAGTATATGTTAGATGAAGCATTTAGAAAACTTGTATGATATTGTAAAAGTGAAAAGCGTTGGCGTTTGGCAATTCTCTAGGTCGATATCATAGATGGAATGGCGAACACGACGTAGTAGCACAGAGTCAGATCAGATCAAAAAACTTAAGAGGAAGAATGAAACGTTCACCTGTTTCCTCGCGCGCATATGATATCTACTAACAGCATCTCTCTCCTCGCGGAACATTATTAGATCGCCTACCTACCTTAGCAAGACAAGCCAAGACCAAAAAACCAAAAAAAAAAACCAACAGCGAGTCGCATATCATAGCGCCCAAAACATATCAGCGGTAGATAGCTGGCTGCCATCGAGACCCAGAACAATTCCTTCCGAGGTGTCAAGATGCTGGTACCGTGCCGTGCTGTGCTGTGCTGTGCTGTGTAGTGTAGAGACGTCTGGCCGCGCGAGTTCCGGAATTTCCCAGGAATTTAGATAGAAAAATTACCCCCCCTTAGCCTAGATAATAACTTTGAAGGGTAGGTATGGTAGTAGGAAGGAAGGAAGGGAAGGAAGGAAGGAAGCAATCCATTGATTAGCGTCCGTCGTATTATTGTCGATGCGATAGGTAGAATACATGTATATATATATATATATGTATATGTCATCGTCATAAAAAGAAGAATTTTTTTGGAAAGCTCCTTTTTTTTTGTTCTTCTTCCTCGATTGATTAATTGCTTTCGAAATCATCTCTACAGCCAACAAGCCGGGATATATATATATATATATATATATATATATGTTCTCTAAGTTGAGCAGATCGGACAAAGACATGTGTAAGGCATTGGCGATAGCACACATGCATCTGACGTTGATATGTGAAATAGAGGAGCTGTGCACGTTTGAGTACTATGAGAAGTACAACTGGTGCGGAGAGCGAGCGGGGATGGAGGAAAGAGAGAGAGAGTCATGGATAGAGATATATATAGGTAGGTAGGTAGGTTCAAGATTTCCTTCGAAACTCTACCTCACCTTCTAACAGCTTACTCACCTACATAGGTTTCAAAACCCCCATCTCTTACTTCCACCTAACCTGTCCCAACAGCCGCCAAGAGCCAAGAAGCCAGCAACAGCTACTACTTACACTGCTTACTGCGCCTTCCTCCCACCAAGATCGAGCTTCTGCCTCAGAGTCTCCTCCACCTTCCTCCGCAGATCCTCCCCAGCCGGGGCCTGCCCATCTTTCCGCCTTCTCTTGACCTCCTCCACAATCTCATCCACCATCTCGTCGAATTCCCGCCCGGGATCCGTCGGGACACCCAGCGTAGCACCCTGCAGACTCTCCTGGCTCTCGTTCCTCTTGAGATCCGGGCGCGTGCTGCGTGCTTTGACTTTCCTCTGCAGCCAGGTCTTGCCGGGGGTGAGGAGGAAGAGGTTCAGAGCGAGGACGCCGATGGGGCAGTAGAAGTAGTTGCGCGCCCAGACGAGGGTGCTGTCGTGGATGGTGAGCAGGATGAAGGGCGCGGTGGTGAAGGAGAAGGCGAGCTGGGTTACGAGCCAGGTGAAGACGTCGTAGTAGATTTTGTGCTTGGTTGGTTTCGTGCCGTCTGGTGTCAGGAAGAAGGGGCGAATGAGGCGGCGAGAGTCTGAGAAGCAAGTTGAGTCAGCGATTGAGGCGAAAAGGAGATCCTGTAGTGGGAAGCTCACTCTTTGCCACATTCTGAATGAAAGATGCCAGGATGAAGGACATGTAGTAGCCAGGCGCAAAACCGTGCCAGAAGGCGCTAGTCACAAAAGTGGCCATACTCGCGCGGAAGCCCGGCTTCTTCCCTTTCGGTGTCACACGCAGATACATGTAATTCCTCAGCCAGTGGTTCGTGTTGATGTTCCAGTTACCCAGATAAGCATGACTGTTCTGTGCCAGCTCGACGCCAGCAGGCTTGATGTTTGTCAATCGACCCCAATCCGCTTTGCCAGTCTTGGGGTCAATACCCTTGTATCCGAGTCCGGAGAGAATACAAGAACCTTCGGTCAAGGTCCAGACACCGTAGTACTTCATGCGCACGACCAGGTTCATCATATGAAGGTAGAAGACGCGCCGTGGGAATGAGTAAGTGGCATATTCGTCGCTCAGAACGACTTCTGGGTTGAAGTACGCCGAGAACTGCAAGAAGGCGAGAATCCACAGGAGGCCGGTGAACATCTTCAACATGGCTGGCGTGGCACTTCGGGGGATCTTGCGCTTTCCGCGCCTGGGAGGAGCCTTCATCGGATCGGTACCGGGTGGCAGATCGAACATGGTGGTGTTGATCCAGCGTTCGTAGTCGACGTAGTCGAAGGCAGGGCCCGCCATGACGGATGGAAAGAAAGCCACGAAGCCAGCGTAAGTCAGAAGGTCAGGCAGCTTCCGGACAGCACGCTCCTTCTGAACCTCGTTGAGCTCCGATGCAGGCTGCTTGCCGTCCCAGACATTCCAGCAGAAAGCAGTCAGCTTCATGACCAACACCATCTGGGCGCCAGTGATGTCGACGGAGGTGGGAGAGTCTTCGAGCATGCGGTAGATGTGGCTGATGGACATGTGACCCATGAGGAAGACGAAGCCGATCCATGGCATGTACGGCCCTTGGACGTATGCGGCGATGAGATATGTGCCGATCGCATCGAACAAGACGACGGCGAGGCCGGACCAGAGGTCGAAGAGGCCGACGAGGAAGAAGATGCATACTCTGACGAGGATCAGTAGGTGATGATGATGGTGACTGGTGAGGGAGAGGAGCTACGAGATGTTGAAGATGTTCTTGACGTCTGGCCTGCTGTCGGGTAATCGCTTCAAGACTCCAGCCAGCGGGTATGATATTAGGAAGAGGACGATGAGTTTGACTGGAAATGAGGGTAAAATTAACCAGTGTAATTGAGTAGCGGTGTTGGGGGGGGGGAGGCGTACCTTCATCGACAGAAGCCCCCAGTATGCTTGAGACATATTCAAACGCTGGGAGTAGGTTAGTCTGTGTGGAATATCGCAGGAATTGGGGAGCTACATACGGACATTGATGTAGGGCAGCATTTTGGTTGTCTTTTCTTTGCGTAGGCGACGTGTCAGCTTGCGGCCTGCTTGCTACGGCATCGTCGGGCGAGAGATGACAGGAAGGGGGAGGCTGGTGGACGCTATGGATATCGACAGGCGCAATGGATTATGATGGACGGATGGTATTCGACGGATTCTTGGGAGTGGGAAGAGTCGAGAAAGTCTAGACTGCACGCAAATTGAAGTGAGGTGCGACAAGCGACGTCACCTGAAAGCGAGATTCTCAGCGACACGCTGGATGGCTTGGCGGGTGAATGGATGAAGACGAGAACGAGTATCAGAGACGGCAACAACACCATGAGACACGTTACAAGATGAAATATTTCACCATTGTCTGTTCTCTGCTCCAAGGGGGTTACGCCGGTGTGCTGCGAATCATGCCAACCACGCCCCAACCCCTGCCCGAATTCTCGCCCATAGCTTTGATGCTGGGTATCAAGCACTTCCTCCCATACAAAACTTCGCCAGACGCCGCGCTTACAGCAAGATCCCTTCCCAATGAGTCGTATACGCTTCCAAGCCTTACGTCCCGACACGAATGAATCAACCAAGACCTCCCCAAGCACCGCGTATCCGCCGGGCTAATTGAATATCCTTCTGCATGATCGTCACGCGTTTCGCATGGATGGCGCAGAGGTTCGAGTCCTCAAACAGATGCACCAGAAAGGCTTCTGCAGCTTCTTGTAAGGCTTGGATGGCTTGTGATTGCCATCTGGTGACGCCGGAGCTGACTGGTGCCATGTTCATAGAAATTTCACGGACCTGTCAAGCAATGCATTAGTGAGCGCCTCGCATGTTGCATGTCATGTCATGGACCAGTGGTCGCGTACCAGTCGAGAGAAGGGCAGTTTGGCCATAAGGAGGTCCGTCGACTTTTGATATGTTCGGATCTCCTTGAGAGCTTTTGTACCGGGTCGGTACCTTCGCTTCTTACGCGGACTTGCTGCTGCGACCAGTTAGCCTTCCGTCTTACACAATCACATCTACGTGAGCGTGAAGGCGCGCATCGTATTTCTCCAGATAGGCAAGTCAAGGCGTACCTGCAGTTGCCGCTCCGCTACTCCTCCTGGGCGCCTTTCCGCCTGTTGTTTTGCCTCCACGGGGCGTTGTTTTCCCTCCTCTTGAGCCAGTACTCGGCCTTCCGCCCCGGCCTGATGTTCGCGCCATCTTCACCGGAGAATCGCCGATTCAGATTTCCAATGCGATATGCCGCCGTTTGTTCTGTCGCTTGCAGGAGTGAACGTGACGCGGGTGCTCGAAGACGCGTTCTATCGCAACGTGGACAAGCACTTTCGGGATAGCGGGGCGGGTTGCGGCTCCCGGTGGACAAGAGTGGCACGGTCCGAGTCGGGAGATGTAGGCTGTCGAGCTGCGAGGATGAGAGGTGAATCGGGACGAGGAGTTGGATTGTTGACCTCGACACATGCCAATGTTGTGTTTTCCCAGCCACACCGCGCAACATCGCGTTCAGCCACCAGCGGGAGCAGCCGGAGTTTGCGGAGAGAGCGGGAGCGGGAGCGGGAGCCACGCGCCCACACCCACGCGCTAACCTTAGATAAGCTCATCGGTAGGGACGAGCCGAGCTGCTGACGTTCCATCGTTCGGTGCCTCTGACACTTGTTTCCTACATGTACCTACATGTCAAACACCAAACAACTTCCTCCCACACTCCAATCAGTCCCTCCTACAACACCGAAACACGGCCGTTCACTGGACTTGACAATCCACCATCTTTCCTCCGGCCAGCACTTCCCAAACGAGAACAGCACCCCTTGCCTATTGTTCACCCCACCAAGCACAACATGGCCGCGGTGCTCGGAGATAATGGCGGCGCTTTACCACTCGAGCAATGGTTCTTCGAGACGCCAGTCTGCACACGGATCTGGACCACTGCCACTGTCATCACCGGAGTGCTGGTACAGTGTCAGATCTTGACTCCCTTCCAACTCTTCTACAGCTTCCGCGCCGTATTCCACAAACACCAGGTAAGTCTTCTTAGACCCGTCCACACGGGCAATACTGACCTACTCACAGTTCTGGCGGCTGTTCTCCACCTTCGTCTACTTCGGCCCGCTATCGCTCAATCTCCTCTTCCACATATTCTTCATCCAACGATACGCCCGCATGCTCGAAGAATCCGCCGCCTCGGTCGCCCATTTCAGCTGGATGCTAGCATATACTTGCGCAACTCTTCTGGCTATCGCTCCTGTTTTTAGTCAAGCATTCTTGGGTACAACTCTGAGCAGCACATTGGTCTACATTTGGTCAAGAAGAAACCCGGATACGAGATTGAGCTTTCTTGGCTTGCTTACTTTCAAAGCACCTTGGCTACCGTGGGTGTTGGTGGCTTTCAATGTGGTATTACATGGACACTGGCCCAAGGATGAGCTCTGCGGCATTGCGGTCGGACATGGTGAGTGCAGTGAATCTACGATTGAAAGAGCCCGGCTAACCTCTGTCAGTCTGGTACTTCTTCAACGACATCTACCCTGCGACCCACAACGGACACAGACCGATGGATCCACCGCAATGGTGGATCAGACTCTTCGAGCGAGATGCACTGCCACCTCCAGACTCGGACATTCATGCCGCAGCAATCAACAGGGACATTGCTGCTCCTGCTGTCCCCGAAGTGCGGTAGCTTCGCGTGCCCGATCGGAATATCGTTAGCGTTAATGTAAAACAGTCATGATGAACTGAGCATTTGACCGAATTTCGTAACTACTCTACTTCGTCGACTTCCAGCCGCCGCGCCATCTCCATACGCATCGCCGAGTCTTCAATTCGGAGGTACGTGCGCTTTCCATTTGTAAACCAGAAACCAATTGCCACTACCAGCATCACGCCAAAGACGGCGATCGCGTAGTTCATTTCGCTTGGCAATGGATCTGGGGACGAAGGGAAGAAGAAGAAGACAGCCGTGACTGCACAGTAGAACACATTGATCCAATTGATGGCCGGTCCCACTCTTCCCAAGCTAAATTGGCCTCCATGTGGCAGTCTCCGTCTCCCAACGAGCAGCAGTGCGAGGATGGGCATTCCGTATGAGATGGTCAGAGCAATCGTGCTGACGCTCAAGATGGCCTGGAGGACAGTACTGGCAAAGAGATACAACACCCCCACCAGCGCGATGAGGAAGCCCCTGCAACCCGAGCGCTCTGACTGGCAAGGTACTTTCCAGGTAGCATCGACGCGAGAGAAGTATATTTCTCCAAGGCAATCCGCCGTCTCGCGCCGAAGCCCCAGTAGGTCCGTTTGGCTGGCGGTGGTGGTGGGGGTGATGGCTACCGAGACTGGTCCCTGTCCCTGGCCGTTGGATTCGAAGAGGGCAATAAGTGCTTTGCCATCCCGACGGCTCGGCCAAGCCACTATCCGGAATCCTGTCGCTGACTACTACTCCCGGTATCTCTGTGCTGCGGCGGAGTACGACTGCCTGATTCGGAAAGGAAGGGAAGTTATTATGTACTCTCGAGGAGGTTTGTGTAAGACGGGCTTGGGACGGGCATTATTTCATGGTTGCAGCCTGGTTGGACGTCGCAGGTCTTGAGATTGCTGTTGATTTGTGTGGCGGCTCAATAATTACTGACCTGCATATTCTGCTGGACTCATAAGTTTTGACATGTATCTCGTTTTTGCCGAAACTTAGCTGTTCTCGTCATCACTGTCATATTTCACGGTCGGTCACTTTTTGTGCCGAAACAGCTCTGTTGCGAGAACTGGATGCCTCAGGCAAGAAAGCGGGAGCTACGGCCGCATCGGGCCGCACCGCAGCGAACTTTTCTGGAGAGCTTCAATTTCGATTTCGATTTCGGCTTCACACCACTGCAGCTTTGAATTGTTGCAAGCAATCCTTACCACAAGGACTCAGTGCGTGGCATTCCTACCGCGATAGCGATAGTGCAATCCCACAGCTGAGACATTTACCACCCCGCGCACACTTACAAGAGGAGGGACAGCAGCGAACATGTCGGCCGTAGCCAAGTTGGAAGGGGACGAGGACAAGCACATCATCAAGCCCGAGGCCACGGCTCCCTCCGTCAACACGAGCGACTGGCCTCTGCTGCTCAAGAACTGGGATCAATGTGAGTATCTCAGGCTGTGGTGAAGCTCGCGATGCTGCAGCAGCTCACACCAGCTCCCTCGATTCGGCGAGCACCATGCTGATTCAAAATCGCAGTGCTTGTCCGCACCGGTCATTTCACCCCGATCCCCGCCGGCTGCACACCACTCCGCCGCGACCTGAAGTCGTACGTCTCGTCTGGTGTCATCAACCTCGACAAGCCCTCCAACCCGTCCTCGCACGAAGTCGTCGCATGGCTGAAGCGGATATTGCGCGTGGAGCGCACTGGTCACTCCGGCACTCTCGATCCCAAGGTCACTGGATGCTTGATTGTCTGCGTCGATCGCGCGACCAGACTCGTCAAGAGCCAGCAAGGTGCAGGAAAGGAGTATGTCTGCGTTCTGAGAATGCACGGCAAGCTTCCCGGTGGTGAAGCCCAGCTTGCCCGCGCACTAGAGACCCTCACGGGAGCCCTCTTCCAGCGACCACCGCTCATCTCCGCCGTGAAGCGCCAGCTCCGTATCCGCACAATCCACGAGAGCAAGCTGCTGGAGTTTGACAATGAGAGACAGCTCGCAGTCTTCTGGGTATCATGCGAGGCTGGTACCTACATCCGTACGCTGTGCGTGCATCTTGGCCTTCTCCTTGGTGTTGGTGGACACATGCAAGAGCTGCGCCGAGTTCGTTCCGGAGCAATGGACGAGCAGGAAGGCATGGTCACGCTACATGACTGCTTGGACGCACAATGGCTCTACGACAATCAGCGCGGCGAGACCTATCTTCGTCAAGTGATCAAGCCGCTTGAGACCCTTCTCACGTCCTACAAGCGCATCGTCGTCAAGGACAGCGCTGTCAATGCCGTCTGCTACGGTGCCAAGCTCATGATTCCAGGTCTGCTCCGCTACGAGGCTGGCATCGACGTCCACGAGGAGGTCGTCTTGATCACTACCAAGGGTGAGGCCATCGCCATCGCCATTGCACAGATGAGCACCGTCGAGATGTCGTCATGCGATCACGGCATTGTCGCAAAGGTCAAGCGTTGCATCATGGAGCGCGACCTGTACCCGCGTAGATGGGGCATGGGACCAGTCGCCACCGAGAAGAAGAAGATGAAGGAGAGTGGCAAGCTCGACAAGTATGGCCGACCGAACGAGGCTACTCCCACGCAGTGGAAGCAAGAATACAAGGACTTCAATGACACTAATGGTGCCACCGGCGAGGACAACCTGCGCAAGCAGCCGAAGACGGAGCAGCAAGCCATCGAAGGCGCAGCAGTCAAGGAGGGTATTCCCAACAAGGGCAAAGAGCTGCCGAGCAAGGAAGACATCGAGATGGCCGAGCCCGTCAATCCAGCGACAGCCGAACCGGTGGAAAATGGCGACAAGAAGGAGAAGAAGAAGCGCAAGCACGAGGGCGAGACTGCAGAGGAGCGTGCAGAGCGCAAGGCGAAGAAGAAGGCGAAGAAGGATGCCAAGAAGAAGCGCGAGTCGGCAGTCACTGAAGCTAGTGACGACAGTGACTAGACTGCTCCGCTCCATTTTGTTGCTTCTGCTATTGCTGACGGCGTTTGGTGGGATGGACGAAAGCGTGTCGACGGAAACGGTGGGACTTGTTGGACTCGATATGACACTGCGAGCGGCGATTTTACAGCCACACCCTGTACAGTACGGCGCGCCTGATGTTTGGCGCTTATGCGATGTATTTTCGATGCATGGTGGAGTTCAATGGGCGTTCAGTCTTTGATGTATGGGGCTCGCCGTGCACGCACGGAGCGAAAGCGTGGCACATGAGATACTGCTCACAATGAAAAGACACAAGACTTCAAAAGCTGCTGGTTATTCCTGTATCCTAACAACTTCACCCGGGTTCAGACCTCATCAGTGTGAGTATGAAAGCATCCTCAAACTCGCATCCGGCAGCCTGTCTGGTCTTTATCACAAGCGATGTCGTGGGATTGGTCCGGAATCCTCCTGAAGTGGCTTCGAATTGAGTTTGGCAGCGGACTATACTAGCTGGTACCTCGGAGTCTTTTTAAGTTGAAGATAGGAGGAAGCCAGCCAGCCCCCGAATGGATGGATTCACGGCTTCCTCTGCCGATGGCCTGTCGCGAGACGTGTCGATTGCTATCATACCCCGATTATATCACTCCCGAAGGCAATGACCTTCTCTGCAGAGCGTTTTTGGCAATCATTTTTACTGGATCGAGATTGTCGAGATGGATCAGAAGCCATTCGCACCAGCCCAGCCGAGCGCGTGGTGAGCACCCGAGCCGGAATATTTACTAGATCTTGTGTAATAACCGTGTCCAGGCGACGGCTACGCATCCGCAACATCATCGGAATCATCGTACTACTATTCCTCGGGTATCGCGTCTTGGGCCCGGCAAGACCACCAGCAATCCAGGAAACCAACTCTCCCGTCTACCTTCATGATGGTCTGAGGAAGTACTGGCCGGGCTTCTCGGAGCTGAAACACATCATCTTCTTCGGCGACAGTTACACATCCACCCGCTTCCTGCCAGCGAACGCTCCACCTTCCGAATCCAATCCCTTTGGCAATCCTCCCTTCCCGGGCAACGTGAGCCACAAGCGACCGCTCTGGTCCGACTACCTGGTCACGACATACAACGAGAGCCTTCTCACGGCCATCAATCTGGCATGGGGCGGCGCGACGGTGGATGATCGACTGATCGTGCCGTTTATCGATGTGATTGAGGGTCTGAATCGACAGGTCGGGAATAATTACCTGGATAAGTATGCGCCGAATGCACCCAACAAGGCTACCTCGTCGTTCGCGTGGAATAACCACGATACGCTCGTGGTGTTCTGGTTCGGGATCAACGACGTGCAGGGCGCGTGGTTGTGGGAGAACCGAACGGCTGTTCTGGAACGAGATCTGGCTACGTACCGGGAGAACGTTGTAGGTCTATCTATTGATATCAATATCGACGGACACGACACCATGACTGAGGCTCTGAAACGCTAAATAACTCGACAGGAACAAGTCTACCAGACCGGCGCGCGCAATTTCCTCTTCTTCAACATCCCCCCGATCGAACGCGCGCCTCTCACCCTCGTCCTCACCGAAGACCTGCAGAACCGCAAGCGGGCAGAAGTCCTCAACTGGAACGAAGAAGTCGCCCAGCTCGTGCGCGACTTCACCAAGAAGCATCGCGACGTCACGGCGTTCTGGTGGGATGCCTATCGGTCGTACAATCGCGTGCTCGACGCTCCGTGCTCGCACCCGGAAACGTGTGGCCTGAAGGATCTCACGACCGCTTGTCCTGCGTGTGAGTATATATATACTGAATGGCCGTCAGAGATGGAAAGGCATCCGAGGGGGCTGACGTATTTTTTCGATCCCAGATGCGTTGAAGTTGCAGATGGAAGTCTTGGAATCTGTGAGTGTTTTTTTTTTTTGAAGCATTATTGCCCCCAGTTGATTTGAGGAAAAGGATATTTCGACTGATCAGCTGCTAATGCTGCTGCTTCTAGTGGGAACAATCCGACCCGAGCTGTCCGTATCCGCTAAAGGAATACTTCTGGGTATGTTCTTTTCTTTCCAAATTTTATCTTTCCTTCTTCTTTTCTCGTATCTGGAATTTCTCTCCTGACATGCAATGAATCAATCTTAGATGGACGAACTCCACCACGGCTACCACATGCACGCCGTCACCGCGCAAGGCGTCGTGCAGATGCTGAAAGCGACACCGAAGAATTACTGGCCCGTGTGATAGCATATCGTTTTCAGGGAGGAAAGTGGACAAATAATAGAGGATTTTGGAGAATTCTATCCATCATCTTGATCGAATTCTTTACTGCTTTCCTCTCCCTCTTTCCAACTCGACGGCGAGTTTCCGTGCTTTCTCGCTCCCCTGCTCCGGCGCACTTTTGAAAACCCGCCGACCGTTCTTCCGATACGAGGATTTTTTCATGTCGACTCTGCATTTCAATTCGATGTCTGCTGATAGAGGATGGAGGGAAGAGACACGGCCCTTCTTGGGAAGAAGGATGAGTGTTCCAATTACCCTACAACTGAACCCAAGCCCGTCGTCAGCCAAAAGTTTGCAAAAGAATAAGAAAAAAAAAACCGCCAATCAAAAACTTACATAAGCCCTCTCAACAGTCATCGGATGAAGAAAACGTCCAAAACGCCCTGATGAAAGACCTCTTCCCGGATCCCTTTCCGGAGTGGAATTCGTTTCTCCCATCTCAAGACGAAACCAACGCTGTTTCCTGCCGACGTTTGAGCGATGATGGTGATCGAAATCGTGACAGAGTGATTGTCCAGAAGGCCGTCAAAATTAGGTCACGGCCCGCCGCCATACGATGAGCTTTGATCGCGAAGCTTGGCGCTCAGCTAGTCTTTCACATGCAAAAAACCATCAATCAGCCCACGTCCGATCACTCGCTTGCCGCCCTCTCGGCTGCCGATCCATCTATTCGCGAAAGGGAACAAGATCGAGAGAACAAGATCGATATAAGAAGATCTCGAGATCATGTCACCGGATTTCGCCGTGAGTTTCTCGGCAAAGCCGTCAATCCCCTCGAGATCTCACCAGCGAATACTGAGATCAGCGCTTGGTCAAACCGAGCAGCGAATGGGATCGGAGAGCGTCAGATTCTCGTGGGGAGAGACAAGATTTCGAGTGGTAAGGCAAGGGGACAGACGACGAAGAAGGGTAAAGGAAAGAGGTATGCGGATGCGAAGAGTCCGGAAACGCCAGCTGTGAAGGCTTCTAGCTATGCCGTTTACCAAGAGAGGTAGACCGATCCGCCGAAGGAAGTCTCCCGCCCGGGGTGAAGTTTGTGGGTGATAGAGAAAGGGTCGAGCTGACACGGACACCCAGTACTCCAGATCTGAAAACCGTTCCTAAGCCTACCCTATCACCAGCCTCGAGCCTCGTATGGCGGTGTTCTGGCGCTGCCACCACTCACGGCATGATCACGGGAGATATCCATCAAACACAAGCCTCTCAAACAATGCAATCTACAGAACAATCTCATGTCTACGAAAGACTCGGATCCCCTTTCACAATACAAAACAAAACACTCGCAACCGCCAATGCCCTGCTCCTCCTCCTCCTCCTCCTCCTCCTCCTCACTACATCCCCATCGTATCCGAACTCCCAATATAAACAACCATAATAGCCGCATAAGCCGCCGTACTCCCGACAACCCCCTCCTTACTCGCCTCACTAAAACTCATCCCCCCCGCAAAAACCATCGTAGCCACACAAACAATCACCAACCTCGCGGTCCGGGAGACCAGAAAAGTCATCAAAATCATCGGCACCAAAAGCGACACCCCGCCTAGCAGAGCGATGAGAAACCGATCCAGCGCGCGCGTGAGGTTGCCGAACCGCTTTTTGAGCGCGTCCGCTATGTCGAGCAGGTAGATGTATTCCAGGATGATGAGGATGACGTTGTGCCGGAGGTGGTCGTGCAGGCGGTCGGAGTCGGTGGGAGGGCGCGTGATGCGGCGGCGGGAACCGGAATAGCGGACGAGGGTGTTGCCGGAAGGGTTGACGAGGAGGTCTTCTTCGAAGACGCGGTCGCGGCTTGAGATTTTGCTTAGGGCTTCGAGCATTTGGGCTGGACATTTTGATCATGATTAACATTCAATGTGCGGAGAGGGAGAGGAAGAGAGAGGGGAAGAAATGATGAGAGAGGATACATACAATATTCCAACAAAAGCGGGCCCATCTCCTCCACCAGATGCTGATCGCCATCGCCTCCTGTCGAGATATCAATCTTTTGACATTTCCTCTTAAGCTGCCATTCCAGATTCTTGATGCAGGCGATATAGCAGGGTTCGAAAGCCGAAAATCTGACTTCTTGCTCCTGATACGCCGTGTGGGAGGAAGTCCAGAGAAAAGGGGGAGTGGGTGGTAAGGGTTTGTCTGTTTTACCTCCGTAGAGAGCTACCATGGGGTCGAGGTCTTCCTTTGTTGTTGTTGTTGGTGAGGAGGAAGGGTTGTTTTCTTCATCTTTGATTTTGCCGGTAGTGTCGGTGTTGGTGTTGGGCTTGTTGTCGTTCATGCTGTCTGGTGGCGTTTATCTCGTCCAGGCGTGTATCGTCTGTACCGGTGTCTTTTCAGGACGGTCTTTTGCTGGACGAAGAGTGGTCTTGCATTGAGAAATGCTTAATGATCGCGAGTGAATGTTGAGGCAGGTATCAGAATTCATTGCTAGCGCAGCATGAGGTCAAGAAAAGACTCTCGACCAATGGCAGCTATAGCCGTTGATGATCGGCGTGGCACGAGGCATGGCAATGGCTGGCACATCATAGAGAGAAACACCCTTTTCCGCTGATGAGAATATTTGGAGACGTGCAGGAGATGAAGGACGTGAGGTCAAGTACAATTCAAGGGCCCCAGTCCTCTCGGCAGGGGTTGTCCGGCCTTGGCATAAGAGAAGAACTAGGTTAAAGGCGCGTGATGTATCACACCATTCTACGGTCTACGTATCAATCATCTACCACAGCCACGCCGACTTCATAGTCTTCAATGGCCATCTTGAGCTCCTCCAAATCGCGATTCCTCTGTCTAATCACATAACCCAACGTCTCCGAGAACGTCTCGCCATTGTTGGAAAACCAGTCTCCCAGACCTCGCACATGGGCTTCGACCTGGGCTTTGAGCGGACACTGATCGCGCAGATATAGTAACTGTTCTGGATCGAGCTTCATCATGTCTTCGATGACGTAGTAATGGCTGATGTCGTCTCCCCAGCCTTCGGCACCGGGTTCATGCCAGCGGGACGGCGCCAAGCGCGATTGGTACCTGGCTGATCCGAACGAGGAATTGTGGTACCAGCTGTCCGGTACGAAAGTCGAGGGAGTCGGAGGATAGTTGAGGTGGATGTTGAATGGCAGTTGATGTTTGCTCTCTGGAAATCGTTTCTGGAACTTCTGTCTGATCTTGCCATTGGAGGGACAGACATTATTGGCAACCATGTCGCGCAAGACGATGTGCACGTCCATCATCTCCGCCAGTTCGCTGGTGGAGAAGTTGTGTAATAGGGCGGCTCGCTCGCGCACGATCTCCGGGAGACCACGACACGTGCGGACGTGGGCCGAGTTGTGAAAAGCCTTGTCGTACAGCCACAGGCGGTAGATCGCGCGCCGGAGATTGTAACGCTCCTCGGTTGTCAACAGTCGTCTGTTTGCGTAATCCGTCTTCCATTTCTTGAGCGGGTATATCTCTTCATACTGTTGAGCCACGCGTCCTACTTTGACGACCTGGTGCAATAGAGCTTCTGACATGAGAACACGTCGACGTATATGTGCTGGTTGAGAAGCATTCTGCGTCAGAAGCTGAACGATGTCGTCGACGGGTCCCACCTCAGCGTCTGCGGCGTCTTGCAAGATGACTAGCTTCTTCGAGGAGTGATAGACACTGTAGAGACGATGGCTTGTCGCGGAAAGAGCGATGGCAGAGGCGATGTTGGGTAGAGACAGATAGACATGTGTGAGGATCTCGTTGGGGAGGGCGTCGAAATACATGGTCGCAATCGTTCGTCAATGGGCAATCTGGTCGATATTCGGATCGGGGGGATTCTAGTCTCGTCAAATGATCGTCTGAAGGCTGTCGCGATCGATGATCCAGGTGGCTGGACGTAGAAGGGCACCAGACGAGTGTATTGGTCTCGTCTGGGGGTGGATGAAGTGCTCAGACAACTTGGGCCCCGGCGTTGGGGCTATCAGAAGGGACAAGACACACAGCTTGTAGAAGGCGATGAGGCTGAAGTGCCGGCCCGATATGGGCACTCATCGTCGTGTTGAGCATGTTGTCGTGGTGTCGAGGAAGAGGAGGAAGAGGAGGAAGAGGAATAGGAGGAGGGAGAGGAGGGAGATGTAGGAGCTGAGTCAAGCGTGTGGCTGGGAACTCCCGCTGAGCACAGGCCAGACGGTCGAATATAACTTCACCATCTTCTTGTTCCTTTGCACTCACTACCAAACATCAACATCAACGTCAACATCAACATCAACATCATCAACACAAACGTTGCTGATGAGGACAAGATGTCGTGTCTCTACTCCTCCGCAGCTGTCAAATACATGGCCGACTCCCGGACCCGGATAAATTCATCGTGGAGAGCGGCAGCCGGCCCCGCCAAGAAGATGCAAGATGCCGCCTGACAGCGTGTAGCTTCGCAGATAATAGTATCGGGGCGTGTCATGGCCGCATTGGCGGAATCTTGACCAAGTGGCCCACATCGACGCTCTTCGAAAGGCAGGTCCAAGACTCCCGTGGGGACATGGATACGAAGCTGCCCCTCGACGTCTGCAGACTTCCGTCTTGTCACTCTTGTCACCTTCCATTCGCGGTATCGCAAAGCGTCTCATAATATCCGGGAAATGGAAAGTCAAAGCAACGTCTGGCCGCGTAAGAGCAGCCCCGTCGGCATCATAAGTAGTTTGTGAGTTACGCATACGCCTCGACCACGTACCAGACGGCACGCCTTCCTTCGCTCAGTCCCAAGACCACCAAGCTTTGAGGCCTGCTCAAGCCATCCGGATCCTTGGAGCGGCCATGTTCTCCAAGTCAAGCTTTCGTCTGGCACTGGACCTGGTGGCTACCGCCGCCCTCGCCGCCGCTGGCCCTTGCGACATCTACGCCTCAGGCAACACGCCTTGTGTCGCTGCCCACAGTACCACTCGTGCCTTGTACGGCTCCTTCGATGGTGCTCTCTACCAAGTGCGACGTGGCTCGGACGGCACGACTACCGATATCCAGCCTTTGTCGGCTGGAGGCGTTGCAAACGCTGCCACTCAGGGTACGAGATATGTGCACGCTGCTCAAGTCTGAACGAGCAAGCTGATCCTGCACAGACAGCTTTTGTTCTGGCACGACATGTGTCATCGCTATCATCTATGATCAATCTGGCCGCGGGAACCACCTCACTCAGGCTCCTCCAGGAGGTGCCACAAGCGGTCCACAGGCGAATGGCTACGACGACTTGGCCAGCGCAATTGGAGCACCAGTGACTCTGAACGGCAACAAGGCGTACGGTGTCTTCATTTCTCCCGGTACCGGCTATCGCAACGACCAGACCAGCGGCATAGCCACGGGAGATGCTGCCGAGGGCATGTACGCAATCTTTGACGGTACCCATTACAATGGAGGCTGCTGCTTTGACTACGGTAACGCCGAGACTAACAACCAGGACACTGGTGATGGACACATGGAGGCTCTTTACTTTGGTGACTGCACCATCTGGGGCACCGGTGCTGGATCTGGTCCTTGGGTCATGGCCGACCTCGAGAACGGTCTCTTCTCCGGTCAAAGCGCCGGGCAGAACACCGCTGATCCAACCGTCAATTCGCGCTTTCTGAGTTCGATCGTCAAAGGTGAGCCCAATCAGTGGGCGATTCGAGGCGGGGACGCGGCGTCTGGATATCTGTCGACTTACTACAGCGGCGTGCGTCCTTCTGGCTACAACCCTATGCACAAGGAGGGCTCTATCATCCTTGGGATTGGCGGGGATAATTCCATCAGCGGCCAGGGTACTTTCTATGAGGGTGTCATGACCTCTGGGTATCCATCCAATGCTACCGAGAACTCTGTTCAGGCCGACATTGTAGCAGCCAGATACGCCACGACCGCCCTGAGCACTTCACTCACCACTGGTTCCATAATCACCTTCCGTGCCACCACCCCTGGCTACGATACGCGTTATATCGCCCACAGTGGCTCGACTGTGAACACTCAAGTCGTCACATCCTTCAGCAACAGCACCCTGCAACAGCGAGCCAGCTGGACTGTGCGCACCGGTCTTGGCAACAGCGCTTGCTACAGTTTTGAATCCAAGGATACGCCTGGAAGCTATCTCCGACACTACAACTTTCAACTCCAACTCCAGGCTGGCGACGGTTCGAAGCAATTCAACGAAGACGCCACCTTCTGTATGCAGGCGGGTCTCAATGGCCGAGGCAGCACCGCGAGGGCGTGGGGATACCCGACGAGGTTCTTCCGACACTACAACAACGTCATGTATATTGCGAGCAATGGCGGGCCCGACGCGTTTGATGCGACGCTTTCTTTCAACAACGATGTGAGCTTTGTTACGAGTTCGGGATTCTCGTCTCGACGACGCTAAAGGGGATTCCTGGCCACTGCAAGCACAGGGGGAAGTTTGCATGCTCATCAACTCAAGCGCGTTGAAGTAGCAATGAAATCTTTTCTTGCGCATTGCATTTGCACGCCCATCCATCCTTCTCCAGCGCATCTTCTCACCCAAGCGCTCGGAGTAGTCAGCGGCTGCAGCCACCAAAGCCAAGCTCGTGAAGCCAGTGCACAGACCAGACGAACCAGATTGTTGCGTCTGAAGGAGGTAGGTACATGTACCTTGTCAGTTGGCCCGCTACGGCATTAACCAATGCGTGGGTAGACTGTAACAACTCATCGTCCACGAAACAACAGACACGCTCTCCGCGACCAAGCTTGGAAGAGACTTTCAAAATAATGCGCCACGCGATCCTTCCGAAGCATCTAGAGCTAGCCTATCAGCATTGTGGCTTTGTCTGGCGTGATGTGTTCTGAGGTTATAACTACTGCTGGACGCCAAGAACACCTTCTCTCCCAACGACCGCCATCCAAGTCCGTCAAGACACAAAAATCCACATCTCGTCAAAGCAAGGCCATCAATAAAAAGCCATGGACCTCACCACCACCTGCAGATTCCTCTCCACGCCCACCGCCTTCCTCGTAGCAGGCTACTACGCCTCCATGTCCCAAAACGCCGTCGCCGTCCTCCTCTCGCAACCCCCCAAAACCTCCCTCCCACTCTTCTCGCAAATCTACCATCGCGGCTTCGCCGTCGTCGCGCCGGGGGCCCTCATCGCCACTCTTGCTTTCGCTTACCTGGGCTATGTCGACGACAGCAAGCAACAGCGGAGGAATCTGTACGCCGCTGCGGCGGGGTTATGTCTGGCGCCGCTGATTCTCACGAGGTTGGTGATGTGGGAGGGGATTCAGCGGTTGCTGGGCGGAGAGGTGGCGGAGGCGGAAGCGAAGCTGTTGTTGGAGAGTTGGATTCGGGGTAATTGGGTTCGCGCGGGGTTGATGGTGGCGGCGGGGGGGATTGGGATGGTTACTACTACTATGGAAGGATGAGGTCGATGCGACTTTGGTTTAGAGTGATGTTCTTTTGGTTTTTCTGTTTCTCGTCATATTGGTTAGATAATTGGGACGGCATGGCATGAATGGCTAGATTATGAAATTCTAGCTCCTCCTGGGCGTGACACACGCTGTCTTCTATCTACGTACAGACCGCTCGCAAGCTTGCGAGAGTCTGAGAAGTTCGGCTAAATCGACGTTTTTGGCTTGGCGTTTCCCCTCTGAGGCTATATTATGATAACGGTAACGATGATATTTTATCGGAATACCTAGAGCTTCTAGATCTCGTTAAGAAGAAGAAGCTCGTATAGTATCTATAGTAGATATCGGTCGTTACGGTATCGTCGCGTTGAAAAACGTTACGTCCGGTCGCGATCTAGATTGTAAGGAAGTCGTCGACTATAATAGATAGATAGATTTAAAGATGAGTCCTTTTAAAGAAAGTATTTCTCTATTAACTTAGCCGTAGCGGAATTTGCGATTCAGATATAGATATTCGTAGAGATATACGACAAAGTTATATTCTAGAGTACGTTAAATTCCCGTCTCCTCTCCTCAGGCGCTTCGCGGAAGCCCCGCTGGCGGGAAAAGGTTTCTCCGGCGAAGCGCCTGATTGGAGGTAGCGCTGTCTCGACATGGACCTCTTGCGGCGATCGATAGCTCTATTGAACATACAACAATCCCATCAAGGACTCCTTCCACGTCGGACGAGAAAATGCGTGAAGTCTCTAATAACAATATATAAAACAAAGCCTAAAGCAGAAGAAACTACCGGGCTCGCGGACAAAATCGTCGGTTCGTCGGCAGAAATCACGCAAGAAAGCACGACATCGCACTCGTCCCCAAGCATCCGAACCAAGGCGCCAATGGCGGCTTGGCTCTCTTCTATCGTAACGAACGACGCGATACCGGGTTGTCGCCAATAGCGATAGATCGATGGATGAAGTTAGTGAGTGGCCCCCCCCCCTCATCAATAATCGTTGCCGCCGCGTGCGTACCACGTGGATGTGGGTGTGGGTGGGTGTCGGCAGTGACATCAATCGAGAACTCTCTTCTTCTTTGAATATTTTCTTCATTCACTTCTGCGGTTCGATTTTTCTTTCGTTTCGTTGCTCTGCTTTTGAATATCGATATGGCTGTGTCGACTGCGCGATCCGGGAACAGCGACGAGGAGTCGGAGAAGAATGCCGCCGCAGACCTGGAAGAAAAGCCCAGCCCGGATGCGTCTCCCATCTGCCCGGTGAAGGCGTTGGAAGCGGACGAGGAGGAAGATAATAATGTCTACAAACCGCATGCTGGAGAAGAACAAGAAGAAATCGATCCTAGCGAGGAAAAAAGAGTCCTTCGAAAGATTGACCTGCGGCTGATACCGGTGCTCTGGCTGATCTATCTGCTGCAATACCTGGATAAGAATGGCATCAACTACGCTAGTGTCTATGGCCTGGAAGAGGGGACCAAGTTACATGGACAGCAGTATAGTTGGCTTTCGAGTATCTTTTACTTTGGTGAGTGAGACACACAGGAACCTCCTTCCATGTATGTTAGGATCGAAGCACGATGAAGCTGATCCGCTTGAGATGAAAAGGATACCTAGCCGGCCAGTTTCCCGCCTCGTATCTCATGCAACGACTCCCCATTGGGAAATTCCTCGCCTACAGCACTCTAGCCTGGGGCATCATCCTCATCACCACCCCAGCCTGTTACAACTTCGCCGGCATCGCGAGCAACCGCTTCCTGCTCGGCTTCGTCGAAGCAGCCGTGAACCCCGGCTTCGTGCTGCTCATGTCCATGTGGTATACCGTGCGCGAGCAACCCGTGCGTCTCGAGGCATACTACTGCACCAACGGCATCGCGACCATGTTCGGCGGCCTGATCGGCTACGCCGTCGGGCACATCAACTCGGGCCTGCCGCGCTGGATGTACGTCTTCCTGATCTTCGGCGCCTGCAGTTTAGCAGGCGGCCTCTACGCCCTGATCGTCCTGCCGGACATGCCGTCGAAAGCGAAATTCCTCGACGAGAGACAACGCTCCATCGCCGTCGACCGCGTCGCGCGCAATCGCCAGGGCGTCAAGAACAGCCACTTCTCCACCCACCAGGCCCGCCAGACCCTCGCCGACCCCAAGACCTGGATCCTCTTCGTCATGGCCATCGGCGCCCAGATCCCCAACTCCGCCCTCACCAGCTTCACCTCCCTCATCATCAAGTCCTTCGGCTTCGGCACCCTCGGCACGCAATACCTGCAGATCCCCGGCGGCGCCGTGCAATTCCTCTCCCTCCTCGGCGGCGGCATCATCTGCTCGCGATTTCCCAATATCCGCTGCGCCGCCATGATCGTCGCGAATACCATCTGCATCCTCGGCTCCGCGCTGCTGGTGGGCCTCCCCGAGACGGCGAAATGGGGCCGTCTGGTCGCCATCTGGCTCTGCTATTTCCAGGGTCTGGGCTTTTCCATGTCCCTGACCATGGTCAGCTCGAATGTCGCCGGGTATACCAAGAAGCAACTCACGGGCGCCATCCTGTTCACGGGTTATTGCGTGGGCAATATCATCGGTCCTCAGACTTTCAAGAGCAGTGAGGCGCCCGGGTATCAGTCTGCGTATATCGCGTAAGTATCTACTTTTCCCCCTTTGGAAAGGTGTTTTCTTCGCTTTTCGCTGACGATTATCGTAGTATGCTAGTCGGATACTGCGTCAAGCTCGGCATGGTCGTCCTCCTCTACTTCTACATGGTCTCCGTCAACAAGAAACGCGACCGCGAGGCCGCCCTGAATGGGACTTCGCGCGAGGCGGAAGAAAAGGCAGCGATTGCGAACGGGCTGCATGACATGACGGAACTCGATAACAAGGGCTTTAGATACGTACTTTGAGCGTAGCTTAGTCCGAGCATGTTTCTGCAGGAACCTTTTTTTTTTCTTCGTTTTTGTGGATTTTCCCATTTCTGACTTGATCCAGTGGTATTTTTTCCTTTTCTAGACCCCAGGCTGCATTCGGAGATATTGGGTTCGGAGAGGGAGGGAATCCGCCGGGAGAGTCGAAGATGACGCCTCGTGGGATTTCATGATTGACATGGACGCCTCGCGGCTATTGGGAATCGCAGTAATCACCGTTATGATCCTCTGGCGTCAATCCATGGCCGTCGACCAGCTGAACGCCAAGCAGAAGATGGAACCCTCGTGACTTGTCTATTACTATCTTCTTCTCCCGCGGAGTCCTCATTCATCACCGCTACTCTCGTCCATCCTTTCAACGTCATAATGCCTGTCAATTTCGGCAACCCCCTCCTCGTCCTTCTTCGTAGCTTCCTCATCACCCATAAGCAACAGGCTCAATGTCTCGAGATTTGAAGAGTACGAAGACTTCGTCAACGCCGCCTGAGCAAGTGTTTCCAGATAAGCTTTGGTGGATTGGATCTCGTTTGCAGAGTGAGGGCATCTATTGAACATCAATTTCGTTCGCGACGGCGGTCAGATCGGTCCGCGGGTCATCGGATCCGGTGGCGTGAGAGGGAATGTTATCGAGGGTTTCACAGACGCCAGAACTTTCGGGCTCGCCTGGAGTAACGCCGCTGTTAGGAGGATGACTTGCTAGGGGCGGCTTATCGACGAGCTGCGTCGGTAGCTCTTCGTCTTGCGAGCCATCTTTGAACCGCTTGCCATGCAACGAATGCTTGTGAACCGAGTCTATTTCTATTGCTTGGACCTGTATGATATTAATTAATGCGGCTCGTAGCCACTCGTCACAGAACCACCAGAATCCTCAACAATCAAGGACAGCCGAAGACGTGGACCCCTTAGCAGACGCAGGCCTCCATTGTAACAACGCACCCGCAAACTACTCTGCAGTATGTTTGACTCCAGCTCGCTAGCAAACATCTCAAAAACGTAACTCTTAGATGGAGAGACGAAGATCTCAACCTTGTAGCGGAAAGGAGATATCTGCGTCTCGATGTAGATCTTCTTCGCAACCGCTTTGCGCTTCGCAGCTGGAGAGACCGGCCGGCTTGCCTCCTTGGAGTCTGAGTCTTGCCGCTTTCCCTTTCGAGTTTGGGATGCGGTATCAACCTTGACCGCATCCCGAGCAGGTCATGTCGTCTTGGAGACGATGGGAGTGTTGTGTTGTGACGAAGTTCCTCTGGAAAAGTGCCAGATATCCTTGTAGGTATAAGAAACGATTAATCCTCCACATTGACAGCCGTCTTCAGGGCATTTACGCCTTTTGAGAGATTCGACTTGCCAGGAAACAGAGCTTGGGCTCTATGCCAAAAGCTTGAAGCCTTAGAGCGCTCCATGACGTGCATACTAGCAGCTTGAAGTCGACGATCCAAATGGAAACTCCACTGCGTACGTACCAGAATGTTCCAGTGCATTATCTTGGTGGCAGGCAGAGGCCCCCCGGGACTCAACAAACAGATTCGCGCTTGGATATTGTAGCGTCGAATCGTCCTTGTCAGCTTTGTGCGCTTCAAATCGAAGTACCAGCCCCGCGACAGTCCACGTAGTTGCCGTTGCGCTCTTCAGCCAGAACGCGTAGAGAAATTTCAGCTCCAGAAAGACGAGCCACGTTCAGGGTAGTCATGAGGTCGCGATTAGCAGCAGATCTGCACAAATGAAGCTATCGTATCCTCGCATTACATCGAAGACATCACCAGCATCGATTAATTTGGCATCTTGCTGCTCTTCATCGTCTTTCAAGAGAGACAAAGGGCCGAGAGCATCCTCGAAATGATCCCTCCAGTGAGAAGTCTTTTCGAATACCAGTTGGTAGTACCGAGTCAGGGCGGGCGGGACGTGGCTCAACATGATGAAGATGATACGTCGAGGAAAGTAACACGTCTGATTCTAGTAGTGAGACAAGACTGGCGCGGAGCGAAGGAGAGAGGTGAGGTTGACGCGCGTGCACGGACCGTCGGGAAGACTCCCAAAAGATGTACGTTACAAGTACACAGGTCTCGGTATGAGATCTCCCAATGCGGCTCACCAAAGCAATCTCCAAGTCTCATCCGACACTAAGCATCCGAACGCTGATATGGTAAGGAGCACGGCATCCTGCGAGTCTACACAAGAACTTCCCAATTAACAGCAATCTCATCACCGCTATCCAAGAGCCTCCAGACGACTCAGCAATACTCACTCATACAGTGAGGAAAGACATGGCATTAGGAACTCGTCTTCTCCATAGCAGACTGGGTCTTGATAATAAATGACTCTACTGAATTATCCGTCACTACAGATCATCGGTTTTGGTCTCTCAGACGCAATAGGAGGAGGCTCGAGAGCTCCTACAACAGGCAGCAGCCTTGGACTTTGTAAGCTGGCTGTCCGGAGGCACAGGTCTACGACCACCAAGGCTAGCTTCAGGTCGCGGCGGATTACTTTTCTTTCAAATCGGGATATAATGCATGCTTGCTGCCAGCTGGATGGTCCTCTTTCGTATCATCCCTGAAATGCTCAATTTCGGGTCTCAAACGTCTTAGCCGAGTATCTCTCAAACGCCCAACGCCAAATGGGTATACCCTTCCTTTGTTCTTCCCTTTCCCCAACCAACTCACGCAAAACCCAAGCAGATTTCACCCAGACTCCCCATCTTTCCTCAAAAACACCTCCAAACTCTCAACCTTCTTCCTCCCCAACGCAGTCTTCGCCTTGTCTCCGCTCACGTCCGGCGCCTTGACCACGGCATCCGCAAAGATTGTTGCCAGAGCCATACAAGCAGCTTCCCTTTTCGAAGCACCTGGAGGTGGCGAGGGTGTCTTGCCCGTGATGATCCTCTTCAAAGTGCCACCAGCGCGTCTGGTCGGACTCAGAGGCTGTGAGGTGGTAGAGTCGGCGCTGAGATTTCGGCTGTGACCACCAGTGCTCCCCGCAGGATGCGGTGGCGGAGCAGCAGAAGCTCGTTCGGTGATCATTCGTTCCAGCATCCCCATAACCAGTACAAAGCTGATACTATGACTGGGACTCGGAGACAGGATCTCCTGTATCGCGGTGCGCTGATCGTCGATGCTGAGCTTGCGTTTCGCCTTTTCGTTCTCAGCCAGATACTTCTCAACCTCCAGCCACAGTGTAGTAGTGATGACTCCATCTGGTATACTCTTCAGAAACAGCAGCAGAAAACTGCACAGAACATAAAGCCTCTGAATCCTCGGCAGATCGTCTGGCAGTGAAGGCTCCAAAGCCTGATCGTCATCTAAAGCATTACAGGCCTCACTCATAGCATCCATCCAATGCGAAGTATCCTTCTCGGCCCAACACTCCTTCTCAAATGGCCAACCCGGATGCGCATCCCAAGGCGGTATCGGCTCCGGAGTAAACTCAGCAAACAAATCGCTCGCAGTCGGGGGCAGAGAAGCAGGCGTGGCAGGAGTATTCGTCATCTCCCACTCTGCAATGACCCTCGTACTCAAATCTTCAATCGCTTCCGTCAGCCGGAACAATTCGCGCGGAGCGGAGAAACGTACTGGTTCTTCTTCATCATTACTGCTCTTGGAAGTAGTCTCTTGCAAATTATTCGCCGCCGCCACTGTTTTCGCAGCCACTTTCAGCTTGCTACCTTCAGGCTTTTGCCCTTGTAGTTTTCTAATGCCCCCTTCGGGGATCCTGACGAGCTTGTCGATTGACTTGCCAAGGCTACTTTCCAACCAATGTCCTCGGATGGGGATGAAGTGGTCTCGACCGTTCTCTACTCGCAAGACGAGGATTTCTTCAAGCTCCCGCTTGTCGTTCAGGTCGTGCACATCGTTAAGAGAAAGAATGCGCATTTCGAGGTCAACATTGCCGGTCTCGCCAGGTTCCAAAGTTACAGACTCTGAAGCCTTAGCGGAGCTAGACATCTCATGGCCGTTGACTTCGACCTTGAGCCACCTTGGTGCGATTCCAGATCCTTCTCCGGCGTTCGCTGGCCGCTGGATGAAGGAAAACGTAGTGGGCACACGACTGGTGTTGGCAACCGTCAAAGACCGACGTTTGCTCTGCGCCCATCTCACATTGCCGAACCAGATACCCTCAAACTTCTCGGGCAGGCATTCTTCGCTCGTAGCTGGTGTATCGTGATGTTTGTCCACAACCACGGTAACATTCGGTCGACCTTCGTTCTCTGCCTTGTCGAGCTCTCGAGCGACTTCCGCATGTATCTTCGCCTTAAGTTCAGGCACCATGGCGTCGTATTTGAGCATGAACGAGGCATCGAGAGGTTTGTGGTCGCTGGAGAGAACCCGCTGATGCGCGGTGTAGTATTCCAGGCTGATCGCATCTTCGAAGCCTTCCTTGGTGATGACCACTCCGTCTTGGACATCATCATACTCGTCGTATTCGTCGTAGTCGCCGCTGGTATCGGCGCCGTCAGTCTCTGGATCGTAATCGTACAAAAGTTCGTCATCATCGTTCCCGGCTTGATCAATTCCGCTCGCCTTCATCTGTTCATCCATCTTTCTTGCCTTTTCTTCGTCTCTGATCTTGGTCTCGTACGCCAGCTTTTCTCGCCTTGTGCGGTACAAGATGCGATCGCACCAGCTGGGAGCGCGCTTCTTCTCACTAGAATCGAAGACGCCCACAGTGCCTGCGTCGTACTTGTAGGTCGGTAAGAACGTGATAGGGCCCTCTTGCCAGCCATCATGGAATGCCTTGCGGGCTTGCATTTGCTGGCGCAGCTCATCGTGTGGCAAGAGGGAGGACAAGGTCGTCTGAAGTGAAGTCGGATCCTCACTGGCAGCGATGTTGTCGAGCAGAGTGGAAGCTTTGGTGCTGTCGGTGCTTTTGCGATTGTCCGTACTGGAGCGTAGAGAAGACGAGCTGGAGCTACTGGTCTCGCCAGCTCTCTGCTTCACGGAATTGGTGGCCTCTTCAATTTCCTTCTCGATCTTCTGAGCAGATCGCTGACTCAAGTCGTACTCATTCCGTGTGTGCAGCATGAGGAGCCTCCGCACATCGTCGCCTGGAATGCCTTCCAGTCGATAGTTGAGGTCGCCGCACCAGAATGCAAGGTCTTCGTCTCCAATCTGCTCTCCTTGGCTCTGCACAAGGTCCATGGAGTCTTGTATCGGCTCAAATTTCGTCCGACTGACTATCTGTTGGGCGTCCCAATTCCTCCTCTCCAAAGCAGACCTATCAGCACCGGCAGCCAAGTGGCTGTTAACGAAGACAAGTCTGGTGGTGTCGCCCAACACGAGTCTCGCGGTGACAGCACCCTTGTTCCCCATGTAGCCCATCAAACCCGTGCCGACGCTCGTCGTACTCACGGACTTGACGTCTTTGGCAACATCAGGCGCAGCATATACCAGCAATAGCAATCCGATCAGCTGCTGCTCCGCAACCAACTTGTATCCAGCAGGCAACGCTGCTTCCATCGCCTCTTTCCATCTCGTCGCAACGCTGGGGTCTGTATACGGTCTCAAGGCTTCAGTCGCAGAGCTGATATCCACCACCTCCTGCAACCCAAGCACATACAACCCGACATCCTCGTTGCCAGGCAGGGAGCTTTGGTCTCCTGCTGGTAGCGTGGGTAGGGAGCCCTGGTCTCCTGCGGGTAGCGCGGACTTCTTGGATTGATATCTCTCTTCTTGTTCAGAAACGTCCTCCTTGGGTGTGCGCTCCTCTTCGGTGTTGATGTTCAATCCGGTCAACCGTTCCGCAAGCCCTTTGCCTTGGACGAACCACCCTCCGACGTCTTTCTCGGCGCCTTTGTATGCCGCAACGTTCCACGTGCCGACCTTGATACGGATGTGTCTGGGACGGACGTACTCCGCTCGCCTGGAGTGAACGACCTCGTGGAGAGTTCGCGGTTCCTGGGCCTCCTCCTCATCGTTGTCCTCGGTGCCGAATTGAGGTACGGCCGGGAAGGCGCCGGGGACGTCTTGCATCAGACTGCTCGCGGTCGAGACAGGACGCGAGGACCTGGAGCTGGCGGAGCCTGGCATCTTCGACGTGAATCGATTGGGCGTAGCTTCACTTCCTCCGTGGCATGTGAAATTGGTGGCCGTGGCCCGGTGAGGTCATCGTCGCCTTTTCGATTCCAGATCCCACTGCATCCAGATCGAGGTTCTAGTATCCACTCTTCACCGATTCATGCAAGCCAAGTCTTTTCGTTGCCGCTGGTGCAGGATCTCGCTTGCTTCGCAGGTGTGCGCTTGCTGTGTGTGTGTGTCCCTTGCGGCTCGCTGACCTCATCACACAGCTTCCCACGCCGCATCACCAAACGCGGGCAACCTGAAACGCGAATCTCACTGACGACCACAACCACGTGACAGCTCCATCTCTCCCTTCTGTCGCCATGACCGTCTTCGTGCCCGTCGACTTCGGCAATCCGCCATCGCCCGAAGGTGCCAAGCCCTACAAGAAGAAGATGACGGCCAAGCAGAGGAACGCGCAGGCGCATCGTGCTCCTCCTCCGAAACTTCCACCAGCCTCAGACTACGACACCGACGCAGCGAATTACACAGACAATGCCGCTCAGCAGATCGCCGTCGCGGCGTCGCCACCGGATAGGACGAACGAAGAGCTCAACATGCTGGTGCTGAAGCGCTGGTATCCCGACATTGAGCACATCCTCGCGATCGCACCGTTTGCCGTCATCTACTCCTGCCATCCGGAGACGGGCCAATGGGACAAGTGCGACATTCAGGGCTCGCTGTTCGTCTGCCAGATCGCCGCTCAGCCTGGAGGCTATCCCGGCTTCAAGGCGATCATTCTGAACAGACGACACATGGAGAATTGGGAGCTTCGGCTCGTTAGTACCGACGATATCGAAGTGACCAAGGAATTCGTGATCTGCACAGTGCTGGAGAAAGAGCAAGGAGAGAACGGAGAGGCCTACGAGACACCCAGGTTTCATGGCATTTGGATGTTTCAAGACACCGAAGGCGGGAAGGAGGTGAGAGACAGAGTTGTGAAGGTCTTGCTAGAATGCGCAGAACAGGCGGAGCAATTCGCGCAGCTTGCAGGAGAAGAGACGGCGGAAGAGAATGGACACGGTCAAGGATATGGTCAGTATGAGTACGGCTTGGACGGGATGCCAACGGGACAAACTTTTCATGCGGAGCAGCAGAGATACGAAGAGCCAGCACAGCAGCTACCACAGCAGCTACCACAGCAGGCGCCTTCAATGGCTGGCCAGCAGATCGATCTGGCGACACTGTTCGGAAAGCCACAGCAGGCACAGCAGGGCCCAGTACCTCTGCCGCAGGGTTATGGCGAGGCGCAGCCTGCGCGCTTCACGCCTTCTGCGGATACTGACTTCTTCCGAGGCTCTCCGAATCCGGCCTCGCAGCAGCAGCAGCAGCAGCAAGCTCCACAGCAAGCCGTGCAACAGAACGCTCTACTTGACCTGTTCAAGAATGCGAAGAGGGGCTGAGTAGGGTGGGTTGTGAATGGGACATGAGATATGAGATATGAGACGATGATAATCATGGCTGGAATGCCCTACAGGAGGTCACAGTCTGCGCTTGGAAGATACTCGAAGTAATGATAAGCAGTAGTGACTTCCTACATCTGGGAAATTACTGGTGATCGTAAGCGCATCCAAGAACTCGCCATCATGCATGTGCACTGCTGACAACAGCCCTAGGCGCCAGACCACGAGAATGCCTTAACAGGGCAGCATTTGAAGACGGCTTAATGATTGCTCTGCCACCGCCATCCACTTTGGCCACTATAGATACCCCAGCCTGTATGGAATACTTGCCGCCTAGGACAGAAGAAACTTGCATTGCTCCATGACCGATGAAGCCCTCTGCTTTGAGGTCTATTATTGGGCCTCTTTCCGCGTCCGTACCTTGCTTGACTCGCCGATGGCAACCGCATCAACCGAGCTCCAACATTTAGAAAAGAACGGCCAAAGAGACCGCACCGTGATTCTTCCTGATCGGTCTCTTCGCTGGAATAAGCTGAGCGAGCCTGATCTCGCCGACCATTGGGTCCGGACACTTGATTCTCCAGACATTCCCTTGACAACACGCCTCATTCATCGATTTACGATTCCGATAGGGCCGAGTGAGCTGATCTCGCCGTGCTAGAAAGAACTCTCCTACCAGGGGATTGAGGTACTGCCGTGCAGGGTTTCGCCGAAGCTTTTGCGGGTGCAGTTGCTATACTGGGCTTCGTTTTTGCAAGAGCAGGAACAGCATTGCAATCTGTTTCCTGGCTGTCATGACTCAAGCATATTTCAGAAAATCTAAGTTTCCCACTGATGCTTCCATGCAAGAGTCTTGGCATCTGGGAGCAGCACCCCATCGCATACGGAGCGTGTCTTCCCGAAATATTTCATCTTGACATTGAAGGGATGTCCGCAAAGCACATCATCATATCAACCGGTATGACTGGAGAATCGCAGCTTAAGGAATGACTACTTCGGCTATACTTGCTAGAAGATCTTCTGAGACCAAGAGACCAACGGCGTATGGAATTCCGCGACTGAGGCTTTCAAAAACCACCACTGAACGCCATCTGCATTCTTCCAGGTCCGATGCGTCGTGCTAGTTTGCTCGACGCGTTGCTGCATGGCTATCAAGGAAACCAACGCTTACGGAGTCGTTTAGATCAAGAGGCCAGCCATTTGCACGAGTCCAAATCCACGCGGCGCGTCTGTCGTGTTCTCACAGCACTGGATGAGCGTTTGGGGCCTCTAGTCATCAGGAAAATGCGGTAGAATACAACCAATGAATGAAGGCCAGAACCGGCAAACCAGCGAGCGAATTCATCCATGCCGTCGCGCGTTCCGTGCATCGTCGCCGCGATCCGATATTTGCGCAGATTGTATCCATGCCCGATGATCACACCTCCTTGGATGAATTTGTCGAGGTGTGCGAAGACTTTGAGGAGGCGTGACAGCGTTCCTATCCGGCAAGTTGTAAGCAGGCCCAGCGTGCCGACGACGAAGATGATTGGCAGTACTGCGACAGACACTCTCGAAACTCTCGTAATAACGCCTATAGGGGTCGATGCGATTCCAGCAGCTGTTGAGCTCAGTCTAACATCCCCTCTTCGAGCAACGACCGCGACCGCGGATGAGGCGAACGCGATCAGCGACGTTGGAAGTAGGATTAGTAGCAGCCCTCAAGCGACAGCGACAGCGCCGACAACTGTTAACAAGAAGGGGAGCGTGATGAGCCGTCGGAGGAAGAGGGACGTCTCCAATGGCTTCAAAAGTTGGTCTAGCCAGCGACCAGCGACACCTTCGCACTCGCGCCGGAGGCTACCATGGAGATGATGTCGTGTCCGAAAGCATCGGAGCACGTGACGGACAAGACCGAGACTCTCCAACGCCCGAGTTGCTTTACAAACCACTGGAGAGCGAGGAGGCTCAGGCTCACTTCGTTCCCGCATCCTCAGCATCACTACACGCTCCGGCAGGCGATGGATCCGGGAAAACCTCTACTGAGCACTGTTCAGACGTATGTTTCACCGCGGCTAAATGATTGTCGTGAAAGAGAAGGGCCTTGAATGGCCGTCACAATAGTTGAACATGCCACACAATTCGCGGCGGCCCTACAGATGTGATTAAAGGCCTTTATTGATGTTCTCACCAGCGTCCACGGGTGAAATTTGACGTTACCAAATCTAAATCACGACCCGATCTCAACGAACGCTATTTTAACCATGTTCTCCACCGCAAGAGAGCACTGAGATCTCACCGCAGCGCACTTGACGCTCTCCGGAACTTGTGTTTAAAGCGCCGCATTGCAGACATGCGAGACTTGGACGGTGACAAGCCGAGCATGACGAAGAGAACTTGAACGAAGTCCCATGAAATGCCGCTCGCAAGCTGCATAACATTCGGTTTCCTAATCGCGACGGAAGACTCCGGTTCATGCTCAGATCTCTCTCCAGGTAATGATTGGAGAGCTAGGTATTGGATTCCGTCGTCATCCTTCAGGCTTTTTCCCTCGTCGGATCCTTCGGGGACAACCTCTGAGCAAGACTTCATAAAGGCCCGTTCTCACGGCATTCGGTCTGACCCATGTGGACACCACTTCAATCCTCCCCTTGAGGGTCTCCAGAGTAAGTAGTCAAAATCCACGCCTTTAGTCGGCCGAAGCAGCTATCCGTTCCGTTGAGAAACTCTTCGACCGCGTACTTTCACACAACCTTGAGAAAGTACATACGGAGATTTCGTCAACTTCCCAGCAAGTATACATATTTCCCACATCAAGCATGTACTTGCGCTCAAAGAACACGCGCGTCATGTCGTCCGCTCTCATTCACCTGCTAGGTACGCCGCCTAGTTGCAACTACACTGCCGGTATACAGGACCAGCAGACCAACACAGTCAGAGTACTTCAAGCTCTGCCAGCGCGAACGCCCCTGCCAAAAAGCCTGACCGAGAGCGCAAGGCGACGATCTTCCGCTTTCACACAGCACGGGGTCACTTTCGCCTCCACCATACCGTCCTAGAGGGGCCCCAGGAGAGAGCTCCTCCCTCCAGAACACTCCACGCTTTCCACCACTCGGCGTACTCAGTACGGCCGAAGAGTCTTCTCGTCAGACCGTCGAAAGTACCGAACGCGAAGAGGCCGAGAGGCTCTCTGCCAATCTCGCCCGTCGGAAGGAGACTACGATCCCACACCTGGCTTAGCTGCTACTGGAACTTCAACCATTCCATCGCGCACTTGACGACTCACGGCCTCATTACCGATCTTCTTTGCTTCATCGAGAGATCGCATTCCTCTGCTCGAACATCGTCGTCCAGGCAGAAGACCTCACTGCACAGGGGGACCGCAAGGCCGTTGTTGTGCTCGAACAATGGCGAATGTTAAATTCAAACTTCACTGTCTGCAAGGACTTGGCACGCTCGGGAGCTTGACGGTCATGCCCAAGTTTGACTGCTTTCCCAGCTTCCTTCTCGGGACGTTTGGTCACGCCAACATGTCAACGGAACGAAGACTCCCAAGGCGACACAATGGGCCAATTCGTTATCTGAGAAAGAGTCATCGAATCTGACATACTCCCTTCGAATCAAACAAACTACTGACGGCCCTCCCTTCATTGTGCACACCGGAGGCTGCCTGGATCTGCGATATGGGCTGTTAGGAATGGACTCATTGCCGGGCCTTGAAACAAACCTTTTCCGTAAGATCGAGGAAATACTACGTAGCGCTGTCTGGGGCTTGGAGACGATAAACGAGACGGAAATGCCTGCTGTGAATCGAGGTCGAGATCCATGCCTAGACTCCTGTCGTTATACTTGCGAGAGACCGCACGATAGCTTCGGTCTCCTGACCGACGCGGAGATGTGTTGCCGCATCTTAAGAAAAGATTTATCCCCAGATGAATTAGCTTATGTCTACATTTGACTGTCCAGGAAATGTGAAGACGGCGGCAAAACGGAGAAAAAAATCGAAATGTATCGCCACAGCTGGAACTCAAATATGCAAACCGGTTCTTTCCTAGGAGCCTGCTTCCGATCAATACGATGGAGATTACTGCAACATCTCGAACGCATCCCCACGGAAAGCTAGAAGATATGCATACGGTCGGGCTCTCTGAGAGCTTGCGAGGGAACGGTAGCTTGGAGTTCTGTGGGACCGTCTCGAGATACGTAGCCTCGAGCAAGCTGAGAACATGCCACTGACAGCCTTTCTGATGGCTCACAAAGCTCGATATCTCGGAGATCGACTGCCATGTCCCAGAGACGCCACCCTGAGATGGTCACAAATACAGCTGTGGAGGACTACCTAGGAGTTGAACGAGGATCGATTGATACATCTCCACAAGGAAACCGAGTATGTTTCAATGGCCCTACTCGATGGTCTCAGGCCAGTTACTACCACGGACATGGAAGGCCATGTCGCAAAATTGGTCACCATGAGACAGTGGATTATATGGCTCCAGGCAACACTCTTCGATGTCCTGGAACCGATTGCTATCGCGGAGATGGAACGACAATTCTCAAAATGGGTCCCCGCGTGGTACTGGAATTTCTTACCACGCGACAAGCTCTGATGGCCTAGGACTGACGGACATCATGGGAATGAATCGGCAAAGACAAAGAAGGAAACGAAAGGTTCAGCAATCAATCTCACGCCAAGAAAGTTCTCGTACCAAAATGTGCCCTAGAGGCACTCTGTCTGTGTGGAAAAGGGGTGCCCCCGGGAAGGGGAACAGCAAACTACTCTACTTGAATACAGAGCCGTCACCACCGCCGGTGGTGTAGTCTCCCTCGACGGCCACGAAATCCTCCCAGCGGAAGTCTCCCATCCCCATGTCCATGCCCACGTCTGGGCCACCGAAGCCGTCCTGCTGCATACCAGCGTCCTGGTATTGGATGGGATCTGGTGGGAGGCCGTAGCTCACCCCGCCGCCCTGCGGCATCGCCATGGCGCGAGGGACGCCGAGGAGGGCGTCTCCACCCGCCATTGGGAACGCGGCCGCGTCCATCATCCCGCCAGGAAAGCCGCCGCCCATGCCATTGAAGGCCATGTTGTTGAAATTTCCTGGGACGATCTGCTGGGGACCGAACGGATACTGGACGAAGGCGGCCTCGCCCTGGTCCTGGGTGAGGCCGCCTTGCTCGCCTGGGCTCAGCGAGGCAGCGGCGTCGAAGTCGAAGAGGGCGCTCTGGTTCATCTCGCCGTAGTCGACTGGGGCCTGCTCGCGCAGGGACATGTGGTAGCCCGGCTGCTCGTCTTCTGGCTGGAAGGTCTCGGTCTGCTCAGGTGGAGGGACGACCGGCGCGGTGAAGGTGAATGGCCCGGCAGGCGGCGCCATGTAGCTCTGCTGCTGCGGCGCAGCAGAGGCGGGCGGCGGGATGAAGGAGCCAGGCGGCGAGAAGTAGGTCTGCTCGCAGTCGGCGTTGAGTGGAAGGTCCTTGCGACCCGTGCGACCTCCCTTGCCCTTTGCCTTCTTCGCGTCAGCGCCACGGGCAGGCTTCTTGCTCTTCTTTGGGGCCGGCATCTTGTCGGCATCGGCATCGGCGTCCTCGATGTCTTCTGGGTCATACTTGAAGTCTCCGTCGTTCTCATCGTCGTCGAGGTCAGCGCCGTACTCCTGAATCTTCTGCTTCTGGGTCGCGGCCTTGGGGGCGGCCTTGGTCGGCGCGGCAGCCTTCTTCTTCTCCTTCTCCGAGATGTAGAGCAGGCTGTTTGTCTTTGGCATATTGGGCTTCCTCATCTTGCGGGGAGCCTCCGGGACGTACTCTTCTTCACTGTCGTCTTCGCCTTTGGCAGCTGCGGCCTTGCTGGTGTTGCGAGACATGGCTGGTGGCGGGAGAACACGAGTGCCTGGCTTCTTGTTGATGTTGACAGGGGTAGACGCAAGCTGCTGCTTGTTCTTGCGCTTGTTGCCGTACTCGCTGCGGCTGAGCTTCTCCGGGGCAGGCTGTCCGGCCTCTCTACGAGTCTCCTGCAGCTTGATGAGGTGCTGCTTGATGGACTCTCCACTGACGTTGCCCGCTGGGTCTTGCGCCTCGTTGGCAACTTTGGCGACGTCCGACCAGTCGAGATCGATGCCGTCGCGGTTGACGATGTACATGACGGAGAGCAAGATGAGCTGATCCATGGCCGCTAAGGAAGAGTTAGTTACTCTGTCCAAGAAAAGGAATAGGGGTAGTACGAGTGGGCACTCATGCGGTGCGCTGAGCTTCGCGGAACTACTTACGATTCCAGCGCGTCAACGTGCGGCCCGTGGTACTCTTACGCTTCTGCGTCTGCTGGGCTTGGTCCGACTGTTCGAAGCCGTAGCCGTAAGCCTGTTGCGAGCTGTTGTTGTTGTTTCCGGCGGCTCCTGGGAGTCCTGGCGCTGGGTAAGACATGATGATCAGGGTGGTGTGGGTGGTTGAAGGTGAATGGTTTTGAAACTGCTGGTGGAGGAAGAGCTGGTGATGCTTGGTGTTGACGCTTGCTTGAGGGCCTGCGCTGGTGCTTTGTGCGTGAGGTTGGATGTTACGTGTTGGAGGTGCTTGGTCCAACGCGAGGCTGCTGAATGCCGGTGTGCTGGTGGTTGCTGGGTCCTGGAGACTGGCGCTTGCTCAATGCCGCGCTCTGATGATTTGGACTTGTTGTTGGATGTCAACGGTACTTGAACCTGCAAGTTGCCGCTGAATGCTGGTGTTGGAGTGTGTCGGTGTGCGTGTGTGCTGGTGAGCTGGGGGGCGTATGTGCGTGTGTGTTGGTGGTTGATGGAGTTGGAGGAAGTTGGAGAATGGTGGAAGAGGTGGAAGAAGAAATGTTTGAAGAGCTAAGTGGTATTGTCAGTGGACTGGTTGGTGAGCAACAATGGTGCGGCGCCGAGAAGTGCTATTGTAAGGCGGACCCACAGCCAATGTCGAAATGGAACCAGCAAGGACAATGGCGTTGAACGTACCTGTGGATCTCAAGGAATAGATTGCTGGTCGCGATGCCGTGGAGGTGCGCGAGGGTGGAGAGTCAGATTGGGGCGGAAAACTTGTGTTGGTCGTCCGAGAGTGCTGTTGTTGGTGGTGTTGGAGGTGCTGGAATCGTCGAAGGTGTCTTGGAGAGAAATGGAATCGGCACAATTCACCACAAGAACTTTTCCACTATCTTGTGGCAGCAGCGCCCAAGCTCAGGTTGCTATTGCGTGCTACAATACCTTCGGCCAATGACTGCTTTCCAATGGTCCAATGTGCTTCAGCGCAGGTGAAGTTAGGGGCTACTTCACATGCCAAACGGTCAAAGCGCGTCTGTGCGCCAGGCGGCGACAGCGAGGTCGGTCGAGGCGGTGTAGGGCTGGAGCTATGGCCTTATTGTCACAAGCAGCGGCTCCTCATATGGAGGGGTACGCTATGGGAGGAATGGATGGGAGTTTGGGAAGAGTATGGACGTGGCGGGAGATCGGGGAGGGTGCTTCGGAAGTACAGATACATACTATATCGTGTTTTCAGCCTTGACGATGCTCATGGATGTTATTGAAGACTACGCGACCGTGGTACAGGCAGAAGCAGTCCACAAGGTGCTGGTACAGTCTTCGGGAGGAATCATTAGCGGTCAGTCCATCAGCCAGCTTCGACAAGGCCAGCGTGACTGATATCGTCGTAGAGGAGGCATTGAGTGACGGGGCGAGGCGCTTTACGATAAATTCAAGATGCCTCTGACTACAGCGCGAGACCTCTTGAACAAGAGGCACTTTGCCCCTGAGACGTGAATCAGGCTTCCCAGTCAGCGAGTATATCCGCATCGCAGGGCGCCATTGGCAACGCGATATGCTACAGGAGAAGGACCAACGCTCCACAGCAGTCACAGCACGGTCATAAGCTTGAGCGTGATCCATCGATGCTGTTGGGCTACCTTAATCTCTAGACTGGGAATGTCGCTGCCCACGGCTGTAGTGTCCATGCTCCTTCTGCTATATCCTGATGCGAAGGAGGTCTGCCAGCTTGTACGCGATCCGTTTCCACCAGAACGGTGGCTCGGGTCCATTGTCTTTCGCCGTCTTTGGGGGAAGGACTGGCTTCCCTTCTTGCTGCCAGTTAGAGGCGACGTAGTCGTGGCTCTTCTCCGGCCAGCGTGATGGTTTCCCGGTCGTGTATCTCGATGGCATCTTGTAGGAACGTGCAAAGAAGCTTCTGAGCAGTCTCTGGGGATCGAGGAACGTGCTGGAGATGCTGTAGTGGGCGATTGAGGTCTTGTCGGACGTGATTTGGGCTGTGAGGCGCGTCAGTCCAGCTGTGGTTGAAGCGTTCAGGCGCGGGACACTCACATCTAGTGCTTTCCAGGGGCTTGTGTCTGTTTGCTTAGGTGGTTCTGGATCCTTTGAAGCTTTTTGTTGAGCAATATGAATTGTTTGACGGTGGGAAATTTTTTGGTGGGTTGTGACGCGAGTCTTCGCGGACGTGCAAGCCCACCGGGACGCGAACTTTGCACGCCGGTTGCTTAGGAGACCTTCCGACACGTCTCTCACGCGCAGATACAGTCCAATAAGATGAACATACTGAAGGCTAATGCAGATTGATAATCAACCAAGACACGCAGCAACGCTGCAAAGAGCGGAGCCGTTAGAAAGCAAGAGGAGGATGGCTTATGGACTTGGAGTCGTGGATCACCACGGGCGTCGCCACCCAGTCGAAGCAAGTCAAGACCATCGAGAAGACGGCTGAAAGGGTTAACAAAAGGCCACTTCTCATACCGCGCTCTAGTGGGAGAGGTTGCAAAGTCTCGCCGCTCGTTTTGACCCGAGGAGGATCCTGCACTGCTCTGGATAGGACACGCGTCAAACAGCGGCGTAGAAAACAAGACTGAGAGCACAGAGAAGGGTGAGTGACCAGGAGCAGTGAGAAAGAGCGATTGGGTGAGAAGAGTGAGGGTGTTCTGCTGGGAAGAAGCAGGAGAATACACGTGGAGTCAACAACTGACAGTCTGGTCGCCAAGGTCCACTGCCCATACGCGGCCAAAGAAGGACATATTCTCTCTCAAGTCGCGTACGAAGTAGCACCACTCTGGCTCGAGCACGCGAGGCGTAGGGAGTAGGCGTCACTCTGTGTAGTTGACAAGACCTCAATGCTGACGCGATGCGGCAGATAGAATGCGCCTACTTCTACCGCTTCCACGCTTTTCGCCTGGCCGCCTCCGCCTGCGCTGGCCTTCTGGCATTCCACCCGAGCCAAACGAGCATCGCTACCACCTGCACGGCCTCAGGCCTTCGGCAAACCCTTTTCAGCCCTTCTCACCATGACCAGGTTGAAGATGTCGCATTCCATGCCGAGCTGGAGAAGAAGGTCCATGGAAACCTCGAAAAGCAGCGGACAGTTTTGAAGAAGAGGAGCGATGCCGAATCCTGGCGTGCTCAGACAATCAAAAGCATGGAAAACGGAGACCGTGCCGGCGAAATCCACTTGCAGTTATGGAAGCACGGGATAGACCTGGCCATGGGCGACATTGTCACATCTCGCGCGGGCGACGACTACTCACCACTGCCATCCGGTTGCTCTTGGTGCGACGCGAGACCCGCGACTTGAGAATAGGAAGAGCATGAGCAGGAAAATCTCTGTCGCAGTCTCGCAGAGTTAGCAGCTCTGCAGGATGGTGACAAGAGGAGCGGCAAGGCTTGCTTGCGCGCCGTCAGGCCTTCTTGTGCTGATACGCGACGACGGATTGCATCTCGGCAGAAGCACCACATGCTGTCTATTTCTCCAGCAGGGTTTGACTTACGCGTGGCTCATTCAGGCCGGAGGCTCTCAATCAGGTACTTGATGAGCCTGGTGCGTTGTGCTCCTTGCTGTTCTCTCAATCGTGTATTCCCTGTACCACGACACTAACTAAGTGTATAAGATCTACTGGAATGCCGCTGAGTTGATCACTGGATCATGACCGTCATTCGACGCGTCTGTCACTCCGCCAGCGTTCAGAGGTCAAATACCTCAGCCTGCGTGGGCACCGATACGCCAGAGCCGCACAGTCCTACGATCATCCCGCGCATACAACCGCATTCAGATTGAAGAGACCACCGGCACGTTGAGGAACAGGAGGACGAATAGCAACATCCATACTTGGCACTGCGGATCGCCACCCCAATTTGTATCAGTGCAAATGCATGATAAGGATCATTCCACCAGTGCAAGGTATTCGTCACCGTCACGCTCTCGCATCTCATCGTTCTTTCTCTCCTTCCCATCATCTTCGCTACTAGACATACAAAAGATGGCTATTTAGTCGTCACCTAGACGCCCGCACTCGACTTGAAGAGCATGGAAACTTGGAAAGACAACAGAGCGCTGTCGCTCTTGAGTCCTCTCACCCATTTGACACGGCACTTGGGCCTCCGCGGCGCGCTGAGAGTATGGAAAGGAGTCCTAGCGCCATTGGATTGGCAGGATTGCTCTACGCGTTTGCAAATTCGAACAGTATCAGGGTTCCGCGGCGTGCTGAAAGAGCATGGAAAGATAACATAGCGCTGTCGTTCTTGAATCATCCCGCGTTTGACATGGTTTTCGAGGCTCAGCAGTCGACTGAAAGAGCATGGAAAGACAATAGAGCGCTGAAGCCTGTAGCTCGCCGCTCTTCGTTCTCAAGCACCTCAAGCATTTGGCATAGTGACAAGGCTCCGGCGCGTGCTGCAGGGGCATGGTCCGATGGAGAGGGCAATCAGCGGCGTGGCGCAAGTTGCAACCCTCATACAACAAATCAACCCCCAAAAATCGCGGCGTGAAACAAGCAAGAGAAGAAAGAAACACAACATAACCATCGCGACAAAGCAATTCACTGCATCACCGCACAAGTTACGGCGCGATATGCCTCCAGGGTGGGTCTCTCTCGACGGTGATGGCTTGCATTTGAGCATGCCTCGACGCGTCTTTTGCCTCAAGTCTGCGCCTCGTCGCCCATTCGAGCCCTCTCTGCAACATCGATTGCTTGATCATCAGTTAGACATGGTGATCGCACGATTCGTACCGTCAGAGACCACGAACTGGCCGCGCTAGCTGGTACCGACCAGTGGGTCACTCACACGGCGTAGCAGCGTATCAAGACAGCGTAGGTCACACCAAAGTTCTTCAGGACCGCGACACAGGTTGGTAAGACAAGTATTGGCATCAGGCTCGAAGTGTAGTATAACTTATAGCATATCTCTGATCACGACGCGACTCCAAAACCGGTCCTGTGTAACCCTCCCACCGATGCACGTATCCAGAACTCTATTCGCGACTTCCACGCCCTATCCTCACGCCTTTCCCGCCACTCTCCGTCCTCTAAACGCTTTCCCAAGATAAGGTCACCAACCAAGACGGACGCCAGCTGTCACAACATGCGCCAGCTCCACGCGTTCTGCGCCGGGAATTCGATAGGAAACGTCTCAGAAAGAGACTTCTCTACTTCTTGTTGCCGTCGAGTGTTTTGTACGCGAGCTGCGGCCTCAACTCAAACATCTATGTCAACCCCAGGGTAGCTCATGTTGAGTCGGCTGCCGAAGTATGGACCACCGGATCACTATCTATTCCCTGATACCTCCAGCGTTACAGGTTGTGCAGACAGAAGTGCTCTGGAAATGACTCCTGGAATGTTACATGTGGACCTGGACATTGAACAGGACACGAAGTATTGGTCCCGTTGAGCCGGCAGAACAACAACCACCACCACCAGGGATCGCCACTAGTGCGACTGTCAATCGTTTAGAAGAGCGCTGTAGACGCTCAAAATAGTAGCTAATTGTTTGGTCTGGGTGTACTTTCCCGATTGGGAAGGAGCTGGGATTTTGCATGTGATGTGACTATACCATTACACGAGCGGATGAAAGCTTCCCAATTCTTGTCTGCAAGTTCCAACCCGAGCATATCTCGCGTTCCAATGCCACCGAATAGCCGGTCAGCTCTCTAGTTACACACCCTTCCTTCGAGCCATTCTACTTCTTACGGCCACGCCCCTTCTTTCTCGCCTCTTCAACCCAAAAGAAATCCCCTCCGACCTTCCTCTCCAAGCGCTTCTGGTGCAAGATCAAGTTCTCGCGATACATCTCCCAAGCCTTGCCTAGAGTCGTTCCGTCTTCGAAGTTGAGCTGGACGGCGACACCCCCTGAGTGCTCTCTCAGGGGGCCCGCGTAGTAGAAGACTTTGAAGCGGATCTCCTGCGCGGAGATCTTGATGTTGTGCCAGGAAGCTTCGAGACTGTCGTATTTGTTGTAGAAGTCGACGACGGGGCCGTCGAGCTGCCGGGTGACGTGGAATTTGTTGATGACGGCGCGGTAACGGTCCATGGTGTTGAAGCGGTGGCCGAGGTTGCGCAGCAGCCAGCGCAGTGGAGCTCTCTTGCCGAGATCAGAGGCGGTGGGCTCCAATTCTAGGCACATGAGGCGGCGCAGCTTGCTGGAGGCTTGGATGCTGTTGCGGAAGGTCTTGTCGACGCGTTGGAGGGTGAAAAGCTGCTTCACGGGCCCGTCATCCTCGGTGCCCTCTCCCAGGCACAGGAGGATCTTCTCGAGTAGTTCGGCGGTGTCTAGGACGCGAAACGCGGCGCTGTTGGTAGAGCTCATCTTGCTGTTTTGGAGATGTTGTGTCGTGGAGGGAGAAAATTTGTGATGTCGGTGGGTGAAGAGAAAGCGCCAAGCTGGCCGCTGTCACAAGATCAGATTCAGCTCACTTCGGCAAGGGTCCTAGCTTTACGTGCGGGCCCAGTCAGCAGAAACTCTCACATTATCCCGAGCAAAACAAAACGAGTAGTGCCACTGGTTGGGCTGCTAGGCACGCTCTCCTTAGCGTAAGTATCGGGAGTCCTTCTGACGGAGAGTATCAATTCTGATGCTCACTCACTTCTCACAATGATCGATTCCTCAACCGCGTGGCAAGAAAGCCATCCGTCGGCATCCCTTCGCCTAGCAGCGTTTCAAGGCCCCTTCCCGACGCGATAGCCGTCCCATCAGCTGCTAACGTCCACAATTGAAGCCGGAACAGAACACCACCGGCGGAAACGTGGTGCAGCAGGCTCTGGAGGAGGTCTCTACGCGTTTATGCCGCAGCGTGATCGGCTCGAGCCTCGAAGAGTCGAATTCCATAGCTACAACCGCGTACGTAGCGTGGCCGGATGCCTCTTCCTTCGCTGTTAACCTGTAGCTATCTCAACAGATATTATCATCTGACCGCGTGTCGCGCGACGGCCAAATGGTACGAAGCCACTATCAACTTCGCCCGTTAAGCAGAGCAAAGCCTCAGCAAACGGTGCAAACCGAACAGACCGGGCCTGAAGCTTCCACGGAGGCTCCTTTATTCTACGATTGCAGCGAGATCAGTCTCCTAGCGGCGGAATTTACAGGAAAATGGACGCACCTTGCTAGCTTGGCTCAAGAAAACAAGCTACGAGGACGCACAGCCTCGCAGGCGGCGGCAGGAATCTGTTGTCTGTCTCTGTGAGCGCTACAACTATCGTGATAATCGAAAGGAGCTTGAGAGCGCGTTGAAGATGGCATGGAGAAAGACTTAACACAGGACAAGCAAGGATGAAGAGGCAGACGATTACACGCGAGAGAACCGGTGGCCATACAACCCGTGTCTTCCAAGTTCCAACGCGGAAGGAGAAGCGGGACCTGGCGAAGCAGTGAATCGAAAGACGGATATGACACGACAAGAAGAGGATGAACACTGACAACATATCTGTGGATAGTGTTGCGGCTACAACGCGTCCAAGAAGGGAGCAAGACAAAGAACATGTTACATGCCATGCTCTTCGCGTCTAGGATTCCGCGTCTAGTATTGCCATTGTTGGAGACCAATGGATAAAGCCAGCAATAGACAAGAAACGTCCACAAAGGCGGCCTGAAGTCTTTAGCCTTCCCCTCGGCCAGAGATAGGGAAAGACGCTGGCCCTGAGGTGGATCCCCGAAAGATGATGCTCTACCGAGTACCGACTCAACTAATAACAGCTTGGGGGCCTTCGATCTTCTTCGGTCCTGAGGCTGTTTGAGAAAACGACGCGTCAGGATCTAGGACGAAAAGCCGGTCGCCTCTGTCCTACCCAGGTTTAGTCAGTCGTTGGATTTGGGAGCTGGAGATGAGGTGAATTTATCGGCGAGCAGCAAGAGTTGTGAAGCAAGAGGGAATAGCAAGTGACTAGATGTTGGACATTAATAGAGGCTTCTCACAATCTCCAATCCAAGGTCAATGATGCTGTGAGCCGCTCTGGCCGTGTGGCTAGCCCTCGATAAGATGTCGCTCAAATCGCTAGCAAAGTCGTGTCCAGAGTTGATCATTTGCAGACTTCTCGAGCAAGCAGCAGCACTGCAGATTTTGGTCGTTGAGCTCTTCGGCTTCCGTCCCACGTAAGTCGGCAGGACACCAAGTGGTGACGACGGAACTGAGTGTACGTTCTTGCTGTTTAAAACGTTTCAAGCTTCAAGACATTATCCACGAAGCGATGGCACGTTATCCACGATTGGTCAACGACTGATAAAGTATGGAAGAGAAGAAGACGGAAGATATCAGGAGGTGTGTAAGGTAGATCCTCCCCGCGGGCTAGAAGAAGTCTATTCCTAGCTCCCATGTGATCGGCATTCGGGCTTGCCCGCTTGAACCTTCCAGCGCTGCGCTAGTTTGCTATCTATTCTAGACTGTCAAAACAAACCCTAACATCTCTTTCTTATTATGCAGCATTTCGGACTCCTGCACTGTCTGCACGACGACACGCGTATCACATTCATCTTAGTCGCACGAAGAGCATTGCTCGAGCCTCGAACTTCACGACCGGTGCACTACAGAGAGCTGTGCCCAGCCGGTATAGATATCCACCAAGCTTGCACTCTAGGATCCTGCCATCAAGATAATATCTGCGAGAGCCGCAGCTACCAGATGCACCAGGAGACGAGAGAGACATTTAAGACCACCAACATTGAACAATGACAAGCGAATGCTTCGTGCCGGCACAGACTCCCACACGCGGGCTTGAAGCTATTACGCTACGGAACCAACTGCTCTACGGACCTGCAAATCAAGAGCTTGAGAACCATTAGCATGCCGCGTCCTCCAGGTCGTAGAGTCTTTGGCACCCATGCACTTCACCGAGGAAAGAAGCTTAAGACAGCATTCGCAAGGTCTTACAAATGTTCCTTAAAGCATGTACTATGAGGGCCGCGACGAGCTATAGGGGTCACTAACAAGCACTTATCGCTATGTCCTACATGTTGGACTGCTGGGCTGGTCTGTTTATAAGGGAAGTTATACGCGCCTTAGAGCCTTCACGCAGTGGCACTGTTCTTCTAGACATCGCCGAGCGTTTCCCAACCGCGCTTGAGTTGACCGAGTTAGCTTGCCGGAATGGTGCTGTTATACGTTTGTTGAAATAGAACGGATCTCGAGTGGCGAGCGTTCTGGATAACTTGGAGGCCGAGCTGAAGTCATGGATACGCGTCTGGAATCTGGATATAAGAACGGCCCCAGTCCGAATAGTGAGATATACGAGGATCTTCGACTACGTCCTATCAACCGGCAGACAACCCAAGAACCACTTTCCACTATGCATAAACTTCAAAACTCTCCTTAACGCAGCTGATCATGTTGTCTTCACAGCTAGGCTGCTGCCTGCTTGCTATCAGGAAGGCGCATCTGGAACGATCTACCTCCTCCAACTTCGACGCTTGCGCCTACAGACATATATCGCTGCGCACCAAAGCTGCCACAGCCTGCGCGGATAGCTTGTGCATCACTCTGCCATACCTCCAAGAGCGAACTGCATCGTTCAGCCCTGTTGTTGCCGCGAGACCGTAGCGCTACGCCTTGCTACCGAATGGTACGAATACTTCCAAGAAAATGGCGAGCGAGGCGCAAATGAAAAGCTGCGTTGGTGTCGCCAGTTTGCCCTCGAGTTCCACAGAAGGGACGTGCATGCCGTATAAGTTAGGTAAACTGGCGGCTTCCAACGACGAAAGACACACCGCCAGTATCTTCGACAGGCACATAGCTGCGTCGCAGCGAAGTTATGTCATTACGCAATTATAACGCCTGGGTGTGAGATCGAGACACGCGTAGAGTCTCTCTCCTGGGCTGTAGTATAAGCTTGTGGCCAAATCTCTCAAGCATCATCAGCCTCCGCCCTCTGGAGCCAACTCATTCAGCCTCTCATGGAGAGAGCCCAAGCCGTCTGCATCGTTGATCTTAACAAGGGTATAGTTGAGAGCTGGTATGTTACTATCTTAAATTTAAGCGAAGGGCATACCTATAGCTTCTTAATCTACGCTATATGCTTACCTATATCTATTTCGCTAGAATGCGAACTGAACGTCGCAATATATAGAAGTGCTTACTAAGGTGAGCGGCAGTAGCTAGCTAATCACGATTTGCAATATTCTTTTTCGACTAATTAGCGCGTGCGCTTCTATACAAAATCTGGCTGCCCTAAATATCGCACGCCTACTACTACTACTACTACTACTACTATAATCTATCTACTACTATAATCTATCTACTACTTTCCTTCGGCGGCTCTCCGAGAGCTCTCCGAGGGCCACTACGTAGAGCTTCCCTAGGGAGACCCCGGACCCCCCCCCCCCTTTTTGCCTTCTTACCGATTATATTAAACGCTACGGGAGGCTTAGAAGGTCTTCCGCTACGCTATGGTCCTACGCAAGCTCCGGAACAGCTAACGCTCCTCGTCGACCCTTACCGCCTGCCCTTCGCTTAATGATTATGGAACGGTACGGCCTCCAATTTCCTACTCCATTACACTTGGCGGGCACTTTAGTGAACATGATGACTCTTCGTCCGCTCATGAATCCTGCGGCCTTCCACTATTCCCATGACGCCCCTGCGTGCGAAGAGCGCGGATGCTAGGTCCCAGGGTATTTGTGAGGGCGGTTTCCGCGCTCAAGATGGAGCATTTTTGTCCTTGTGTGAGGCGACGTCACTGGAAAAACCGACGGCTTCGTTCTGGACTCCATTGCCAGCTCGTTACAGCGACCACTGCCAACCAGTCTAGACGATCTATTTGTTAGTATATCTAGGTGGCGCACGCGGCGGGACACGTAGATCCTTCCTAACTCCAAGGCAAGAGAAAATCTCCGCACGAGTAATGTTGTCCGACGATACCCGCGCCGCTTTCTTTGCTCGCCTGAGCAGGCGTGAGATATATCAAATTTCTTCGATTATCTGGAGTCATGGATCAACGTTCTTTGAAGTGTGATCAGGTGTCGTGCGGGCATCTTTGGACTGGGATGTCGAGGAAACATATCATCGAAGCCATGCGATGGAGGAAAAGTGTTTGTCGCAGAGCTCGGCTCGGGCGTCTCGAAGACGCGCAGAGAGGCACGACGGCTGCGTCTGACCGTCGACGGAGCTCGTACCCTTGCTATCGCGCGCTACAGGGTTGGCTCTCAGCGGTGATTGATGAAAGGGCGGATAAGCAGGTGTTGATACCTCTGCGCTGGGATATGTCAGCAGTGTTTGTTTCTAGGAAAAGTTCGAGCGGAGTTCGTGGTGAAACTTGCAGGCGGAGGAGATAGATGTATAGTAGGGTTTCACATGCACGCACGCTTGGCTTGGCCTGGCCTGGCAGAGAAAGCGCTAGAAAGCTGAACTATACAACAACCTTGGAACTGGAGTTTAACTACGTTAGGTATGTATTCTGTCATTCCTGACCGTAATTCTACCTAATTGTCCAATAAACTGGACCGTCTGAGCAGCTAGCTGCAAGTATTGTGCTGCCTTGCCTTGATCGTGGCGCGGCGCGGCGCTGTACCGCGGGAGATGGAAGTCTACAGTTCGCAAATAACAGCGAATACCTCTCTGGAGTCCTGCGGACAGAGTGGCCGAATCTACCTCCATAGCCCTCGGGCACAGGGGAAGTCTTTTCTCATAGCTTCCGCCACCACCACGATACAGTCCACGTACCAAAGCCGCCGGAAAAAAAACCCGCGTGGAGATACACCAGTGTGCTCTATCCTCTATGCTCTATACTCTTCTGTCCTCCTAGAGAAACTCTGCATACTCCGACTGTTCGGAAAGACTGTGAGTGAGTGAGTGAGAGATTTGGTATGCTCATGGTCTGTCTGACGCGGGCAAATCGATCACCCAAAAACCCAGGCCTAGAGAAGGATTTGCTTAGGCGTCTTGCAGAAGAACTATTTCATCAAGTCAAGCAGGCGAAGAAGGAAAATTTACGATCAGAAGAATACGAATCTCTTGAATCCACAACTGACATTCAACATTTACACATTTACGTCCGGCTGACTACAGATATTTTCCCCCAAGTGACAGGCACAGCATAAGGGTTGCCCCCATCAACAACGACAACCCGCTTAGCCTTGCCGACGCGATAATCGTGACCCTCCAACACATGCATCATGAAGTTGGGCAACGCCATGCCCATCAGAATACCCGTCCAGGCAAATCTACTAATCGGACACGATTGACTGTCCTTGGGTCTCTGATGATAGCTCTCATCGACCAAAAATTCAATCTAATTATTACTGCCTCCGTACGAAGCAGCAACCGGTTCGAATTCATATCGGAGAAGGTCATTAAGCATATTGTGCATCACCACGGGAACGGCGGCGTACACGTCCGGGACGGAATTCTGGCTGTAAGAGGCGATGTCGCCGATACTGTAGATCCTCACCCCGGCGGTGTCGCAGCGCATGGAAGCCGCGTTGGTGAGGATATAGCCCTTTTCGTCTTTCATGTGGGATGGAGCATAGTGGCTGTTCGGCTTCACCCCGGTGCAGGCAACGTACAGATCGGCGACTATCTGCGTGTCGTCCGTGAGATCGAGACGTGTAGCGCCGGTCTGGTCGGACCATTCTTTGGCTTCCGTGACGCGAACGCCGTGCTTGACTGCGACTCCGAGGCCTTTCAGGAGCCTTTCTGCTTGAGCGCCGTATTTGGGTGCGAGGGCGGGGAGACAGCGTTCGCCGCCGGAGATGAGGGTGATGCGTTTCGGGTTGGGGACTTGTCTGCGGAAAGGAAAGTGGCGGCTGTAGTCGAGGTAAGTAGCGAACTGCCCGGCGACTTCGACGCCTGAACAGCCGCCGCCGCAGACGACGATGGATTTGGCCTGAGCGGCTTTGGAGTGAAAGTTGTTGAGAGCATCGGCAGTCCCTAGATGAGGGCCGTGCAGGGAGAGGATGTCACTGTCCGCGGAACAACCAGTCGTCAAGACTAAGGCGTGAAAAGGAAGAGTAGGGACGCGTGGAAGCTGGGATGCCGGGGCGTGGGCGTCCATTCCGGGCTTACTGAAGTGCTTGGGAATAAGCAGAGAAGCACGCTTCTGGGATTCGGTGGTGAGGCATTCGATGGTGACCTCGCGGTTTACTAGGTCCAGACGTTCGCAGCGGCCTTACAGGATGGTGTACGGCATCCCATGGTGGCGTGCAAAGCCCGGCTCGATGGCGAGAAAAGTCTCTTCATGCTTAAGGAGACCACCCTTGACCAAAGCGCGTGGTGCGCCGATGTTCCAGTACATGTGCGTCGAGGGGCTTACTACGATCAAGCGATAATTGGAGCAGCAGAACTGATGCCCAGCCTCTCAATGGTGTAATCCAAGAAGTGATGAGCGCATGAGAGACCGCCGAATGATGCACCGAGAATGACAATGTTCAGAGGCTCGTCTTTTGCACCGACCGGCGGTGACATGGGGCCAATCAGCGCGCCAGTGTCGATGGGGGTATATGTAGTTTCACGGCCGTGACCTTTCTCATGCCGCCGACGTTGCCAGAATCGAGGCGATTGCGCCTTCGCGGGAGGCGGCGAAACAGGGGCTTTTCCTCCTCTGGTATAGTATCCACCCTCAGCGCCGGGTGTCATCGCTGGCGATTGGAGTACGCGCAGTTGAGCAGGCTCATTTGGCCCACTCGCGGGAAAGCAATTGCTCATGATGCTCCGCGCAGGCTGGCGATCCCGTGGCGCGCAAAGTATCCCGCGCTCGAGCAGGGTGTCAATCGATTGATAGTGCATGCGTCAACGAGCTCTTATTGTCCAGAAGCAGAGACATCGTCACAAAAGATGATCAGCAATGGCTTCACTTGGGACGCCGTGACAGCAAAAATGGTGCGGAATGCGGAGGACGGCGCATTCTAGTCCACCTTTTTGGGCCAGACTGAGGTGTCTGTGAACCGGAGAACTGTTTCTCATTACGCCGCTGCCATGGCATGCACACTAATACAGGTGAACGCCCTTTTGCTGTCCGACTGCCCGTGGAATACCCTCCTCAGGCGGAGTGTCGTATGCAATATCATACCGCTTGGCCTGCGTTCTCAATCCCTTCAATAACACAATGCTCGCTGAATGCACGATGCGCCATAGCCCCATGCTGAAGCGCGATGAATCATTGCTCGTGTAGTCGTAACATGCCCACGGTCTACCGTAGACAGTGATGCGCTCGTAGATTGGCGTTTTATCCACCTCACCACGGCCTGAAGTTGACGATATCTGCATCTTTCTGTCTCTCCATCATCTTCTCAAGCTCGGCTTGGGTCATGATCTTGGCTGGTGGAGTGTGAGCAGGTGTGCTAGAGCCGCTCGCATGTCCGCAATCCTTACTAGGAGGTTGAGGAGGGTTTTGCGACGCGGCCTTGACAAAACCCTGAAAGATGTTGCCCAGCACACTGCTAGAGGCTGGTCTGGAGATCTGTGGCCGCTGCAAGCATGCTGCTGAGGGTCTCAGTTGTGTTTGGCCATTCGCTGCAGACGATACTGCTGTTGCTTGTGCTTGTGCTTTCGCGTGCTGCTCTTGCAACAGCGCAAGACGTTTCGCGGCCTCTGCTGCCTCTCGCTCCTCGTAGTAAGACGCTGGCAGCGAGTCGACAGGAAACATCGTGTCGCAGAGCCAGACGAGGCGTTGCTGGGGTGCCGCGTGTACGGGATCCAGGTGGGATAGTCAGGTGGCTTTTTCGATCAATTTCGCCGTTCGGTTGGGTGTCGCGTGCTTGGTTCGAGTAAGACGGAGGAAGGTCGAAGGCGGAGGGAGCGAAGGGCAGCGACTTCCGACCTGTCGCACCGACTTCTCCCGCGAGTGCGGTGGAGGGGAACGTCGCGAAGTTCTTGGTTGAATAGGAAGGATGTAGTGCCGGTTTTGCGGAAGGCTGATCGCGTGTACCTCGCAGGAGGTGTTGGTAGTCCCGGCCGTCCGTCCAGTGCCGACTGCCCAGTCGAAGGACAAGGAAACAGATTCCGCTACGTTCTCTCCTGTGGATCAGTGATGTCTGATGCAAGCAGCTGGGTGTTCGTCCGTCGACGTCAATGCCGTTCCACGGTTTTCTGCGTGCCACGAGAGGATGAGGAGCGTGTGGGAGGAAGATATGTTAGAAATTTCGAGTTCGGTCTTCGCGTTTCTTGAGTCCGAAAATCGGGGGGGGGACTTCTAGCGCACGGCCTCCCTTCCGATTCGCCGATGATAAATGCGGAGAATGGGGTTAAGATCCGCGTGCACTATCTTGGCCAACGGCAGTTCTAGACTGGCACACGACACCGATAATAATGATGATAATACGGTGAGGACCAGATGGCGCAGATTCTGGACCACTCGCCGACACGTCTGTGAGCACGCGATCGAATCCACCACAAATCACATTCTCACCCGCTCGGCATCGATGAATATCACTCTACGGTTCCAGCCCAGCCGGACGCCGACACGATGGGAGAACAGGATCATCCTGAACGATTCATCTGGCTGTCGCGATTTCCACGGTGTCACCAACGCGGCGCCGTCAAGGTGGGGACAGCAGAACGGCAAAATCGTGCTACCTATTCCCTCTTGCCCCTATCAATCTTTTACCGGTTTGCTTTCCGGAGGAAGGGCGCCGTGTCACAAGCATTACGACTCCGACTTCTGGGCAGTGCCAGCCTTTGCACGTCTCGGCCATGAGCTGCGTCCGGGGCAGCCGAGTGCTACTTCCTAGCCGGCTGAGTAATTGTGACTGTCCGACTTACTTTCCTGGCCTTCCGAAGAGTCGCAGACGTGCGAGGATGGACTGTGAGAATACTGTGTGGACCACGATCTTCAAATTGCCTTCTCAGTGTTGATGGTCAGGTCCATCAAGGAATTGTCTTTGCGTGTGCTCGCAGAGGATCTCAGAAGACCGCATTCGGTACATGTAGTCATCTGCTTTTCCTCCATCATCTTGATTGGTGTCAATGTGCACGCTGGAGCAGTGTCGTTGCACCTTTTGCGCGGGCATCCGCAACTGGGTCCAGCTTTCGTGATGTTGACCTGAGTAAGGTAGGCGAGAGCGCAAGTAATTTGGGTATGGGGGCCTGTTTCGCCGAAGCATCTCGAGCGCGTCAGAGTACCTGCAGAGGTCGTACAACGCCGACATGTGATGATCGCTGAAGTCTCTTCAAAGCACTCCGGATGCGTCGTCCGTCCGATAGCAGATTTCCTTTAGGAAAAACCTCCTTGTCGTAGAAGCATGACCAGAGCTTGCTGCGAAGTTTGCCCTGATCATCTCTGTCGTGATTGGGACTGCAACTGCGGCAGCTAACGGATGACTGCGACTACGGCGCTGTTTACCTATACCAGTAGTCTTCGCGAAGAAAAGAGGAGGAAGGCCGGCGGCGTTGTGCTTTCAATACGGCAGCCACTCCTGCTCGACGACTCATTCTTCTCAGCATCTCCGAAGCTAGAGGTGGCCGTTGTACATCGTGATTGGGGATTTTGCGGCGGCAGCTAATGGGAGACAGCTGCTCCGGGGCACGGTGCCTATACCGGTAGGCTTCGAGAAGATGTTTTGCATCAGGATGTCGGAGGAGCGCTGGATTTGGGCTTCACCTCCGCCGCGTATGGGTACGTAGACAAATTCTCCATGCCTGAGGCTTCGAGAGACACGTGACTATCCCGTGCCAAGAGCGTGTCTCAGAGTTCAGAGCTAGCCTCCGTGCTCCAACCTAACCGCCCGAGCAGTTCAAGATCGGGGCACGAGCTCCTACAGACGCGACCTCATCTCTTCTTTCCCTTCCCCAAACACGCCTTCGACTCATCGGGCGACAATTGTCTTGTATTTCACTCCTCCCGCGAATGCTTTCTCTTGGTACGGCGTTGGTGTACGGATAGGCCCGTCCCTGGCCCCGGCGCTCTCAAATAGCGGTCTCCAGAAACAGCTGGTCAAACATCATCCACCACCTGGAACCTTGGCCGAGTCCTGACCTTGGCGCGGCGCTGCTGCATCCATGCGGGGCACTGGGGCGCCGCGACAATTGGGACTCTAGAGCACGTGTTGGCGACGGAGTATGGCGTTCCAGCAGCAGGCTGGATTGGGCAATGGCGGCGCAGGAACAGGAGTCGAGCATCATGGCCCGCAGGGGACCGAATACACGCTGCAAGGTCAGTGATGGACATAGCCACGGTTGCCGGGGCTGCTGTGGCGGATCAAGCTGGAGCCACGGCATATGAGAGCTGACACGAAGAAATAGGAGTCATGCGCTTCCTGCAGATCGAATGGCACAATCACGAGCGAGCGCGGAACGCCTGGGACATCGAGCGAGCCGAGATGAAAGCCAAGATCGCGAAGCAAGAGGGAGAATGTAGACATGCGAAGCGGATAAATGAGCAGCTGGACCGGCAAGTGCGAATGCTCGAAATGGCACTCAAGAATGAGCGGGCCAAAAGTCATGGCGCAAACGGCACGGCAGCTACCTCGGAGGCCAAAGCTGCTGAGACAGAGGCGCACAAGGATACCAAATTCAAGACGAAGGCTGTGGAAGAGGGCAATAATGGTGAGAAGGCAAAGCGTGCGCATGCATCTTGCAGTAGATGTTTGGGACTGGAAGGATTGCTGACCTCGGGTGTAGCTTCATATGTCCCCCACAATTCTTTTCTAGACACCGCAGAAGCGCAAGAAACCAGCGAGAAGGAACGAGAACAGTACCTGGACAACACAACAAAGTACTTGAAGAACTGCATGAAGGAGATCCAATACCTCCTTACGCCCCCGCAACATCCACCGCCTCCCCAGATTCTACCCAATGGCCATCTTACTGGACTTCCGGAGCCTCCTCTTTCCGTGGAAGATGTATATGCTCGGCATCCCCAGCGAAACGGTCGGCAGTCTGGTCAGGTCCTACCTCAGCAACAGGCTGTGCCAAATCACCAACCCCCTCCTGTACCTGCTCCAATGCAATCCATGTCCCAGCGTCAGGAGGAATCACGCGGCCTGGGCTACCCGGAATATCATTCAAACTCCACCGCACCCTCTTCAGAGATAATGCAGCCGACGATACAGCATGCTGCAGCTCCATACGAGGAGCACGTCGAGAACATCACGCATACTTACGATAATCGGGGACGAGCTGTGCAGGAGCCGGACAGCCAACTGCGCGGAGCTCGACAACAGGCTGACACGGATGGATGGACTTTTGAAGAAGAAACGCCCCCACAATTGCAGCCTCCTGAGAACCCACCTCCAGACGTTCCTCCGCCCAGGCGGCCGGACACGGATTTGTTCCCTGCCGCCGCAAACGCGTCTCAACTGTCCACCAAATCCCCGCCCCGTGCCGCTGGCCTGCACGGTAGGCGAACGAGCTCAGGCTCGCAAAACATGATGAAGCGTCGGAAGAGCTCGCAAGGCAAGAACGAGATTCAAGATGCCGCTGCAGCTGCCATGCTGGATGATCCATCTCAGTTCAAGGTCAAATTTGCACTGCGTGGACATCTGGACGTAGTCCGCAGCGTCATTTTCAGTGGTGGAGGTAGTCCGAGCGAGCCAGAAGTCTGCACAGCCGGAGACGACGGAACCATCAAAAGATGGATTGTTCCTGCCACGTACCAAAGCTTCAATCCTGGCAACAACAACCCGGACCTAGACATTCAGGCATCTTTCACACACCGAGGCCATGACGGAATCGTAACATCCCTCGCTGCGCCACCGCCAAGCACTGGCTTCTCCACTGGAGGGCGGGCTACTGGCGATGGTTGGATATTTTCAGGCGGTCAAGATGCCACGGTACGAGTTTGGGAGCGCGGCCGCGTTGATCCAAAGGCGACGCTGGAGGGACATACCGATGCAGTTTGGGCGGTCTGCGTACTCCCAGCATCTGTTGGCGTGGTCTTCGGGCCGCAGAGCAGCAACTTCGGCGGACCTGATCGACTTCTGTTGGTGTCGGGATCTGCCGACAAAAGCGTGAAGGTCTGGGCTGTTAGCGCTCCTCCTCAGAGTGCGTCACCGTCTACTAACAGTAGACGCGGCGTTGGAGGAAGTCGAAGGCACAGCGTTACGAGCGGCAGCAACCACCCGACGAGTCCTCAACCGAGCGTCGCAAGCCCTACACCTTTCAGCTACACACTGGTACACACCATCACCCGGTCTGAAGACAGTGATGCGAGGCCGACGAGTATCTGCCCCTTATCTCCCACTGGCGACACTTTCGTCGTCAGTTACACGGACTCATCTGTCCTCATTTTCGATACACGAACAGGAGAAGAGATTATCGGCATGGCCAGCAACGAAACGTATGATGGAACGACGAACACGAGTATAAACAGTATTGTAGCAACTACTTCTGGAATGGAGAGCTCTGGCGGTGGCGTGGCAGACGTGTCGCGAGGCCTGGACCCGGATGACGTTGGCGGAGGAGCAACCGGAAGTCGAGAGGGTGTCGAAGGCGTAGTGATATCTGGCCATGAAGACCGTTTCGTGCGGTTCTTCGATGCCAATAGTGGTGAGTACCAGTGTCTCCCTGCTAAGATGATCATCTCACTGACTTTTCGACGCAGGCCAGTGCACATACACCATGCTCGCTCATCCTTCCGCGATCTCTTCGCTGTCTCTTTCGAAAGACGGCCGCGAAGCTGTCTCTGCCGGCCATGACGCTAGCATCCGTTTCTGGTCTCTGGAAAAGCGCAGCTGTACGCAAGACATCATCTCGCACCGGGCCATGCGCGGAGAGGGCGTCTGCGACGTCTGCTGGAGCCAAGATGGCCGGTTGGTCGTCAGCGCCGGCGGAGATGGAGTTGTGAAGGTATTTGCAAGATAGTGGAGGATGCTTCAGCCCCGACGTTGATGGGGTCATCTGGGGAAGGTCTGTTGCTAGGTTCGAACGGCACAGCAGCAGAAATCTCTCTCTCTCCCTCGGGAAGCCAAGCCAAAGGATTGTTGTTGTTTTTTGAAAGCTTCTGTGCGTAAATTCTCAGTCTACGTACCATTCATTGTATGTGTACATATGGGCAAACGCGGTCCTTTTCTACATCTCTAGGAGGACTGGACTGGACTGGACTCGACGGGGAAGGGAAGGGAAGGAAAGAAAAGAAGGAGCCCGGCCGGATTTTGGCCAGCGTAAATGGAGCATTCACTGCATGGCATGGCATGGGGAGTTAGTTGATTCTTTCTTCTTCTTCTTCTTCTTCTGGATGTTGTATTGAGTTTCGAATGCCAATGCCAATGGCTGCTTTTCTAAATTTCTTGGGGCTGCCCTTACGGACTGGACGACTTAACTAACCTCTGAGTTTTGTCGGTTGATGCCTCCTCCTTAGCACTTCGGCAAATGTGGTTTGTCCTGGCTGGTTTGTAGCATTGTCTGTTCGCTGGAGTACTGGATTCCCCCCCAATTAGCGCCTCTGTTGCCATTGACTTAATTGATGATGAGCAGAGCTTGGAAAAGGTTTGTGAAAGCTCCATGTCGGTCGGAGTATATCCCGTGAAAGTGGTCCGAGCGTCCCGGATGTCGTCGCCGAAATCCGAGGGCGCTAAATGAAACAATTCACCTCGTCGTTCTTCTCTCCTCTTCTTTGCTACCATCGCTTTTACATCAGCTGAACGATTATCCATCGCGTTTTCATCTCGAGTCTCCTCAGATGTGTCGTCTCGAGAGGAAAGTAATCGGCACGTTTGCCGCACGGAACACAGCACCCATCAGCAGAAGGGAAGCAGCAAAGATTCTCTCCCTCAGCGAACATGTTCCCTCGAAGCGCTGGACTTTGGGGGGCGCTTAGGCGCTGTGCCTCACACTGCTTGCTGTGCCTCATGGCGACATGGAGAGTACAACAAAAAGTCCGCCGCATGCCCTAGGGAAACTTTGATTCTTCCCATTCCTTCCTCCCTTCCATCTCCAGTCTCTTTCCATCATCATCATCATCATCATCCTACGCTCCGGTAGCGCTACTTTCATGCTTGCGATTTGATTTCTTTTTTCCTTTCCTTTTCTTTTGGCATTCGATATGTTCCAAAAACCTCTCCCCAAACCCCCCAAAGACGTCAGCGTCACGGTCAAAACTCTCAATACCTTTGACGCAGGAAAGCACAGCAGAAAGCCAAAGCCAAAGTCCTGGCGACCGATCACCCTCCGAGCACCGTTTCTGGGCTCCCTCATCCTCGCGACCGCGGGGCTGGTCTTCGTCGTCCAGTGGCTTCTTGTCGTCAGCCAGAGGGACCAGGGCATCATCTTCGCGGAGGATATCAACGACCTCCCTCTAAGCAGGTCGTTCAGTTATCTCTACCTGCCGACTGTTGTATCGGTCATTTACAGCTTTCTGTGGACTTGGGTGGATCTGGATGTTAAGCGGCTGGAGCCGTATTTTCAGCTTTCAAAGCACAAAGCTGCCGCTGGAGCAGATTCCATTCTACTGAGCTATCCCTTGGAGTTTCTGGTTACCATCCCGCTTAACGCTTTTAAGAGGAAACACTGGTCTGTACTCACTGCATCATTGATCACAATTCTCGTGTTCTGGGGCTTGACGCCAACTCAAGCCGGTATATTCGCCGTCCGAACAGTGAAAATTGACACACGGGCGAATGCGACTTACTCCACCGATTACACGCCAATCTCGAAGCAAGGCAATCTTACTTCGATTTACGCACAGTCAGTCTACAATATTGCATGGCTCGACGAGACATTGCCACCATTTATGACCAGGAGTTATGCTCTAAGTCCTTTTGGACCCTCAATGGCTACGACTGCTAATCAAACTGCGTCCAATTTCACCGGCTTAACGACTCTCTACAGCATTGACGTATTGTGCGAGGAGGCCACACTGTGGAACCGATCTGGAACTTGGCGATATAACAGTTCTACTGGCTGCAGCTTCACTGGTCCCCGGTATCGGCCGAACGGCGGTACAGATCTGTCTAAGCCATTCGACACCATCTACGTCGGATATCAGAACGAAGATGGTTTCGCGGATTACGATCTGTCGTCTGACTGTGGTCCCGAATTCTTCCATTTGTTCTTCGTTCGCTGGTCAAAAAGTACACCCTTAGCAATAAAATCAGCGCAAGAGCCTGGAGATCTCGATCCTAGCCAGGCAAACGAAACCGCATTGTTCTGCCATGCGAACTACTTCCAGCAAAGAGTAAACGCGACAATCACCCTGCCGTCCAATTCCGTAATTCAAGCTCAGCCCGTTGGATCGAAGTCTGCTTTACCCCCGGACCTATTCAACGTCAGCACATTCGAATGGTCGATGAACTCTGGAGAAGAGCCTGTGGCATCACGAGGCGACTACCCGACTACCAGCTTCCCGGACCAGAAGACAGAACTTACCGATCTCCCAGTGAACTTGGCGTACATACCGAAGATGGCACCATTTGCCATCGCGACCGATCCGCAGGAGGCAGAAGCCTACTTGGATGCCGAGACTCTCCGCTTGTCGTATCAATCGGCGTATAGGCTTTTATTTGCGCGACAGTTGGTTGACATTCTTGGGCGTGGACAGAATGGGAAAACAGATGAAATTGGTCATCGTGCTTACACTACCCAGGCAGTCATTATCGTTCCAGCATTCGCGTACGCCGTGACCATACTGCTTGCCTGCATTGGAACTCTTGCGACCATACTTCTTATTCTCAGCTCCAGGAGACCCAATCAGCTTGCGAAGGACCCTGCTACGATTGGCGAACTGATGGAACTGGTGGCGGAGGACTCAAGCTCTACAGCAACGTTCAGCCGGGTCCGCAATGACAACTCTTGCGAGCTGGCCTCCAAGCTCAGTAGAGCAACTTTTCGAATTCATCCCTCCCAGATCGGCTCAAGCAACGCCAAAGTGTCGTTAAGTTGCGTGAGCCAGGACACTGGTGATGAATGTCATGTCGACATTGCGGACGACATGTCTAGCTCAACCGCAGAGAGCAGCTGCGAAGACCGGCGATTCACGTCTGGCAACGTTCGACCAACCGAGATGAAACTCAGCGTTGGATGGCTATTCCTCGCAATCCAGATAGCAGCATTCGCAGCATTTCTCGCGCTCTTCATTCAAGCCAACACGCATGGAGGTATGTATGTTGCCGTCGTTCTGATACTTACATCTCTGCTCACCCCTGTTAGGTCTACCGCTACCATCCTCGTCGACTATGACTCGACAAGTTGTCGAGAATTACATTCCCATTGCTCTTGCTACGTTTCTTGAACCCTTTTGGCTGGTTCTCAACCGGCTATTGGGACTTCTACAACCTTTTGAAGAATTACGAAAAGGCAACGCCTCCGCCTCAAACTCGATTGAGCTCGACTACAGCTCTCTACCACCACAACTTCTCTTGGCACGAGCTTTACGCGCTGGTCACTACGTCTTGGGGCTCCTGTGCTCCATGGCTCTCCTAGCAAATGCTCTATCGGTCGCACTAGGCGGGATCATGTACGAAGGTACAATGTCAATGACGCACACGGATATTTTCATCTGTCACAAAGACGCTCGCATTCGAGCCCTGAACGGGACTGGACTACCTTTCAATACAAATCAGACCGCCAATTCACAAGGTGGAACAACCTCGGCGCCTTTTTATCGAGAAATGTCGAACTTGACTGCCGGAACACCGCTCCCTCCGTGGGCCGATGTTCAATATGCATATGTCCCTATTGACATTAGCTCCGCAAACGACACTGCCAGCCTCCGACTCACGACACAGGCATTTGGAGCCTCCCTAGATTGTCAGGCCGTACAAACCACCGGCGATGATAGATACACCATGAGCTTCGACCCCGATGCGGCCGTCATCTATCTCTCTTTGACCGTGAAGAACTCAGAGGGACAAGAGATCGACTGTACAAACTCCAAGCCCTGGACAAGATCATACTCCACAGCTCAGACCTCGCTCGATTATGTCCGCGACTCTCAATCGGGACACGTGGCGCTGGAACTCAACGGTATGCTCGCGAGCAACACCTCTCGGGAGAACAATTTGTTCTGCAGACAGCATTTCCTCTCCGGCTGGATACGCGCCGATTGGAAAGCGATCGGAGGCAAAAACGCCAGTATCTCAGACCGAGGCCTCCCGAACATGAGCCTCCAATCCGTAAACGCCACCCTGCTCCTCTGCAAACCCCTGATCCACATCGGTCCCGCGGAGATCGTCGTCGATTCCACCGGTCGCGTGCAACGCCTCCTCTCGGCAAACACGACCTCCTCCTCCTCTCCCTCCTCTCTCGACCAGTACTTCACCAGCACACCCCAAGACCTCATCGCCCAAGCAAACCAATTCCTCATCGACAGCGACGCCACCTGGCACAACGATGCCTTCCCCTCCGACTACATCAACTACCTCATGCGGGAAATCCAACCCGACACGTCCCTCCTCGACCCCTCCTCGCCAGTACCCCCGGCGAACAGAACCGCAGCTTCCTTATCGGAAATCTACGCGCGCCTCTTCGCGATCCTCCTCAGCACCAACGCCGACCAGCTCCTCGTCGACACACCACAGGACAAGAAGACAACAGTACAGATCACGAACCCGGAAACCCGCATTTTGATCTCGACGCCCGCGTTTCTCGTCACGGAGCTCATCCTGCTGGCCTACATCGCCACCACGATTCTCTTCTACAAGCGACGCCCTTGGCGGATTCTGCCGAGGTTGCCGTCGACTGTGGCCTCCAACATTGCCTTCTTCGCCGGGAGTCGGGCGTTGCAGGAACAACAAACTGGGATGCGGAGAGAGGAGAGAAAGAGAACGAGGGAGTCGTGGCGATGGGGGTACGGGAAGTTTGTGGATGTGACAGGCAAGGAAGGGATTGGGATCGAGAGGGAGCCGTTTGTCGGCGTTGTTTCTGCTTTGCAGAAGAAAAATGTAGAGACGAGGATGAGGGGTCAGAATGGACAATGACGGAATTGGGGATGACTAGTGCTCATAGATGTCTTGTGTGATGAAAGGATAGATATCAAATTCTCGTACTGTGATCCTGCCGCTGTCAAGCCCTGCGCCATCGCCATCTCTGTGTGCATGCAAAGTCCTGTTTCGTAGCGCTGCATGTGTATCATCAATCAAGCTGTTAAGAAGTTCGTATGCCATAAGCTGCCTAGAAATCTCAAATCGAGAAACGAGTGTCCTGTCCTATCTCCATACCAGCAATGCCCAGCAATGATTGCTTAGAAGCTCCGACGACGGTGCACGTGTTGAGCAAGGTGGACAGGTACATTGGCCCGCTTCTCAAGATCGTCTTTGTTCTTGCTATCGGTGCAATTGTGCTCAGGAGAGCGCATGATGATGGTGCCATCACGCTTCGCAATCGTACCGCCCGAGCAGGTAGTACCGGCAGCAAGCGCCATCGGGACAGCACACCCGGAGTTGCAAGTTCCCCACTGGTTGCTGCCTATGCAAATAATGCTGCCGTCGTTCGAACAAGACACGCCACCGCCCGTGCAACTCCCAGATCCTGAATTGGAGCTGCTGCCGGTTCCCTGTGCTGCACTGCTACCAGTGACAGTTGCCATGGTGGTCACAGTTGCGACGTTGCCAGTGCCCAATGGCGCGACTCCGGCACTAGCAGCTTGCGAGGAAGTTGCGGCGGAACTTTGAACAGCGGCGGCAGATGTGGGATCTGGAGCATCGGCACTTGAGCTGGCAGCTGCTGAGCTACCACCAGAGCTTCCAGTCGCTTGGGCGGCAGATCCAGCTTTACCCGCTCCAGCGCCCTTGATGGTGACAGAAGCACAACCGCTGCCAGTCGTCTTACTACCAAGAGCAGTCTTCTGCGCGGTCTCCACGTACAGACCGGGGCTAGGGAACACAAAGTCCTCTCCCTCGGTGGTGCCGCATTGCTCATTCGGAATGTTGATGACGAACATGTCTGGCAGAGAATTGAAGACATCGTTGTTGTCGGCACCGCCAGTCACGGTAATCGGCGCACAGTTCATGTACATCTCTCTGTTGCCAATTTTGTTGAACCAGGTCCAGGCAAGGCTGTACTGTCCGTTTGGCATGCCCTTTGGCATCGAGAATTCGAAGGAGGGGTTTTGGTTGTAAGTCGGAGCTCCATTGGCATTGCCATCCGCGCTGTTCGGGCAGCCACCAAGGATGGAGTGGATGACTTTCCATTCGCTGTCTTTTGTGGGCTCCTTGTCGAGAGTCACAGAGACTTGACACGATCCGCCACCATGCGTGGCACCGCCTTTGAAAGACAGTTTCTGTGGGACACCCACAGGTATGTTGTTCATGGAGGAGATATCGTAGACGCCGGATCTTTGCTTGCAAGGGAAGTCAGACCCATCGTTCTCGAGCGGGCTGTTCGTAAGACTGTCCTGTCCGTATGGGACGGGAGAAGTGATGACCATGTGGGCATTGACGGTAGAGGCGAGCAAGCTGCAGGCAGCTGCGGCGGTAAGAAGTCCTTTGGTGAACATCGTGATATATCTTAATGAGTGGATGCAAGTCGTGAGCGTCGTTGAGATGCAATACAGTCGCTAGGCCGGCTAACGAGTTGGGCAAATGAGAGTCGGGCTCAAGTCAAAGGTCTCGCAGAGACTTCGTTGAAGAATTGAATGAACGGATAATGCACAATGCACCTGGCACGGCGGGAGGCGGAGGGTGGACTGTGGAAGTAGTTGCAAGACGAATGTAGACTGTAGATAGGAAGTACTCACCAGGGAGCGACTCTTAACGCTCTTAAGACTTACACTTGGCGCGATCTGCATCTTGCTGGCCCCTTGTCGACGGCATGGATGTGTGCTCGAGAGATGGCTAGATAGGCGCCATCCAGAGCTGCAAGGCGCAATAATCCATGGCCGACAGTGCCCCTTGGGTGACACAGCGTCAGATCTGGCGCTCGGGAGAGACGTCGACGACGAAGATGCGCTGGTGTTGTTGCGTTTCTTGCCAGGAGTCGGATGTATGTAACAGGAAAGCTTCAAGGGTATCCAGTAGGCTCCGTGCAACCGACGCTCCCTGAAGATCTCTGAAGCAGCGAAGGTGGAGAAGCCGTTGCCGAGTAGCAGAGGAGGAGGGTCGGTGTACGTTGGTAGGCTGGAGCAATTCTGCTAGAGGTACTGCTGCTGTTTCGGAAAGCGGCAGTCACATACATCAGCGGCACGGAGGACGAATGTGTGGTGTTGCACCGCGAAGAGGTGAAGTCCCGTCCATTGGTTTGCGCGGACTCGTCCGGAGACGGGGAAAACCTTGACTGGGTTGCGCGAGTACGCGCTGGAGGCCCGAGCGCGCGGGTTTCACATTTCACAGCATCAGCATCCACCACACCGCGATATCACCCGCTCCATACAACACCACCGGTCCGGTCCAATGTAACAGTGCCCATTCCATTCGAAGCATCTCGTAGATGCATATACGTCTCCGTCATCCGATGCGGGCGGCAAGAGCGTTGAAACCGACGTGTCTGCCCGACCGTGATGTGGAAAAAGAGCAGCTCCAGTCTCGTCTCAGAGCACAACTCTTCAGCCATTCCAGATTTCTCCTCTGAACGACAGACTTTTCATGTGTTGTATTAGCTAGCGCAATGTCCAGCGCCGTGAAGTGTGGGCGAGAATCGTGAGACGTGGTTGGTTGCGCGGTCCGCTGCAGAGCTGCGCTGTCCAGTGGGTGCTGTGGAGCAATGACCACTTATTATTCGTGTTTCGTCCAGGAGTTGTTCGGCCGTTTCTCCGACATGACTGGCTGTTCGTACAAAGGTCAAGAAGAAGGAATAGTGAGGGTGTCAGTTGGCGCTTCAGGGCCATTGGCAGCGAAGCGCCGAAGCAGTTTGGCATCTCTGGGAAAGGAAGGCTGACCAGTCTTTCCCATGCATGGGTGACACCCTACTCATGTGTGGTATGGAGGTACAGAAGTGGGTTGTGCCAGATTGATCCCTCATAAGAGGCAGCACCACCGTTCGCTCGTGGACTCGTGCAAGCTCGTGCAGGCAGTCCGAAGCTCCGTGGCAGACGACCATCCCATCTCCTCGTCTCAACTCATCTCATACCTAATCGACAGCCCTTCTGAGGCAGATGGCGTTGCGTTCGAGCAGCGGCTCTCTCTTCCGGACCACGGAATGCACGCATCACGTGGCAGCGATGCGCGATGCGGGTATCGGCAGACGACAGGTGGCCGCGGCGTCCTGCACGTCTCATATTGATACTCCAAGACAGACGCAATGGGTGTAGTCGAGGGTGGTGTTGCTGTCAGGCTCTCATAATTCCGACCCCGCGGCATGTCAGCGAGCTTGTTCCTGCCTGAGGCATCAAGATCTGACGTGCTGAGCCTGTGGCGCTCCTGCTGAGGCTCACCTCATGTAACAACTTTCCCGCGACCAACACACAACACCTCCACCCGAAGTCGCTGACACCACGTCGACCATACACGTACCGCCGCTTCGACATCGCCGACAACGCCTGCCACCGCCACCGCCAGCGACCGACCGACTGACACCACGTTGACACTGACAATTGGCGATAGCATCACCTCATACACCCGCCGCGCCAGTTCTTGGCAGATCTCCCACTCACCGGTCCGCGGAGGAGTCGCGTGGGCAAGACGTGCGCTCTAGCCACACCTCCAGGGTCCGAGTTGGCGTTGACCCGAATTCATTTGGCGACCCTTCACCTTCGTCGCCGCTCCTCCCCACCACCACTACCACTCCACTCCTCGACTGCCCAACGGCCACCTCGCGGCGCGCAAAGAGAAAACGAAAGACTCCGCCGGCTCAGAGACACACCTGCCCACCATGGACGGTCCATCGGCGCAGGAGCAGTACATCGACAATGCTCTGCGCGCGGTCCAGAACAAGAAGCAGGTCCCCGAGATCGACTTCACCCTTCACGTCATGGAAGATGGCACCCAGGTCTCCACACAAGAGCGAGTCTGTAAAGGTACGCCCCCCGCTCATTGGTGCGCCGAGGGATCACACGTCTCGCTGTACACCACGCCTTACCACTCCCCAAGCTGAAGGCTGACCGACACCGAAAATGTAGATGTTCAGGCACCTGCTTTCAACGTCCCCACCGAGGACCAACTCCTTTCGCCCACCGATCGTTCGAAGCCCAATCTCCAGTTCTTGAAACAGCACCTATATCGAGAGGGACGTCTCACCGAAGAGCAGGCTTTATGGATCATCAATGGAGGCACAGCGTTGCTGCGCGCAGAGCCCAATTTGCTCGAGATGGACGCGCCAATCACAGTGTGCGGTGACATTCACGGACAGTACTACGATCTGATGAAGCTTTTCGAGGTCGGAGGCGACCCAGCCGAGACGAGATATCTCTTCCTCGGAGACTACGTGGACCGCGGCTACTTCTCCATCGAGTGCGTACTGTACCTCTGGGCGCTGAAGATGTGGTACCCAAACACCCTCTGGCTCCTCCGCGGCAATCACGAGTGCAGGCATTTGACCGACTACTTCACCTTCAAGCTGGAATGCAAGCACAAGTACAGTGAGAAGGTGTACGAAGCGTGCATGGAGTCCTTCTGCTCCTTGCCACTTGCTGCGGTCATGAACAAGCAATTCCTGTGCATCCATGGTGGTCTCAGCCCCGAGCTGCACACATTGGACGACTTGAAGGCGCTGGACCGATTCCGCGAGCCACCCACCCATGGCCTGATGTGTGACATTCTCTGGGCTGATCCGTTGGAGGAGTTTGGCCAGGAGAAGACCCAGGAGTATTTCATTCACAACCACGTGCGAGGCTGCTCATACTTCTTCAGCTACCCAGCCGCATGCGCCTTCCTCGAGAAGAACAACCTTCTTTCTATCATCAGAGCACACGAAGCGCAGGACGCTGGATACCGCATGTACAGAAAGACCCGGACGACAGGATTCCCTTCAGTGATGACAATCTTCTCCGCACCCAACTACCTGGATGTATACAACAACAAGGCAGCAGTGTTGAAGTACGAGAACAATGTTATGAACATTCGGCAATTCAACTGCACCCCTCACCCTTACTGGCTTCCAAACTTCATGGACGTCTTTACGTGGTCGCTGCCGTTCGTCGGCGAGAAGATCACGGACATGCTCATCGCCATCCTCAACACCTGCAGCAAGGAGGAGTTGGAAGAGGAGACTCCGTTGTCGTCAGGACCGTCCTCGCCACCTATCTCAGGGCACGGGTCTCTGGCAGGAATGGATCCAGAGAGTACCGAGTTCAAGCGGAGGGCTATCAAGAACAAGATTCTCGCAATCGGTCGTCTGTCGCGTGTGTTCCAAGTTTTGCGTGAGGAGTCCGAACGTGTTTCGGAGCTCAAGACCGCTTCTGGAGGCAGGTTGCCTGCCGGTACGCTTATGCTCGGTGCCGAAGGTATCAAGCAGGCCATTACATCCTTCGAAGACGCCAGGAAAGTCGATTTGCAAAACGAACGCCTGCCGCCAAGCCATGAAGAGGTTCGCAAGAGCAGCGAGACAGCCCGTGACGAGGCGCTCAAGCGCGCCTCGCGAGAGGCTGAGAACGACACGCAGCTTGCTGGTGTTGCGCGGCGGATAAGCATGTAAGCCAACGCGACGCGACGAGCCCATCTGCTGCATGAATACTGACAGTTCGACAGGTCATCCGGCTCAAAGCGCAAGAGCTAGAGATGCAAATGCTTTATAAATGAACCTCAAAAATTCACCCATGGACACAATGACCGCGACGGACGTCTCATTGATTGGAAATGAGACCGGAATGTGGCGGCTCAACGCAGATGAGATCGGAAGGAAGAGCGCTTCCCTTGAAGAAGGCAAGGGTGGAACGAGTGGAACTGTAGCTGCAGCATACATACCCCTGGTGTCAATGGAGTCTAATGGTTAGGCAGGCCCTGTGAAAGGCGAGTGAAAGGAACTTGAAGGGAAAGTCGGGAGAGCGAATGTGCCTCTTGTTGAATACTGTACTTGCATCTATCATTTTTTGATGCGATGACGAAAAAACTTCACTTGAGCCAGCGCCGCAGGTCCCGAGGTCAGAAATCCCAGAAAACATTTTCGCGAGGCAGACTGCACGAGAAAGTTCTCACTTTTGCATAACACTTTCAAAACGCTACATGACCCCTCCATTGTGGAATTTCCAACTCCACTCCCAAGGTCCCCAGTGGGGAGGTGGTGGTGGTGGTGGTGCTTCGTTCTTCGAGAACTAGTACTGCAGCGCCCAATTGCTAATTCTACCCGCCATGCATGCACCCCCCCCCCCCCCCCCCCCTTCTCCCCCTTATCTATCTATCTATCGAGTTCGCGGTCGCGGTCGTGCGTTCCTCCCTCTTCTCTTCTCTTCTCTTCCCATGCAGGTCGCGGGTCGTTCGTTGGTGGCGGCGTAGGTAGGAATCTGAATTGCGGTGGGTGCAGGGAAGAGGAGACGGCGATTTCGATTTCGTCTTTGGAGAAGAATAACACATGGGTGAGTGGATGAGTGGTGGTGCTGGAGGTGGTGGTGGTGGTGGTGGTGGTGTTCCTGTCGTAGATTCATTCAGGTGACGAGCCTGATGAAGCGAGAGCGGAACCCGCGCTCCTCCTCCTCCTCCTCCTCCTCCTCATCGCCATCGCCATCGCCATCGCCGCCGTCGGGTTCGGTCGGGATCTCAGCAGCAGCAGCAGCGGTACTTCCTCATCCTGCGCCGTCGGAGTCCATGCACCACGAAGAAGGGAGAAGGCAAAAGCAAAAAGAAACCCTCCCGCCGAGGAAAACAAGACAAGGCGCAGCAGCCGTATGCCGTACACCGTACACTGCGTCTTCTGGATCCCTGCAGTCGTCGAGGTCCCCCTGACGATGGGATCGCATTGCCTGATATTGATATTGGAACGTGTAGTACACGATGATCCACCGACGAAGATTCGTTGGATGTAGATTGAAGCCTTGATGCTTCCCCCTCGGGAATCCTCCTCGACGGATCGCTTGGAATGTTTTCCCCCGCCGCTAAGGGTCCTTGCTATCGTCAGAGTGTCGGAGAGCTCGAGAGTGTAAATAGATGGTGACAAGACGGATCTCGGTATTGACAATCCTTCGAGATTGGTCTGAGAGGCCGTGTTCACTTGTATAGAAGATGAAGTCGCTGCATCTCGGTGATGATGATGCTGAAGTGGGCGCGGCCTTGCGAAGAGTCATCTCGTGATAAGAGCTCGGTAACTCAATAGTCACGTCTGGAGACGGGAAATGGGAAGATGGAAATATGATTAAACCTAGTAGAACGCATCACGATAAAGAGACTCCGGCAAACACTCGAAAATTAAGTGGCCGCCCGAAACGCTGAGAATGGATGCTTAAACATGCCATGCTGGGCGCGCCAAGTCTTCGTCTTCTTCGTCCGCCACAATCGGAGCGCGGTACCGAGTTTCTCTTGTGGAGCTGGCAAACGAGTCTTGCGATGCGACGCTCCCTTGACTGCTACTGGTATAAGATCCAGACCTGGAAGTCGAGCAAAAGGCGCATCTGGACGATGAAGCAGAGCTTGAGCGTGGTCGTGAGGTCGCTGTCGCAGGTGGTGCACTTGGCAATGTCGGGACAGCGGAGGTCTCTGGTATGGAGAGACGATTCATAGCAGCTGTCGCCGGCAGGCTCGGATAGAACTCATAGGGGTTACGTGGTGCTGGTGTGTCCACAACGATACTTTCCGCAAGGTCGAACCCAAAGCGGTTGTCCCTGATCAACCTGTATCCACGAAGGGTGGCAGCCCGAGCCGCACCTCTCCGTCGTCGTTCATCGATGTCCCGAGAAGCTAGAATTGCCTGAGCAGTACGTATGCTCGAATCCCTGGCTGCGCGTTCACGCCTGGTCGTTCTTTCATCGTCATCGGCATCCTCGCTGATCTCTCGAAGCGCTTGCAGAAGCCAGATGAGCTGCTCGCTCGATACCTGGGTGCAGTCGATGTCAGCCAGGGGATGGTTGACACTTAGGATACCGTCGACCGGCGGGCTTGCAGTGTCAAGGTCCAGGTAGTCGCGATGTCGAATGCCAGAGCCGATAACGTAGAGGTCAAAGTTCCAAGAACTTGGTGGCAAAGGCTTATCCGTGAGAATTGTGACGGGTACACTCACCCTGTGTACGGCAACACCCCTTTGAGCAATCGGTTGATCCATATGTCGAGGCAATGCTGAAGTTGGATTTGGTGGGAACTTTGCGCTTGCGCTATGCTTGTGTGATTTGAGGAGGATGCTGCGTTTGAGTTCAGAAAATAAGGGCGCGAAAGGGTCGCCTGTATAACAGAGAGTTAACAGAGAGTCGAGGTGTGGCCGAGTCATTCACAAAGGCGACATGATTGATGTTTGCTTAGGGTTCGTCAACCAGGGTTTGCCAACACAATGTGCAGCGTGACTGCTAGGCCGGTCATGTACAGTGGCAAGCAAAGAAAGCGCTTGATTCGTCAAGCATGCAAGGCCCAATTCCTCTTTGAAGAGCGCACACTCGGAGTTCGGAAGGCGCTTCGCTCTCGGTATGGGAAGCCAATGTGCACACCAAGGCCTGGGGACGCAGAGTGCGCTGAGCACATGAGCATGAGGCTCTGGACAATCCGAGCCGCTCGCTTGCTTTGGCAGCCTGATCTGGAGACGATTGCACGTGCGACTATGGTATCAATCTTGCCATTCGATCACTCCGGCACTTTCGGCACAGCGGAGCCTCCAACAGCACCAGTGCCAGCCGCATCCGGTCCACTGGCCGGGACAGCCTTCTTGCGCCCAAATAGACGAGATATCCGGTTGGTGAATGGAAGTACAGTCCATCTCGCGAACCAAGGTGTGCCCCACACACTCAATATCAGCCGAAGAGGAAGCAATGCCTTGGTGATGGCATAAGCCGTGGCCAGCTCCACTACCACTCTCACGCCCGTCTCACTGCGACCCCACCACCTGGTTTTGCGATCTTCGTCCCCTATCCAACCTCTCTTGCGCATCCAGCTGCCGAACTTTTGCTGTCCATCTTGAACCCACTTCCCTTCGCTGATGAACGGGGGCAGCCATTCGCTGTAGTGGAATGCTCCAGCCAGAGCAAACAACGGGACCACGGCAGTGAGCTCGTGCAAGATGATGAAAGCGGTTATGTGGGAGATTGGAGCATTTCGCAATGGTTCGACGTATCTTCGAAGGAACTTGGGTAGTCGGGACTCGATCTTGGAGACGCGCGTGGTTGGAGATGCAGGTGTGGGATTGGGCTGGTCGGCGAAGAATCGCGTACTTCGTATCCTGGATGATGAATTGAGTATCTTGCGAGCTGACCATGGCCGTCGAAATAGGCTGGTCATGATTGTGTATTGTATTGTGTTGGGAAAGAGTGCATGTGAAGGAGGAGAACGATCGATGATGTCTGAGGTCTTTCGATCTCTGACGTTCATTCTCCTCGCCCGCCGTAGTATTAGTTTATTGCTTACTGACCTCCCACTCCCAATCTCAATCTTACCATCAACATTAATCAATATCGACATTCACGTCAACACTTCTACCATCACCGTACTGACACAGCCGCTGCAATCTGTTAGACCTGGTCTAATCCCTCAAACAAATCGCAATCGGTTTCGGGTCATTCTCTTCCACTTGATGAGCTATGCCTCTCCCTGGATCACCGCTTGAAGTACGAGTCTTTCGGATGAGCAATATCCTCCAGCGTTGGGGCGCTCCATCCAGATGTACGATCGGATCATGCTCATCTAAAAGCCTGTCAATCCTCCGTGGCAGGACGTTCATCCAGCCGATCAACGCCTTGGATTTCCCCATGGAGAAATAACATGATGGCACCGCCAAATCGACACGGGGCCTTCTCCTGTCGAAAGACTCCTCTACGATTGCTCTGTCACCGCTTCAGTGCATTGTAAATGTAGTGTTGACAGACATGTCACGACCACTGCGCTGCACTCGCAGGGCGGTGGACCTGGGCACCCAAGGCTGTGCGATACTGCATCAGCATTGCTTGCTTGATGCAAGTATCTGGCATGCGCGAAGATAGCATGATCGCTCGCGAGATCTTGGACCGAGCCTTCCATCGAGCATGATCCCCAGACAAGGAACTCTCTTGTCAGTGCCCTCAGCTCCCAGCGTAGCGCAGTCCACGTTGGCGCTTATGTCCACAAGACCAACAACGGGGCCATCAATTTCTATAGCTTCTGGGTTGCAAAACGAAACATTGACACGATGCATTCCGCGTTTGCCAATACATAGCCACATAGTTGCTGGTTCTCCCGGTTTGCGAATCGGCAAAAGACGCTTCAATGTGCAACACCATGGAGTCTACAAGGAGAAGATCGCGGAGGGTTCTTCAGGAGCTGAATCCCCAAATCCTCCATGTAGCTGGCGACGGAGCCTGCAAGCTGACGTCGAATTACTGCAGCTCTTCCGGCACACTTGGAGGACGTCAGATCTGCAGCATTGACACCAGCTCTATTCTGAACTTGTGGATCAAATATTCCTCGGGGGATGTAAAGCTGAGTGGAAAGTCCTGAACTTGATCTTGTCTGTCGACCGTTTTCGAGACAGCTCTCACAGACGACCATCTTCTCATACAAGGACCAACATGACATATACGCAACGACAGTCTAAGCTGCGGGACAGCTGCGACGCATGCTCACATTCGAAAGTACGATGCGACAGTAGGTATTACCTCGTCAAAAGCCAGCAAGCCTTGCCGCTGACCAGACTTCTCCAGAAACCAAACCCTCCTGTATGAGATGTTGTGAGAAGGGTTTCAAATGCGAATACAGCCCTGCTCGGAGAATCGGTCGCGTGCGGAGCAAAACAGTCAAGTCCATCAGCGACGATGTCAAATACCGCCTGCCTCGCGGAGACGTCCATTCTGCGTGCTCGCCACCTCCTGACATGACGGATGAGATGGAATCGCCACCCGACCTCTCTCCACCTCCGCCACTGCAGCGCACGCCGGACTGGAACAATTCCTGGACACTATCCGAAGGTGGAGACTTCGGCATCACGTCGACCCAACAACAACAGCAGCACTGGATCAAACCTGACCCTTTCAGTCCATCGCAACAGCAACAAAACAACTTTCTCGCTACTGCTCAAGCCTTCTTGCCGTCGAGCATGGACTCCCAGACACTTGTTTCTGCGACTTGCAGACTCCCGCAGCTGGTCAGCGAGCAGGGTTTCGCACCCATGAGCACCACCACTGACAGTCCATTTGGTCCGAATGCAATCAGTGCGCTTACAGCACCTGAGCCTCCACCCGCTCGCGTACCGACAATGCATCGATCTTCGACGTCAAGCACTCCGGGTGAAGCCTCGACGTCAGACGGTAAACACATTGACGAAGAGTTTGCCGGCCTCATCACCTTTGCCGACAGTATCGAGAGCAAGTTTGACGTCTTCGTTCGGACGAGACTCTCCCTGCATGAGGCGGAAGGGTCCGGGCCGGATCCGGGAGAGATGTCCTTCTACTACTCTCTTTCGGAATTGAAACGGAGGCTCAAGTGGTTGAGGGAAGACGTGAGGAACTCGTGAAAGGTTGATTCCCGTCATCCCGCCGTTGATACACGTTACGTACGATTTGATGACTTTCATGTGTAATACAGCTCGAGCGCGGGCAGAGATCGATACCTGAAATGCGATTGTGTAAGTGATGTCTCTCGTGTCTAGAGGCATACGCTCCCTACTGGCATGTTCTGGTGGGATGACATGGGGATGGACAACGACTTTTGGTGGCAGAGGCAAGCTGTAAAGATTCAAAGAGAGAAAAGGAGCGGGTTCTAGCAAGATATTGCGAATTTTAGAAGTAAGTAGATAAGTAAGAGATAAGAGATGTAAGGATGGTCATTCTTGCCTTTCTATCCACCTTGACATGGCGTACTAGCGTTTTCGGTAACAGGATGCCGGGTTCCACGGGATCCACCGCGCGCTAGGCGTGGGTCTGAGTGAATACCTTTTTCTATTCCACCACATCGACGTTTCGTGTTTCTCTTTCCATTTCCTCCGGAACGTCAATTTTCTCGTCGACGCACTTGCCCTTTTGATCTCCTCATTCTTCGGAGACATCGTACATCTGATGCTGGACAGAGCATCGTGACGAGCGAAGACGCGCTGCAATGGGATTGTCCCGCACTTGTAACGTAAATCGATGAATATCATCGTATGTTCAGGATATTACACTTGCAAGTGGATATTTGGCGTACAACTCCTTTTGACTCAAGCAAGCTCGTGGCAGGCTTGCAAATGCATCAGGCACACACGGGGCACCTGGCTAGGTGGGTTCTACACTGGCATGCGCGACATCTGGACTGTACGGCCGAGAGAGACCTGTGAAAGATGCCGTCTTCTGGAGAGGTTTGGAAGATTTCCACGCTCGTGTGCTTCGGAGCGGCCTGTCGGGTTCTAATCCAGACACCGAGTTCGGTCGGAGGGTGGGAGGAGTCGAAGGATCGGCTTTTCAGCTCTTCTTGACCTTCTGCTCTACACGGGAAAGTGGATTCGCCGTTCATTGCTGCAGACAGATTCTGTAAGCGACTACACGTCTGCGATCGTGTTGTGTCCAGGGACAATCCGTCTCCAAGGTCGAGATCTACATGCGTCTTGGCACATTTCCAGCTCTGACTCGGCGTTTTCCCAACTAACGGGAGCGTTTACTTCTTTGGAGAAGCTTGCGGGTATCATTACATCAGCTTCGAGTGTGGAGGGCCCTGTGCAACACGCACATCATGGCTAGCTTGAAAACGACTGTTCATTGGATGGAAATGGGTCGTCGCAGGATGTGTGACAACGCTGATAGGACTCGGTGCGCATCGCTTCTCCACACCGGCGCAAGTGGTATGCTTATTGCCAAAGGATTGGAAGTGCATGTAAGCAGCACGCCTGATTCCCTCCTACCATATATGGGCGTCGTTTCGGTGCTCAGAACGCTCCTCTATTGTTGCAACTTGCACCATACTCCCCGGACAACATGCCTCTCCCGATTTCACCAGAAAAGATCGAGCGCCGTCACTACATCAATGGCGAGTTCGTGGAATCGTCCGATAAGGGCACCTTCGAGCTCACATCGCCCTACTCGCACGAGAAGATTGTCGACATGTGCGAGGCTTCCGAAGAAGACACCAACCGTGCGGTAGCTGCTGCGAAAGCGGCATTCCCAGCTTGGTCCGCTACTGGGCCTGCTCAGAGAGCAACGCTGATGAGAGTATTGGCTGGCAAGATTCGAGCGATTAGCAGCGAGCTGGCTATGCTGAATGCCATGGATTATGGGCGACCAGTGAGTTGAGGCTACATTGGGAAAGTTTCGATCTTCTCGTTGACATTTTCCAGGTCTCTACGTACTTCGACGCCCACTTTGCAGCAGGCTACTTCGAACAGCTTGCAGGAGAGGGCTTCCACGCCAAAGGCGAGACAAGTCTCAACACGCCAGGCTATGTCAACATGACTTTCCGTCAACCGATCGGCCCAGTAGCGGCCATCATCCCATGGAACATTCCCACCATTTCCTTCGCACACAAGGTGGCCCCTGCCATCGCAGCGGGATGCACCATCGTTCTGAAGACCAGCGAGAAAGCACCCCTCACCCCCGCCCGACTCGCCCATCTCGTCCACGAGACCGGCTTCCCTCCCGGTGTCATCAACGTCATCTCCGGCCACGGTACCCCTTCCGGCGCCACGCTCGCGAGCCACATGGACATCCGCATGCTCAGCTTCACCGGATCCACCTCCACCGGCCGCAGGATCCAAGCCGCGGCCGCCAGCAGCAATCTCAAAAAGGTCGTCCTCGAACTCGGCGGCAAGTCCCCCGCCATCATCTTCGAAGACGCCGATGTCATCAAAGCCGCCAGCGAGACTTCCTTCTCCATGTCTCTGAACCAGGGCCAGGCCTGTGTCGCCAACAGCCGCATATACGTGCACGAATCCATCGCGGACAAGTTCAAAGACGCGTTCTTGGCCGTCTTCAAGGCGGCGAAGAAAGGTGATCCTCTTCTTCCCGAAACGACGCAGGGCCCGCAGGCAGACAAATTGCAATATGAGCGTATCGAAGCCTATCTCAAAGCTGCGAGTGAAGGCGGCGGCAAGCTCGAAGCAGGCGGGAAGATGACACAGGTCGACGGGAAGGGATACTTCATGGAACCCACGATGTACTGGGGCGTGGACGAAGACTCAAAGACCCAAAAGGAAGAAGTCTTCGGCATCTTCGTCAACATCAACACGTTTACGGATGAGGCGGAAGTCCTGACCAGGGCCAACGATACGGAATACGGCCTGTACGCATCGGTTTTCACAAAGGATCTCAATCGGGCTCTGAGGGTTGCAAAGGCCTTTGAGTCTGGCATGGTGGGTGTGAATTGTACCAGTCCGACGATGGCGAATGATCTGCCGTTTGGAGGGTACAAGGGCAGTGGACAGGGTCGTGAGGGCATGTTGCATGCTGTGCAGGAGTATTTGGAGGAGAAGACGGTGATGATCAAGATGGATGACAGTGCGGAGAACCCGCTGCTCGCGAAGGAGTGATGGCGTGGCCAGGTGTGTATGATTTGAAGAGCAAAGACGGATTCAAAGACAATTCTCACGTCTGAGTCAGAAGGCGGCCTCTCATCCCTTCAATGCTGCTTCAGCGTGTCTGAAGCTCGAGCTGATTTTCCCCTTTTCTACAACGCCAAATTGTTAAAACATCTCAGGTTTTTCAATTATTAGCAGCTGGTCCTTCCAGATCCCAGTGCTGGCCGGTTGCCTGGTCCTCCAGAAGTGTGTGTCCTACGAGCTCATGCTCCCCCTGAGCAGCGGCGCCACCTGCTTCCTACTGGCCTCCAAATTATGCTGATCCCAGAACATCTGATACGGCACCTCAGCGTCCCCGCTGATCGGCGAGTCCTTCCCATCCGCGAGCTCCAGCTTCGCCTTGGCATTTTCCGCAAATCGCTCCGCAGCCGCCCTGCCCTTGTCATCCAGCGCCAAGAGAAGCAATTGTCGCTCAAAAGTTCCATTGTCGTTGAAAGCCGGCATGACGGCGAAGAGGTTGAGATTCCGACTCTTCGCGAACCTCACCAGGGGACATTGAAACGTTTCTCCGTCTGCGGCTTTGTGTTTGTGCAGGTATTGACAGGGTTTCACCACGCTGCTGATGCCGAGGGTCAGGTCGCCTTCTGTCCACTGCTTGTAATCTTTCCGCAGGAGATCTTCGAGCGAGAGTGCCGACACGTCCGATTTGGCATCGTCGATCTCTTGGAAGAACCTGTCGCGATCGTAGTCTTTCCCATACTTGTGCGAAATATGGATCTTTGCTTCCAGGAATCGGATGGCTTTCTTGTCGGCATCGGTGACTTTGTGCTCGGCTTTCATGTTGATTGTGTCGATCAGGATGGCACCGAGGGCAAGTTTGGCCACCTGGGCGTCCCAGCCGGAGGTGTAGGCGAAGTCGTCGACGAGCGTGACGTTGTCTTGCGGGTGAGCGGCGCCGACTGTCATTGCGGAGTCGGAGAGCTGTTGCCATGTCTCCCGGAGGTGGTTGGTCACCAGGCTATTGCAGCTGCCTGATTTCTCAATGATTCTGACATCCACTCCCCTTGAAACGGCTTTCTCGTCGTCGTGATGATCGATGACACCCGTGACCCGGCTTCGGTAGAGATCGCCCAGCTTGCCCTGGAGAGCGTTGTGGTCTACGAGAGTCCAGTCCGTCTTTTCCACTGGTAGAGGCTCGTCTCCAAGATCGTCGAGGGTGATGAGCTCTAATGGCTTGATGTCCGCATGCTTGAGTAGAGCGGTGAGTTCCGGGCGTAGAGGCAGCTCCGAAGCCGCGATGTTGGCGACCGGTATCACGAATCTCCCAGCCTTTCTTGCTTCCAGCTTGCTCGATAGGATATAGCCATAGACCAATGCACATGTGATGGAGTCAAGATCCGCGGATTCGTTGCCAATCACGAAGGAGGTATGCGTTTTTTCTTTCAAGGACTTTTGTAGATGTCGCTTGGCGGCTGCCAGGAACGCCCGAATGGCGAATCTGGACATGTTGACCTAATCGATCATGCAATGTGTTGTCGGCTTTAGTACAGTCGTTGGATGTGTAATAGAGAGCCAGCGTGCAAGTTGGGGGCCAAATGTTCAAATAAGCTTTGACGCTGCGACACTAGCGTGACAGGGGTCCAGCAGCACTTCACGTGGTTGCCTCGCCGCCGACGCCCATAAATACAACTTCAACTTTCTACCAACTTCCACACACCCACATCAAAGCATCCAACAGTACCTTGTCACGCCAGCGCATTCAACAGCTGCGAATTCTCCACTCAGTCATCCTTCGAGCTCACGCCACTACCAATTCGGAGCAAACGCACAATAAAAGGTCAGCGGAATGTCGGCGGCAGCAGCAGGTAGAGGGAAGGCGGCACTCGACAGCAGCGACTTTGAGGAAGCTATCAAGCAGTATACTGCTGCCATCAAGGAATCACCCACGTCGCCGGACTTTTACAACCAGCGCTCTACCGCAAATCTCCGTGCTGGTCGTCTGGACGAAGCACTTGCAGACGCGGATCAAGCGGTCCTGAATGCGAACAAGAGAGCCAAGAAGGAAGCCATTGTTGAGTCGCAGTTTCGTCGCGGCGTCGCTCTGTACAAGCTTGAACGATATGCCGACGCCGAATTCCTGTTCAATATTGTGAAAGGCCTGGATCCTAAGCACAAATCGGTCGACATGTGGATCACGAAGACAGGAATGGAGCTCAAGAAGTCGACGAATCCCGACGATAAGCATGTGACTGTGAAAGAGACACCCGATCTGGGCTCTGAAGATCGCAAGCCCGCCGACACGAACGGAACTTTCTCGACTTCTGTCAATCCCCCAGCAACTGCTGCACCTGTCGTGTCATCGCAGACGCCGGCAGACAAGATCCGTTGGGAGTGGTATCAAAACAGTGAGAACATCTATTTCACTCTGCTCGTCAAGGGAGCGCCGAAGGAGAAGACTAACCTCGAGATCACCGAACGCTCTCTGAACATCTCTTTCCCGCTCGTCAGTGGCTCTTCTTACGACCTGACCCTGGAGCCACTCTTCGCCCCGGTCATTCCCGGGAAGTGCATTACCCGTGTAATGCCATCAAAGATCGAAATCATCCTCATCAAAGCCACCCCAGGCCAGAAGTGGGCCAAATTCGAGAGCGAAGAAACAGTCGCTAACAAGGCAGACTCCGACGCCGCCGAGAAAGACGATCCAGTGAAGCGTGCAGTCTTCAGCGAGAGCAAAGCATCCGCTCCAGCCTATCCAACCTCATCGAAGAACGGGCCAAAGGACTGGGACAAGATCAGCAAGGAACTGCGTGTCCCGGATGGCGGTAGCCTTCAGGACGACGATGACTACGAAGGTGGTGATGAAGGCAACCACTTCTTCAACAAGCTCTTCAAGAACGCGGATCCAGATACTCGGCGTGCGATGATGAAGTCTTACACCGAGTCGAACGGCACGGCGCTTTCTACCAACTGGGACGAAGTCAGCAAGGGTCCGGTCCCCGTCAGCCCACCTGATGGAATGGAAGCCAAGCCGTGGACCCAGGAGCGTACGAAGTCGGGCCAGCAGTCGTAGCGTGGCGAGCAAACGGTCGGCGATTGAGTAAGGGAAGTCAAAGACAATGACGAGGTCAAGCACGAGCACGAGCATATGGAAGAAAGTCAGCAGTCATGGGATACGGGTCAGGAAATGATCAGTTCTTCGGCCTCTTGGAGATCAACATCGGACGGAAACGAAAGCATGGTCTACGATTCTACTTTGCCGCTGTATGCCGGACTAAGAGAAGAAGAAGATGACGATGATATGGCTGCATTGGGGCAAATACCTCTCGAACTCTAGCATTTGAGCGCGGCGCTGGAGTTTGGGATCGACTATGGAAATAAGGATCCCTTGAGGTGTTTTTGAAAAGATTTGCACAAGTCAGCGTCAACAAGCGTCCAAATTCTTTTTCGAAGAGATGCTTTCCTCTCATCATTTCGGATACTCCAAATTCACGTTCCAGTGCAGAAGCCAGTCTTCGAATAGCAGCCGAGAGATGGGAAGCTGTCTGGTTGTATGATGGAGAAGAGGTCTGATGATGATACATTCTACCCGTGCATGACTTCGTGGATCTGTGATACATCCGATATCGCGCTGCAGAGTCGGTTCCGTTCTCGTTATCCTCCAACGCCATGCAATGCAATTGATGGTAGAGTGGTGCTTCTTTCTTAGTCGCCGAAAAACTCGCTAATAGTGTCCATCCAACCGCCGCCTTCGCCGCCACCTTCTCCACCCGCGCTGGGCGGAGGCCCGTCGCCTGGTCCACCTCCTCCCCAAGGATCGTCATTTTCGCCCCAAACATCGTCGCTTCCCGGTCTGTTTTCACTTTGCTCGGGACTTTGGCCTCCAGCGCCGGGGAAGGGCTCATTATTGTTTGTAGGGCTGGCATCGTCTCCTCCGCGAGGGCCGTAAGCTCCTCTCTGCATGGCCTCGTAGCCTGCCATTGTGCCTGCTCCAGCCATGGCTCCTTCGCCTGCGCCGGCGGCTCCTCCCAAGCCTCGTCCAGCAGCGCCAGCGGCCCCTTCCATGGCTCCTGCGCCTTCTGCTGCTCCGACTGCGGTTCCGACAGCTCCAGCCTCGCCAGCTGCAGCTCCGCCTGCTACAGCACCTCCCTCTGCCGCACCGCCGCCCATTGGCCACCAGAGGGGCATGAAGCCTCCTCCAGCGACATGCGACGAGTGGCGAGAGAAGTAATCGAAGTCAATGGAAACAGCTGTAGCTAACATGACCGCGCGCTGATCCATTGTCATCGCAGTCGCTTCGCGTTCGTAGCGGGCGACCTCTTCACCCTGGGCATTCTCCAGAGCCGATGCTTGCGCAGCGCTGTCCATGCGGAGTGCGTACACACCGGTATCAGTGAAGATCTCACGCGCAAAGCCGCCAAAGTTGCGGTTTACGCTCCCAATGACCCGTTGTTCTTCACCTTTCAGAGTGAAATCCCAGGAGAGGAAAGGTTCGTTGATATGCGCGAACTGAATCATGCCAGCTTCGATAGCAGCGTCCGGCGCCTTGGATTCGGTCAGGGCTTTGGTGTCAGAGGTCGGTTGCTCACCAGACTCAATACGTGGCGTGCCAGCATCTCGAGGCACTTCCATCGGCCGATAGCTGGAGAGGTTGTACTTGCGACGCAAGGGAGCCCACTGCTGCTGAGCTTCACCAACGATACGCATCTCATCCAGCTCCAACGGCGACACCTGAGCCACAGCTCCCTGATTGGCAACAGAGCTCGAAGATGTCCCTTGCAAAGCAGTAAACTCTTCGACGGCAGTGTATCCACCAGGCGGAATCGGATCGTAGATCCTGATCCGACTGTTGATGTACGCAAAAGGTCTGTGTATCCTCAAGACTTCCTTCTCTTGGCGATCAAAGATATGCGTCGTGAACGATCGATGCGTCTTGAACATCTGCCTCGCCATGGCACTACCTATTCCATGGTCCCTCTCCGCAATATATCCCAACGTCTGCCCTTGTCCGTCCATGATGATGTAGCGATTCGCTTGCTCAAAACCTATCATGATGTTCATGAATTCAATCTGTCTTTGAATAACCAAGCTACTGTTTCCCAGTATAGCCAACGCAGGGTGATCTTTCGGGAGGACGCCATTTGGATCGTCAGGGATCCGCACTTCGGTGACGAGATCTGAAGAGTCGGATTGTGCCAGTGCTGCGGCGAGCTGTGTATTTCGACCGGGCTGCTGCTCGTCCTGGCCCTTGTCACTTTGACTTGTTGGGTCGTTGTTGCCATCCTGCCCATCGCCATCTCTTCCTGGCATGCTCGCCCATGGTCTCGATCGTGGTGGCGGCTTCTGAATCCATCGTCGTTGCTGGACTCTCGCTATTCTAGATCGGAAAGTTGCGTTCGACGGCTCCCGAAGAAGCGACCGGGCGACCTGCGTTCTAGGCAGTCGAAGCGACCATCTTGCCGTCGACATGTTTGACTCCCATGTACCTCGAACCCAGGCCAATGAACAATGAACAATACCACAAGCTCGAAGTCGGAGCTCACGTGAATGGTCAAAGTCCACATACTGTAATTGACGTTATCCATAGTTAAGCTGGGGAGCTGCCCGCAGCCCGTGAAAAGGTCCATCCATTAGCTCCCGCGGCTGATCAACCAATCAATTCCAGCCCGACCTCAACTCCTTGCCAGGCAAGTACGCAGACACGCATCACGCGACTGCAACCACACCTCAACCCCCCATCAAAACTTCTCTCCCCCATGGACATCCTCCACCACTTCGCATCCCTCTACCATTCCGCTACCCACATCCGCCACACCCTCTTCGAAGCCCACGACATGATGGTAAGCACTTCGACCTACGAACGCGCCACAGAGACCCTCGACTTCCTACGTCTCAAACTCTCGCCTGCTCTAGCCAAACCCCGAGTCGCGATCGTGTGTGGTTCCGGCTTGGGAGGTTTGGCTCAGGTGGTGAATGGAGGGTTGGTGGAGACGTGGGAGTACAAGGATGTGCCGAATTTTCCGTTGTCGACTGGTACGTATCTACTTAGGTTTTTTTCACTTTCATATGAAAGGAGTCGTACCTTCAAGCTGATGCTCCCTGATCCTAGTGCCTGGCCATGAAGGCAAATTGATATTCGCGACCATGGGCCAGACAAATGTCCCCGTCGTACTACTCGTGGGTCGCGCGCAGTCAGTAGATAGCCCTGAAAATCAAATCGTCATTCGAGGTTCAGAAGCTCATCGCCTTTCTATTACAGTTTCTACGAAGGCCATAATATGGACACGGTAACATTTGCTACTCGAGTCTGCAAGTTGCTCGGTGTCGAGACGATGCTCCTGACCAACGCCGCCGGAGGTCTCAATCCGGACTACAACGTCGGGGACATCGTCTGCCTGAACGATCACCTCAACCTAGCTGGACTCGTCGGCTTCCACCCACTCAGGGGACAGAACGAAGAAGAACTCGGCGTCCGCTTTCCACCATTGAGCGACGCGTACGATTTCTCCCTCCGACAACTCACTCACAAATCCTGGAGTGAGCTGAGACAGCAGTCGCCAAGTGAGCGAAGGATGCATGAAGGCGTCTATGCTTTTGCCGCCGGACCAAGCTACGAGACACGTGCAGAGTGCCGCATGCTGCGAAGTCTGGGGGCTGATGTAGTGGGCATGTCGACGGTACCCGAGATCATCGTGGCAAGACACTCCGGTATGCGTGTCCTTGCATTCAGCTTAGTGACCAACAAAGCGGTGCTCGATCCAACACTCCGCGCAGACAATGCAGAGGTCCAGAGCATGTCCCGCGAGCAGCTCGACGAATGGATGAGTCGCGGTAAGGCGGATCATGGCGAGGTCCTCGAGGCCGGCAGGCTGGCGGCAATGGATATGCAGAGTCTGGTACTCCGCATAGTATCGTCATTGTGATATCCAATCACATACCCCATAAAGTATAGCGAGATTGAGGCATGGCAGGGCGTAAGGTAGACAGGGCTGCTTCAACCGGCGCCACCCTTCTTGACACCACCTCTTCTCTCCTCCTTGAGAGCCTTGTAGAACGCCTTCTTGCCGCTCGTCTTCTTCGCCTGGACGTCGCTGTACTTGTTCTTGAAGCGGCCTGTCTCCCTCTCCCCTTCGAGCACCTCTTCTACAAGCGTCCGCTTGCGCTTCTTGTTTTCGACGCGGCCGGTGAAGAACTCAGTCGGCCCTTCGACAATGGTTCCAACTTGACTGTATTCCGGCGCCTTCATCTTGCCACCATCCTTCTTGTAGTGACGGTGCGGGTCGAGTACGTTACGCATCTTGAGAAGTTGAAGGTCGCGTTTGAGCTCGGGTGTGAGATTTGTCTTTGGCAAGTTGTACCACTGTTCGCCGGCAGTAGCCTTCTTCTTCTGTGAGCATGTCAGCTTGTGCTCCAAGTGTTGCTTGGTAGAACAACTGTGGAGGTGTATGATGGGCTCAGAGTAACTATGATTAAGTAAAACTTTCAGTGTGCAGAAAGGCAACCAAGACGGCGCCCGAACTCTGCTCAAGAGAAATTGGGATAATTTTCCTCATTGCCGTGTGCAAGAATTTGAAGACGAGAATGTCGCGTACCTCTGCACCGGCCTTCTTTGCGGTGACCGGATCCTCGACCTTCCTGATACCGTCTGCGAGCTTCCGATACTTCCCATCCAGTATGCGGGAGTCGTCGAGCTTCGCGATATCACCACTCGTGTCCACGTATGGCTTGTCCAGCTTGCCAGCATCGAGCTTCGGGAATGTCAAGCGTTGTCCTTCCGGCTGTTCGATCAGCTGCTTGCCCTTGGCCTTCTCTTTCAGACGCAGCGTGGCACGAGCGAGTAAAGCGTCGATCTCGCCGTCGCTGAGGTCTTCATCGTCGACCACGCTGGGAGCGGTGTGGAACGAGTCCATAGATGAGGGAGTCATCATTTGGGGCTACATCGAAGAGCTCAGAAATTGGAGCAAGAAAGAAAAGATGGAGTGGGTCTGCAGGGCAGCTGTGAGGAAATCCGGCGAACCGAATCCGAAAGCTTGGGGGCGGGCCAGTCCGAAGCCTGCACAACATTGGAGGAGCTCGGCGGTTTCCCATCTACTCTGTACTCACCACACGTTCCTGGGCCTCAGAGCAACTACTGTCGCCCTATATCTCAGAGGCTGGCCATTGCGACAGTCCGTGAATATATCAACACTTCCGAATCGACCGACCTGACGGAGGAGTCCACCCGCAACCATGCCTGTGATGATGAAGTCCGAGGTCTCCTATGCGAAACATACCCTACCCTATCCAGTCTTTGCGGCAGAGTTCGACCCTTACAATCGCGGATATCTCGTGGTCGCAGGAGGTGGTGGCGAGGGCCGAAGTGGGGTTCCCAATAAGATATCCGTATTGGATGTCAACAATCGCGCGAGCATCGAACCAGCTCTGGAGATCGATCTTTCCCGCGAAGAGGATTCAGTCTCATCAATCGCAAGCCTCGCTACTAAGGATGGTCTCGTCACATTTGCGGGTATCAACTCGTCGCAACAGGAGCAAGATGCAGGCAACAACGAGCACTTGCGATCGTTTAGCATACGGTACCCACCTAGGAAGAAGCAGAAGATGGAGGATGCCAGCAGTGAGGAGAAGGGCGAGATTAAGTCACTGGGACGGAGATCGCTGTTCAAGACCTCAACAGCGCCGAAAAAGGAGACATACCAGCGACTGCTGCGACTCTCGCCAGTGCAGAAGCGGGACACGCCAGGCAAGCGGATAGGCGCAGTCGCAAGCAGTTTGGGCGAGGAGAATGAAGTGATCGTTTTCAACGCGACGACTGCTCTTCCTGACGCTGGTGATATCATCACGAAGGCCACATTACCACCGAAGCAAGAAGCAGGCGATTTGGACATCATTCAGACGGTCGAGAACGAGTTTAGCGTCGCATATTGCGATGACCACGCACTCTACGAACAGACCATCAAATATGACTTTGACAAGAAGAAGGCCGAAAAGCGACCCAGCAATCCTCGGAGATTCTTCCACATGCAGGATCCGGATTCATTTACAGACGTCAAGGGTCGTGCTCGATTTCGGTGCTTGCGATTTCTCAACGCCGAGAACGTGATCGCGCTTGTGAACAGACCAAAAAAGTCTGGCGCCGAGCTACGCGTCTACCATCTCTATCCGACCGGCCCCGGGTTATCCATGTCGCACAAGACATTGCCAAGGCGCATCACCCAGGTAGCTGCAAACGGCCTCGATGTCTGTGCTCTGGATGCGGACAGGGATGGCAACGAGCAATTCGTTGTTGCCGTAGCTGGCCAAGACTCCTCGATCGAGATCTTTACACTCGACTACAACAGCACGACAGCTACCTTCTCGTCGTTCAAGGCCTACCTCACTCTCCGTGATGTGCATCCGGCTGGGATTACCAAAGTCACATGGTGTTCATTTCACTCTCCACCACGAGCTCCAAATTCGAATGATCTTGCAACAACCGGGCCAAATGGCGAGCCTGTCGTACCCACGGGGCCTCCTAAGCATCCCGGGCCACAATACATTCGCCTCGCATCGACCAGCTTTGGTAACACCGTAGTTGTTGACACATTCCCGCTATCACCACTCGAGCCGCAGAAGCGCGAGTCTCGATACATACTCAGCCACCCAGGTGACGAGAGAATCTGGAAATGGGCCTACATCATCGTCATATCCTTTGTCGTCCTTGTCACCGCCTTCCTCTTCCAATCCTTCGCTCAAGGCTTCGGCACCGACGTGGGACCTTTCAGCTACCTCCCACAGAACGTCCGCGACTTCCTCGATGCTCCCGTTGCCGCGGCTTATCAGCGCGGCCGCGATCGCGTGACTAAGATCACCTCTTCCACGCCGGCAGCAGCAACCAGCACAAGCACAGCAGGCAATCTTCGCGACGCGGTGGCAGAGCATCAGCCTACCCCAGAGGACGCCCAAGCCACCGCAGTCGTGGTGCGTGATGTCCCCGAAGGCGATGGGATCGAAGTCCACGTGCACCCGGAAAAGGCAAAATATCTGGCAAAGGACGTGCACGCGAAGCATTGGCATGAATTGGAGGATCACCAGAAGGCTCATTGGAAGGCCAAACTGGTCCAGGCGGGCCAGTGGGCTGAGGATGAGGGCGAGAGTGTTCTGAAGGGTGTGCTGTGGTCTACGTATGCTGGGGTGGTGGGACAGGTTGGCGGAGAGATTATGAGGGAGTTGTAAGATGGAGACGTGAACACTACCTGGTATACGAAGAAAGAGTGGCAGAGGGAAGAAGGACCTGGGAATTGATCAGCCTGAACTGAATATTATTACTTCTGCCTATCTGGGGGGTTATATATGTGTATGCTACGTAGCATGGAAATGTGATGATCCTATTATAAGACCTGCAGCTCTTGAATTTGAGGGATTATGTACGGTTGTTGGTCGTGTATGGAGTGAAAGCGGCACATTGTACCCTAAGGGTTTCTCGGGGTTACAGCTTTCGGATTTCTCGCTACTCTGCGGCCTGCGTTTCTTGTATCGATACAGTGTTATATCTGTAGGATCTCGAATTCCACGTGTATGACTATTTCTTCTTCAAGGAGGATATAACGGAAACTACAAACGATTTGCTCATTAGTCGTGGGGTTCTGCATTATAGTGAAACGTACAGGACAGACATATGGCACAACTTTCCTTATCCAAAAAAGTTTTTTTCGGAGGATTATATCTCTCCGCATGTACGGATGTTAATATTAATACGACACTAAGTAGTTTGACCTTGGAGGGACAATTTTTAGTTACGGACTTACTCGCTTACTTATTAGAAGGAGGAGGAAATACGATGCGGTTTTCTAGACAGGAGTATGTTAGGGCGTAGGTAGGTCAGTCTCGCGTATATTACGCTCTCTTCTTCTTCTTCTTCTTCTTCTTCTTGTTTTTCTCGAGGGGATGTATGTCTAGCTAGCTAGCTAAAACGCTCGTTTATTAGTAAAGTCTCTAACTAACTACTCTAGCCGAGGTTATGTCGTATAGTATCTATTATTTCCATTCTATTCCCCCTCCTCCTTCTCCTCCTCCTATATACATACATGTACTTATTCTACCTCCTATTACATTTATATTATATATTATATTACATCCAAAACCGCGATCATATCCGATCCGATACGATCGAATATATATATAATAATTAAGCCGTCTATACGACTAACGACTAGCTATACCGTAATAATACAAAATTATAGTTATAGCTTTTAGCTTAGCTTTAAGTAATGTAATAGTTCTTTTATAATAAGAATAAGGGTCTAAGATCTACTAGAGGGGAGGTAAAGTAAGGTAAAAAAGGTAAGGTAAATGTAACGGTAGATAGAACAATGTATAAGGCACTCTAAGTAATTACTCGATTTATAGTAAGACTAATCTCTAAGGAAGTAAGTCTAATTCCGCCGTAGGCGGCTTATGTACGCTCCGCTAGCGCTAAGTTAGCTAGCCTCTTAGCGTTTGACTTTAGCATTCACTCTAGCTTCTCTTCCTTATACTAGCTACCCTTATAACTACCTCCCCTCCTAGGTAGGCTGCCTATAGCCTTTACGACCTTTATAGTAAATGCTCGCGTTAACCCTCGCCGCTACGAGCTAGTTACTAGGGGAGCTACGTTACTACCCGGCGTCGTAGGGCAACCGCTGTCGTTACGCTAGTAACCCGCTACCTAAGGCATTCGTAGGTTTGTATAAAAGAACTTTTCCCGCTCCTTAATTTTCCTTTCTTCCTTTAAGAAAAACAAACTTCATTTCTTCTACGCCTACGTACCGCCTCCGCTCCGCCTTCGGCTCGCTACTCGTACCTTTTTGCCCCCCTTTTTTTTTTTCCTTTTGCCTTCTTTAGTATTACTATTATTATTACTTGCTCGCGCTCCGCCCTCGCGTCGCCGTCGCTCCGCTTACGCTCCGCTTTCTCTATTAATATGTTTAGCTCCGCCTAAGCCCGCCCGGATCCGCGCCTAGCCTTCGGCGTAGACATACTCGGCTCGCCGAGTACGTCTACCCCGAAGGTCTACGTATATATACGCTACGCGCGCTATCTCTACGACGGTACGTATTCGCGCCGCTTACGCTCCTCTAGCGACTCGCTTCTCGATTTAATACTAATTTTTCTCCTAGAGCGCTAGCCGAAGTATACGGCCGTCTTCCTAGGTAGTACCTAGCGTAAGAACTACGCCCGTTACGTTCGTAGGTATGTTGTCTCCTCCGGTCCCCCGTCGTTACGCCTACGGTCCGTATACTAACCGTTAATAGTAAGAAGACCTACTACTAGCCTACCGACCCGTATGTCTACCGCGCTATTAAGGCGCTCCTCGACAAGCGCGCCGCCCGCGACCGCGTACGCGCTCGCGCCCGCCGCGCCGCCGACGAGGACGATACGGCTACCCTACGCGCCGAGGGCGCGTAGCTCGACACCCGCTACGGCGTACTCGCTCGCGAGCTAAGGGCCGCCCTTAAGATATACGATACTAACGCTCGTAAGACCGTTAGTAACGAGGCGTTCCGCCCGGGCGCCGTAGGCGTAGACCCTACGGTCGCTAAGGCGTAGCTCGTCGAGTCGCGTCGGTAGACGTACTGCCTCGCTACCTTAGTAGAGTTAGGCCGGGTAGTAAGTTTTCTATTTTCCTCTCCCCGCCTTTAGTACGTATACTAACCGCCTTCGTATAGATAGCTACCCGTACGGGGGCCGACCTAGCCGACTTCGATAGCTTCTAGTCCCTCGGCCTCGCCCGCGTCGCCTCTCCGAAGGGAGAGGAAGAAGAAGAAGGAGAAGGAGGAGAAGAAGAAGAAGAAGAAGAGGAAGAGGAGGGGGATAAGGAAGAGGGTAAGGATAAGGATAAGGAAATGCCCTCTACCTCGTCCTTATCCGAGGAGTTTTTGTAATAGGTAGCGCCCGACAGCCGTATACTCTCCGCCGGCGCCGCGCCTTCGTACCGGCGTACCCGTACTCCCCTTACTAGGTAGGTACCTTCGGGCCCTTTAAGTTTTCTTCTACTTGTCTCTTCTGTTTCCCCTTCTTACCTCTCCTCTATCTCTCTACTTCTCTACTTAGGCTCTCTTTTACTAACTCTTCCTAGTTGTCTTCTAATTCTTCCTTCGTTACTTAAAGTCGGACACTATACGGGGCGCATTCGCTACGTCTACTTCGCTCTACTATGTGTCGTATTCGTCTAGCTAGTCCTTCTAGTAGACTAGGTATTGCTTTTTCCCTACGTACGTTCGAGAGTCTAGGATCGCTTCTACTACCTACTCGCCTTCTTCGTTAGCGAGTAGTAAGCTTCCTTCCTATTCTTTACCTTCGTATAGTTCTAGTAAGGATACGTAGAATACATTATAAATCTTCGCCTCGGATAGAAGTACTAGGCGGTACGCCTACGTTCCGATTACGTCTAACACCTTAAATAGGCCTACAAATTTCGGGCTTAGTTTTTTCTTAGGCAGATTAAGTCGGAGGTTCTTTACTAATAGTAAGACTATTTCGCCTATCCGAAAGCTCTTTAGTTTGTAGGCTTTGTTATAGTACCTAGCTTACTGTTCGCTAGCGTGCCGCTAGCGCTCCGTTAGCGTCTCGTACAAGTTTCTTATACGTACTAACATCTCGACAGCCGCTAGTACCTCCCCTTCGGGCAACTCGCCCCGAGTTAGTAGTAATCCGTTTATCTATAGTGTCTATCCGTAGACGATTTGGAAGGGGCTTATACGGAGCGCCGGGTACTCGCTATTATTATATACGAACTCCGCTTACGGGAGCCATTTCGTCTATTCCTCCTATTACTCGGAGTAGTAGTATCGAAGATACTATTCGAGCGTTTGATTCGCCTTTTCGGTTTGCCCGTCTGTTTGTAGGTAGAAGGCCGTACTAAATCGTAGCTTTACCTTTGATTCGAAGTAGAAGTCGCTCTAGAATTGGCTTGTAAAGATCGACTCTCGGTCGCTTACGATTCCCTTCGGCATTCCGAACCTTCGTACGATAGCGTCCCGTAGGAGCTCCGCTAGCTCTACGGCGTTAATACTCTTTGTCGTTAGGATGTATAGACACATTTTTAAGTATCGATCCACAGTTACTAGGAGCGCGTCGTAGGCTTTCCCTTAGTACTCCGAAGGCGGAAGCCTAGTAATAAAGTCTATACTAATTTCCTACTACGGCCCTTCCGGTATAGGTAGCGCCTATATCTCGCCGTAGGGCCGATAGCGCCGCGCCTTCGACACTTAGCAAACCTTATAACCTTTAATATAGTTACTAACGTCCTTGTTTATCGTAGGCTAGTAGAGTTTCCGGGCTAGGAGGGCTAGGGTTTTTGTCTTTCCGAAATAGCCTACGAGGCTGTCGTCGTAGTATATTCGGATTACCTACGAGACTAGTACGCTGTTACTTAGTAGGACTATTACGTCTCCTTTATATAGGAGTCCTTCTCGGACCGAATAATCCCCGCCTACGGTCCGCCCTATACTCGCTTCGTCTTTTAAGCTTTTAAGTTCTACTATTCGTTCTTAGAGTACTCTAATTATTATAATTAGCTATTCTAAGGCGTCTCCGTATATAGATTCTCTAGATACGATTATACGGGCAATCTTAGCCGGTATAGAAGTTAGGCCTATTCGTATTAGGCCGGATTATACGTCCGCTAGCGCCCTATAGGTAGCTCGAATACGGTTTACTAGCGGATCCTCTCCTTTAATTCGCGACTAATATACTAACTTAGATTAAAGGCTCGGTAGTAAGGTATTCGTAATTTGCTCCTCGTAAGCGTAATCCGGGCGCCTCGACAGCGCGTCGGTAGGGTTCTTCTTCCCTACCCTATGTTCGATTTAAAAGTTAAAGGTAGCTAAGAAGACAGCCTACCTAGCTTGCCTTCTATTAAGTTACTTTATACCTATAAATCCTTTTAGGTTTACGTAGTCGACTAGTACTTATACCGTATACGTAGCGCCTTCGAGGTAAGGGCGCTACTACTTAAAAGCTTCTACTATAGCGAGGAGCTCCTAGTCGTAGACCTTATAATTCCTTTCTACCGGAATTATACTTCGTAACTAAAAGGCGATAGGGTACTATTCGCTTTCGAAGAGCTATAATAGAATGCCTCCTATAGCAAAAGTAGAAGCGTCGGTTTCTACCCGTATACGTAGTACTAGATCGAAGTAGTATAAGATTAGTACCTCCTAAAAAGAGCGTTTTAGTTAGCGGAACGCCTACTT